TCTATCGTAAAGGACGGACAGTCCAGGAATGTATCGCGTTTTTGCGCCAATCTTTGTTTTTGGCCTTTCATACATGACCTCAACGCCGAAAGGACCTCGATTTAGGACTGACAGTTCTGGTTGGCTCGTATTTCTTCTGGATGGCGATCATAAACTGATCCTCAGTGTATCCGAACTCGCTCGGGGCAGGAAACCTAGGACTCGTTCGTAATGCGAGAGGGTCTAAGCCGACAACGAAATGCTTGAGCGTCGACTATGCGACGCAACCATGATGCAAGCCACAATGAACCTCCTCGTGATGATACTCCTGGTATAAGGCCAAATTCAACTATCGGTCCTACTTGGCGAAAGGTATTCAAGCCTTGTATTCGTGATGATTCAAAGAGTTCAGAACATCAGTGATGAAGCGGTTTAGAGTCGTAATCTCGCCATGAACCATATTTTGGATTGTAAGCACAAGAGAAAAAGATTGCGAAAAAAAGAAAGAGAAAGCGCACTGGCGTCGACGTCATGCAACTCATGATAGGGGACTGAATGAATAGGAACAGCACGATGTGGTAAGTGCCCTGTGCATGCGCCTCTGGCTGTCGGTTTGGGTGGAAAGGTTAAGAACGTGATCAAAATCTCTTTCGTCTTCCACTAATTCCCGCGGGGCCGAAGATCAAGTACAAGGAAAGTAAATGGAGCGTTGCAGGGTCTTTAGAAAGACGCCAGCAACAAGGTGACAGCGTCAGAGCATAGATTATAGAAGGCCTTCGAGATGATGTTTGACTTAAATTTGCAAAGATAGCTCCGTTTGAAAATAGGTTGCAAGAGCCCAAGCTGGCGGGGTGTCTTGACAGCCACTCCGTCCAAAGATAAGCTCCTTTAGATGTATGAAGATGTCCAAAATCTCCATCTCCAAATGACGCAGGCATGGATTCGTTTTATGCTACCACGGCAATTGACAACGCCAGTGACTATGCCTGCGTTAATCCGACGGCACAGCATATCATGGGCAGCTCTGCGGTGTGTCATACCAGAGATGCAAACTGACTGGCTTTGGGATAGCGATTTGAACTCACAATCTTCTGGCCAGCGCAAACAACGTTTTTGTTGCAGTTGCCACAAACGTGCTTGATAGCAGCTTCTTACTGGCGTTTGTCGAGAGCAATCTCATCCCGTGGGTACATGGGTACATACGGCTTCCGGCGTTGTGCATTCTACAGCTAAGATACACCATCCTCAAGCTTTCTGGCTTTAAGATACACGATATAAATCTTGCCTGTCTTTTCGTGATCGACAACGGCTTTGCCGACGACCAGCTAGTCCAAATGAAAACGAAGGCTAAAGTGTTTGACAATCAGCTTTGTCCACGCTCCGACCTCACTTTTCTCTGTCTCCCATCCTAAAAATACTCGTTTATGCTCACCATCGCACGATGATCTTCTGATACCTTTTCATTGAATTTCCTGTCTCTCATGTAAACAATCCCTCTTCGGCTAGGAGCCATCCGTAAAGGGTCTAGGTGCGCTACAGGTCATCTCCTGGCTGATGCGCATATTTCCCCACAAACGCCATGCCCTCAAACTTGGCTTTTGTCCTTCAAACTTTGCCAGGCTAAGCCAAGCCATCTTGTCCAAAAACGGTACAGCTTCTGAGGTGCGAAGATCATGATGAAGCAAGAAAAATGTTTTTGAAGATCTAGGCAACCAACGATGAACCCCGAAAAGGAACATGTCAGGATCCAGGGATACACAGCCGGGCTTCACGAAGGTCGGCGCCGTTCGGCATCTACCGTACAAGCGCCCGTAGGAGCGCCGACATCGTCTGTGTGGCTCTGCATCAAAACAGTGAATGCCCGTCGAATGCTACGAGGAGATTTGCAACACTGACTGAGAGCAAGCCACCCATCTAGGCAGCCTTGTAGGGCGACGAGTGCGCCCGACGGAGTTTGAGATTCGGTTTGGGGATTCGAAGCTTCTTGCAAGCCCACATTCGCGCATCCTTGTCACAGCTCTAATGGCGGTAAGCAAGCGGGCGCTATTCCTAGTCTGCAAGCCACTCAGACCTGTCTTTGACTAGCACGAAGCTTCCCCAGTTGCCACATTAGGAAATAACAAGGAGTTCATGATGCTGATGCAGTGAAGCGTCAGCCGCCTCCCCCTGATGCCCGACCTATTTGGTTCAAGTTCGCACTGCACTCAAAGTCAAAGCCTCATGCTTCAAGTCAAAGCTGTCTTCGAGACCGCCTTTGCTGACAAAATCTCAAGTCAGAGCCTCATGTAATCCTGGAAGAAGCGCCGACATCATGAGGCGCCGTCAATGTCCACTGCAGCTTACTGTCGATCCCGTCAAGGCTTTCGAGCGTTTGACGATGGATCAGGGGTGATACGTCCTTCGACGCCTGAAGGATGGATCATACACAATGGCTTGCATGTCGTGTTTTTTAAACCTAGAAAGATAATTGTCTCGTTCTTTCGCTGGTCGCCGGGATTCCGTTGTCTGTTCAATATTGTTTTCTGTTTCTTTTGTGATTTGATCTTTCGTATTTTGTATTAGAGCCATTTACGAAAGCGGCATTAGATATACACGATTTTAGAGTCGAGATAGCAAAACAAACGCGAACATGCCTAACCGGGCAGCCCTCGAAACAACATCGGAGAAGCCGGCCGGACCGGCTGTGCCAGAATCGGACGACGCAGTGGCAAAGTTACCAACATGGCAAAAATGGACGATACTGTTTGTCGTTTGCTGGATGACTTTGCCTGCTACCTTCGCCAGCAGCTCCATCATGACAGCAGTTTCAGAGGTTGCCACCGATTTCGATGTCCCGACCCACGTCATTACCACAGCCAACGCCGGCGTTTTCATTGCGATGGCTGTATCTGCCCTCATCTGGTTGCCAATCAGCACAATCATTGGTCGCAGACCTACCTATCTGTTAGCTACGATCATGCTCACGCTGTCTTCAGTGGGCTCAGTTACATCTCAGAGCTTCGCTTTCTTCGTCACTGCCTGGATCCTCGGAGGAGCAACCGGACTTTACTTCCTTGTTGCTGGACAAACCATCTTGGCAGACACTTTTGAACCAGTCAGTTGTTGTCGAAGTTTCCCGATTCCAAGACTATTCTCTGACGTGATTGACAGACCAGTCGTGGCTTGGCAGTCGGCCTGTTTCTTGGAAGCTCTGTTGCTGCAAACTCATTGGGTCAGTAAGGTAGCTTGGTTCTGTCAACAAAGCGCTTGCGCTGACTTTGATGAAAGCGCCCATGATCGGAGGTGTCATAGTCTCATACACAACATGGAGAATTATCTATGTCGTCCAAGCAGGAATGGCATTCTCTGGCCTCGCGTTGGGATACCTATTCATTCCGAATACAGTCGGTTGGAACAACCAGCAAGCTAAGGGTAGATCCAGCGACAATTATGTCATTGGTGCATTGCGCAAGTTCAATCCATTGGATGTGTTTCGTTTGTTTAAGAACCCAAACATCATCATGGCGGTAGGTCTTTCCCTCAGATATTGCTTCAGTCACTATCGCTAACCCTTACCGATTTCAGGACTTCGCTTGCGGGTTACTAGGCTTCAATCAATACGCCCTCATAGCATCTGTTCGACGAGTTATCAACCCACGATTCAACCTCACTACTCCCCTTATCAGCGGCCTATTCTATCTTGCCCCAGGAGCTGGCTTCTTGCTTGGCAGCATGATCGGCGGTGCGCTGTCCGACCGTACGGTCAAGGTATACATCAAAAAGAGAAATGGGCTCCGCCTGCCGCAGGACCGTCTCAATGCCTGTCTTCCTGCCTTCTTTTTCCTGTTACCGCTAGGAACACTGGTCTTCGGTTGGAGTCTGCAACTCGAAGTTGGCGGGATGGCTTTGCCCGTTATCAGCTCATTCGTTCAAGGCTTTGGTCTCATGTGGTCGTTTAGCGGATTGAATACGTACGCCGCTGGTAAGTTCAACCCTGAAGTTATTACGTGGCCCTGTCTATTGCTGACCGAACTACCTTTTGACAGAGGTTGTACCCGAAAAGAGAACAGCCGTCATTAGCGGAAAGTACATCATCCAATATTGCTTTGGGGCCGGTGCTGTTGGTGGTGTCGTTCCCATGATAGACGCTATCGGAGTCGGCTGGGGCTTTACCATCAGTAAGCTCACATCATCTTGATAGATTGAGACGTTGAATTTAGTTGCTGACTGTCCTTTTTAGCTGGAGTTGGTGCTACCTTTGGTGGCGTGCTTGTCTTGGCGATGATCAAGAAAACACTGCATGTTGAAAGCCAGAAGACTATCGATGACAAGCTTGAAAATTATGCCGACAGTTGTGTGTAACTTGAAACGAAGCATGAGTCGTTTGAAATTATCAATGTTCCAGGTGGGGATTGTCGTGCTTTTCTGCTAGGCACGTTTATTTTGCATTAGGATTGGAGTCTAAAAAGAGATTGATAACTTTGCGAAGTATTCATCAATGGGACATTGAACATAGACATTAGACTACTGCCTCATCTGTTGAATTAGATAAATAGTCACTGAAACGCAAGAGCATATTCATTTCTCACAAGACTGAGGAAGCGGACAAGTTATTAAAAGCTTGGGACTGGGAACGTCAACTTGAGTGGGATTTGAACACCTACGGACTTTCTCTCCGACCGCCAGCTCCTTCTCTCAGCCGCCAAATATCACTTTGTCCTTGATTCGGCGCGTTGTGTCCACTTCTCTACTTGCATATTGATGGTGTTCTGTGATATCTAGCGCAAAAAGAAAAACGTAATTTTGGGCACTGTTGAGCTTTGTAATATCATCTAGGGCAATGCACCTGTTTCGGCAATTGCCTTCCGCTCACGACTCAGCCACTCCGCTCATCAAGCACCCTGGATCGTCGATTGATCTTACATTGAACACTCGGGGCCGACGGTGGCACTTATTTTCCGGCACGCAGCTTATCATAACGTAGTACCGCTCCAAGTAACACATTGGCGCCAATCGCGCTATGCAAAGGTCAGCGTCGTTTATCAATCAGGTTGACAGGAATGATAATACCAGTCCTCCGGTGAGCAATATTCCGCAGGGTTGTGGCTGATGCCCTCCCTCGTCTGTGTGAAGATCATGCTTGTCGGCACCCGCAGGTTCGTGTAGCAGCTGTCGTGTCCGGCACCACTAATCATTGGTCTGAATAGCTTACGCTCACCGGCCTCGGGAAGCGTGGAGCACACATCAGCAGCACTCGCCTCAACAGCAGCGATGCAATCCGGATGGAACTGAACAGCCGGACTGTCGACCAGGAGTTCCCAGTCCACAACGCATCCTTTCCCGCTGTCATCTTTTCCGACACGCTCAAACTCTTCCTCGCAGCGGCGGACCATCTCGCCCAACACTGCGTCCTCTACATGCCGCACGTCAAGGGTGAACTTGACTGTGTGCGCCATTGTGTTGACTGTTCCTGGGTCTGTAGTGAAGATGCCCGTTGTAGCGAGACCATTGAACTCATGGGCGATGGCGTTGGCCGCAACGAGAAGCTTACTTGCACAGAGAACCGGGTCCTTGCGCGCATACAGTGGTGTTGTTCCGGCGTGACTATCGCGACCTCTGACAGTGATGTTGAACCATTTGAAAGCTTGCACGCCTGATTTCAGTGTTAATACTCAGTCAGGTCTCAAAGCCATCACCAAATTGGGGGTCTCACCTTGAACGACACCAATCTTTTGCTTTTCATCTTCCAGAATAGGTCCCTGTTCGATGTGTAGCTCGAAGTGGGCAGCAAAAGGATTTGTGCGGTACGAAGCCGCGCGTTCACCGGTGTAGCCAATTCTGTCGAGCTCCTCCTTCATGGATTTGGGTTGACCGTCGCGTGATGACACCTCCCTCAGGTCCCAGGCTGTTTGAAGGGGGATGGCTTCAGCCCAAACGCCTGATGATACGGCCATTTTCGGGAATCGCGCACCCTCTTCGCTAGATTTAGTTAGTATTTAGTTGGGAACGGACTTTGTGCAACCAAAAAGACGTACTTTGTCCAATTGACGACGCCAACTGGCCCTTCGGTCTCATAATCATTCTCACTCAAGACTCGCAGCACCTCGAGACCAGAGATGACACCCAAGATGCCGTCGTAGCGACCGCCAGTGGGCTGTGTGTCAAGATGGGATCCCATCATGATTGGCGGGGCATTCTTTTTCTTTCCAGCGCGGATGGCGAACAAGTTGCCCATCTCATCATAGAAGGTCTCGCAGCCGAGCGATTTGGCGTGCTGCATGAACCAATCTCTCACTTGCTTGTCTGTGTCGTCGAGACTAAGTCGCGCCATACCGGTATCGATAGATGCTCTATCATTGTGAGATTATGAACGTCCGTATTTGGGACATTATATGGCAGGCTCACTTTCCATATCGATGTGCGGCGCCGAATTGACAACTCTCATGGAGCAGTCCAGCTAAGCTCTCTTGACTGATTCTCAGTTGACTCGTGGTGCCCAGAGAACCCATGTTTTGCTTTCTTCCGTAAAGCGTTTTGCTAGTCGGCTGAGTAAGAACAATTCAAGTAGAGTCCAATGAAAGCAGCTAAAAGTTGCATTGTCGAAATCGTTCATGGAGATTCATGGCATGAATGATATACCAACTCAAGCATACTCTGATCGGCAAACAGCCAACGGCGTCTGAGGATGCCCCGCACCGGGCGATAGGACAACCCAATTGGGAAGTGATTATCCACCGACGGCGGTTGTCCGCCGTCGGCCGTCATCGGCCATCGGTATTTACCCCGGCTGACCGCCGACAATGCGGGGCTAACTCTAGTTATCGGATAGCTTATCCCCAGGTTAACGCAGTAAGGTAGCCAATGGCAGCTTTGCCGGTTATCAGACCCGAGGTGGTATCTCTACAATCATTCGACCCTGTTGGTCCATTGTCCGCCACGTCGGGAAATCAAAGGAACTGCAGTTATCAATTGAGTATATACAGCAGCCCATATCTCGTAATGAAGTTGCAATTGGTTTAAAGTCTCATGCACGGTCTGGTCAACTTGAGCATCGCTGCAAACCTCATAGCCTCGTACCATACCCGCCACGATGACCATCCCAGGCAAAGACTTGTTGAACAAAGATGTCGAGGTCCGGCAGCAAAATGATAGCAGCAGCCTCAATGCTGCGGAGATTGCAGTCGATCCCCAGGAACGAGCAGTATTGTCCAAATTCGACAAGTTCGTGATGCCGCAGATGGCGCTGCTCGTCCTTTTCGCTTACCTTGACCGAACAAACATCGGTTTGCAACCACCCATGTCTCTTCACTGACGCACTGACTGACAGATCTTAGGAAATGCTCGCGTGTTTGGTCTGGAAGAAGACACGGGTATGAAAGGCACCGACTTCAACGACATCTCCATGTACTTTTATATCTCCTATGTGGTCTTTGAGACGCCCTGGGTTATGGCCGTCAAGAGGCTAGGTCCAGGTCGCGTTCTCGCCATCGCAATCGTCAGCTGGAGCGCCATCACCATCGGCACAGGTTTCATCAACAGCTACGGCGAAGCCATCGCCTTGCGAGTTCTTCTTGGCTTCTTCGAGGCCGGCCTATTCCCCGCCTTGATCTACGTCATCTCAGAAATCTATCCTCCTGCATCCCAGGGAAAGCGCGTGGCCGTGCTCTACATCACCATCGCGCTGTCTGGTGCACTGGGTGGGTTATTCGCATACGGTGTCCAAAGTATGGGTGCACGCCACGGACTGTCTGCCTGGAGGTGGTTGTTCATTGTCGAGGGTACAATTTCGCTAGTCATAGGCATCATCTGCTGGGTCAGTTTGCCGACGTTGCCAGAGACAGCTTGGTTTCTGAAAGACGAGGAGAAAGCCGTGATGATGCGCATCAAGGAACGAGACCAAATGTCTAAAGAGAAGACCTCGTTTTCCTGGCCACAGGTTGTTATGGCCATTACGGACCCCTTCGTCTATCTTGCTTCCGTGGCACTGTTTTGCTCCTCAATCGCCCTCTTTGGTTTCGGCACGTTTCTCCCTACTTTGCTGAAGGGTCTCGGGTAAGTTTCCGGGCATCCCAAAGTTGAATATTCGCTGACTGTCTCTAGGTATACTTCTCTTCAGGCGAACTACTTGAGCATCCCAGTTTATATCCTTGCATCCATCTCAACCGCGATCACAACATTTGTGTCCGACAGAATCAACCGCCGCGCTGTCTGTCTCATACACTCTCCCGCACTGGTCATTTGCGGGTATGCCATTGCAGTTGGCACCGGCAACAAAGCCGCTGGATTCTTTGCCATGTTCCTTGTGGGCGCTGGGGTTTATTCCTTCAATACTGTCCTCGTCACGTAAGGCACCTTATTGAAGAGTATGATGTACATGCTGACCCCTTCTAGCTGGGTTTCGAACAATATTCAACCCGACTACAAGCGCTCCGTTTCGATTGCAATGCTCATCTCTCTGGCAAACGCTTCTGGCATGGCCGCATCCCAGATTTACCCCTCATACGATGCCCCAAGGTACATCATGGGCAATGGGGTGTCTCTTGGAGGAGAGGTTATTGCATTGATTTGTATAGGTTTGATCTACGCTCTTCTAAAATGGCGTATGGGCCGTAAGGAGCGTCTACTGGCCGAGGGCAAGGAAAGCAATGGTAAGAATGGCGATCAAGCGTTACACTTCCAATACGTGTTCTGAAAGCAGCTGAACTGCCTTGATGAACACTTCAAGCCATAAATAGATTAATTTAGCGGAGCTTTTTACAGGACATGTATAGGTCCTTGAATGCTTGTGCGTCGTTCCATGTCAAGACGCAGGCTCTCGGAGGCCTTTCCAGTAGATAGCGTCCACCTTTACAATAGCAAATCGCAAAAATGACCACGATTGTACTCTTGTCCGCAACGCTTTTCTCCAAGTGTCAAGTAAAGCCCGATCAAAGGACAACATGTGCGGCTCGCTTTGTTGCAGCGACAGCATGTAGCAAAACAGTCCTGGGTATGACAGACAGTGTCTGGTGTAAGCCGGCCAGAAAGCGGACTGATGTCTTACATCGAGCCCACAGATGAATTTCGTTATGGTCTGCATCAAGCTTCGCGAAGCTTGGAGGATAGAGGTTGAAGATGCCGGTAGCATACTCGGGTTGATGTCGGTGCTTATGATGGGGCGCAACAGGGCGCGGAAGATGAGAATATGAACGGTGTAATACGTAACGTACAACGGAGCATGGCTTTCGATGGAGTGCTCCGCAGAAGGCTCGGTTTCGGGATGTAATTGGAGAGATTGGGGTAAGTGATCCAACCAGTCGAGAAGTTGTTGCCGAGGGCCACGTGCTTGAGCTATCAACGTCTCTAGTGTTGGGCGTTGTGATATCGCGCGAAGGGTGCTGAGAGCGTTAGACGAATCATGGGTCTGGGACGAAGTAACTTACAAGAATAGCCGGCAGATTTCATCGGCGATCCTTGTCAATGAGCAGAGTTGTATGATGTAGTCTGGTGGCTGAGATCCACCAGGCAGTGTCGGTGTTGTAGGGTCAACAGCAAAATCATCCACGGTGAGAGGGGATACGTCCCAGTCATCATGTCGTATCATAGACGACCGACCATGAGTGATAGACCTCCAAGTATGCTCAACATAGACAGACCACCACAGTCTTCTCCGCAGCCTAATCTCCCAAGGCGGCAGGTTCCAGCCCCTTGGATCTGCATTGAGACCCAACGACTGCGCCATCCCGAGCAATGAAGCAGCCATGGACCAGGCAGAAGGATTCTCGACTGAGACGAAATCAAAAGATACCTGGTTTAGTAGCAAGAGGAAGATCTGAACAGTCGAGAGTCGCGGGAAGTGCAACTCTCTCTGAAGGCAGATATATGAGATGTGCCAGAGACCATTGACACTTGGCTTCGTATATGCATTGTTCATACATAGTGTCTCATCCCATGGCGTGAATGGCAACGCGAGCATGTAGATACCTGCCAACAGGCCAGTCGACGCCTCTGCGACAAAGCGTTCTACATCCGGAAGGACAAGCGACCGGGAGAGAATGGGCAATGCTTGGAAGACGAATCTGAAGTATCTGTGGAGAGTTAGTCTACCCATGTTATCATGAGAGCTACAGAGGGGGGGCACTTACAGCCTGACTAGTGACGCTCCAGTGGCCTTGTCAACGATATTTTCCAATCTCTCCCGCTCATCTACTCTGGGAAGACACTCATCGAGGACTCTTTGCGATTCGGCGGCTGTTCCAGTCTGGCTTTGCAAGAAATGAAGTGGCTGGGTCTTATCGCCAGTGACCTGTCGGTACGTGACTCTGAAGAACTCGGTCTCATCTTGATCATTGTGAGGGAAATGGTTTACCAAGAACGGATCAGATTCGTTCGAATGTCCGATAAATGTTGTGGAGTGATTCGGACGTTCGTCTAATGAACTTCTTTCGTGGATATACTCCATGTCTGGTGATTTCACAGCCGCATGTGTTGCAGGTTGCAAGACCCCTTGATCGCCGGATATTACATTACGTCCTTGGGGTTCCAGAAAGGCAGTCGGTGAGTCTCGAAACTCAAGACTCTGAGCTTGGTCGTTTCCCAGATCCCAGTCCAAGGGGCTATTACTGGGCCAGATAAACTCCGAGCCGGCATGTGGATCCTCAGCGGTATTATCTGCAGGATTATCAGCATATTTGGCGGGGAGATCGTTTGGTTTGAAGAGGTACTTGTCAAGTCTATCATGTCTTGCTGTGCTTGCAACATGAAACCTGGGGATAAAGTCATCACATTCTCGGTAGGTGATTGGCTCTGTGGTCCGGTAGCCGACGCAGGAGAGACAGCTTGACGACCCTTCGGCCTTCTACCGGGGTTACCAACAAAGGTGCATTCCCGGCCTATTCTCTTGCACAGCTGGCAGGGCTGCAACGGGTCCGGGATGTTGCACAGCGCCTTGCGTGCGCGACATAGGTCACATGGTCGCTGTGCCTTGGACCGATAGCGTCTGGTCCCCGCTACTGTGGGATCTGTGGCTGCTGAAGATGCACTCATGATGCAAAAAGAATGACTGGGGAACTCATTCCGAAGATCGGCTCAAATGATGCAAGGAAAATAGCGCAAGATAGTGTCAGCGGATGATTGTTGATCCTATTCCAGGTAGTCGTTTTCTTCGTCGCAACAACAAAGTCTCGTTGGAAGACGCCTCTTGAAGTATGATAGCATCGTCTCTAGCTCACCGCGGTTGGCTTGCTATGAGGACGGCAACTTCAGAAGAGGCTGCGGGCAACTTTCGCAACTCAAACTCAATCCAAGACACAGTGTGCAATTACCCTGGACACTATGCGGACATCTTACCCCACGTCCGGCTTCATCCCGGGACCTCCACAAGTTCCGTCCAGACCTGTCGTGAATTTACACCAATATTTGAGTCGAGGCGGTCGATTTTTAGAACGGTGCAGTAGAAACTGGTTGGAGTTTTGATTCATCTCAGTCGAATGGCATCTTGTTCATAGTAAATGGAAATCTTCATGTCACACCAGGCGAGGTGCTTGATGAGGCCTCTGGTATTTTCCAGTCAAAATGCAGATTTGAGTTGGCAGCACACCAGGCTGCCAGATATGTATATATTGATGTTTTAATTCTTTGTACAAGATTGAAAATAAAGGTTTCCCTCAACTGAAGCCCTGCTCCCGCAATGCATTGCAGGCCTACCTCACCTGCAAGAGCGTTACTGCATTCGGCCCCGGAACTTTCAGACCGTTTAAGAGCTAGTCATGGCAGGGACGGTGATCTTCTCGATGGTCCACTAAACACTTATCAGTACTTGGTTCGAAGCAATCTTTCCGTGTGTAACGGTAACATACCGTCTTGCCGCCGTCAGCGGTAGCAATGCCAGAGTATGTGGCTCCGGACTCGGTGTAAGCGCCGTCCTTGTAGGCAGCATCCTTCTCGGCGAAGACAATGGTGGTGTTGGTGTAGTACTGGGGCTCAACGGTTCCCGTGGGGGCAGCTCCGTTGTTGTCCTGCAGCTCAATGGCCGTGTTCCACAGAGTCATCTTTCCGGACTTCTTCTGGTAGGTAGACAGAAGCTCGCCGGTGACGGCGTCAGTCATGGTTTGCTCCCAGAGGTAGGTCGACTTGTCGATGAGGGTGTAGTTGAAGATGATGCCGTTCTCGTAGTTGGTGTCGGCGGTTCTCTTGTCTCCGACGAACTGGACAGTCGCGCCGGTGCTGTCCAGGCCGTAGACCTCGGAGGAAATGCACCAGGTGGAGTCGGCCGCGGAGCCGGTGCACTCGCTCATGCCAGCGGGGTATGAGCCGACGATGCTCTGGATCAGATCACCGGTCTCAGCACCGATACCGATCCAGGCGAACATGTAGCCCTTCTGGCCGGACGGCATCTTGCCAGGGTAGATGGTGCTAACGGTGCTGATGATCTCGGAAGTCGTGGCCTGGAAGCCAGCGATGGGACCCCAAGTAACATCGCGCTTGTTCAGGAGGGGGTTGGCAGTGGCAGTTGAGCCGATCAGCGCCAGGCTGAGAAAGAGAGACTTGGGGGCAATCATCGTGAAGGTGGGTCTCTTCAAGGGAGGAAGTGAACGTAGGTAGTTGGAATAAAGGAGTGTGGCGGCTCTTGGTGGCCAAAGGTGTGGTTGAATTGAGAACGCTGAATGGAACAGATGCTTAGTACATGTTCAAGCCCAAGAAACGTTCCGACGACGATCTTTTGCTGTCTATTTGAGTCAATTTCAACATCTCTCTATCTGCAACTTCAACCCGCCCAACTCGCAACTTGCGCGCAACTCAGAACCGCCACTAACCCAATGATCGGCATACCGGCAACGAACCCCAGTTATTTCCCTTCAATCTCCCACTCTGGGTTCGCGCCGGGCCCTGTTCAAATAGAGTGGGCTTCCGCTTTTCGTGAGCTTGATTGTCGTTCTCAATTAATTTTAATTTAAACCCTTGTGCATCTCAGGGGTAGCTTTGTGGGTGGGACGGAAGGTGGGGTGACAAAACAAAAGTGCATCGTCAGCGTGGTTTCTCGGACTCGGTTTGGACGCCGACATTCCCCGTGGAAATTGCTATTTGCCAGCACGCGATGAGAAATTTGGCTGTTCGTAAGAGCTCTTCAGTGATTTTTTTGCCGGCTTCAGGCCCAGGAGAAGAGAATTGAGCGCAAACTCTATCAGCAGCTTCGGTCTTGGTTTCAGCTGTGCAAATGCGAGCCTAAACCACAGCTCCCGCTCTGCGATGAAGCATGAGCGTCTCAACCTGACTTTGTGGAGCGCGACGGGACTTTTCGTATTTCTCACGAACAAAAGTTCGGAAAGTGGAGGCAAGTGTCGCCATTCTTATGATTTGGCGTTCCCCGTATCATAACCGTCATCAAAATTTGATTCCCATACTTCACTGTCCAAAAGTTCGGACTGGCCCCAACGTGTTATCAACCCTTGCATTCCTCTCTTCCTAGTTCAAAATCTTGATACAGTGAAGATGATGGCACTATTAACAATTTTTTCAGCTCGTCTGGCGGGAAGTCAAGTACTAATTAGATCGGAAACCCAATCCCGTGTCCATTTTGAGCCACGGTCGGACAATGCAATCTTGCTGTGTTCTTTGTGCTTCAGAATTCAAGTAGGAACAGAGGTAGCACCGACCAGGTACGGTTTTGATACTTGGAGGGCTGCCGCGGTTGCCCTTGTTTTGAATTAAGCACCCAAGAGTTCTGGAACGCACGGAAATAATAATTCCGCAACTAATCAACGCTTGCGCATCTGAAACTTTCAAACCGAACTAATCAGTCAATTACCATTCCCTCTGCAAAAATACCAGTCACAAATCCAGGATAAATCGGGTGCCGGATGCAACGAATGTAGCAAGAATAAAGCGTCCCATCGGCATTCAACATTTAGCCAACTTTCAAGTATGAATTCAACAACTTGTTGGAGTTTGCCTACACCTTGTCGGGTCGTGGAAAAGAAACCATCTCTACCATAAGAGATCTGCTTCACCGAGAACTCCAATAGAGTCCTCCACATCTTCTAACTCTAGTATGCTAGCATTCGGGAGCCATCGGTGCACATGAAGACTTGTTGATGGGTTTGTTAGCAGTAATTCGAGAATGAGTCCAGGTTGTTCATTGCGTTTAGTAGATTTCGGAAGAAAACCACAAAGTCGCCGAACTCGTGAGCCCGTGACCCCTCCTCCATCCATGAAACCCCATCCACCAGGACAAATACTACTCTGCTAGTTGCGGCCGACAGCAGTAGGCGGAACAGGCAGCGAAGTGCGTCTGCGTTCCGTTCTTTGATGCCGTCTACGAACTTGTAATCGATTCCCGAGAGATTGACGTCTTCTTGAGTGAGGGCATGTGCGAGTTGAGAGTTCAGCGAGCGAATTATCCCAGTGGGTCCCCCATGAAGTGTCATTGGGGGAAGTATGCTGGCCGCAGAGGTGGAGCAAAGACAGGCTTCTCTCCGATTGCTTCGTGATGCTTTGTGCCAGAACATAAGATAGTATTGTGAATGGCGACGTAGCCTTCTGTTCTGTGTTGGGTTGCATTCTCCCATTGATGAAAAGCATCTGCGACATGTTGGATCGCAGCCACATGGCAAACCCTCGTTTTTTAGTATCTCCAGGGCATGGTTGACAAGCTTTGGAGGGCACACGTTCTGAGCATCAATAAGTGCCGTGCTCATATCCTTCCGGACCACTTGTGGGTCAACGCCAATTGTGGCTCGAAGCTCGTTGAGATTGATATACGACGTGAACAGGACAACTGCTTGCGGATTATCTGATTTACCATAATGTGAGCTTTACGTCCTCCATCATGACTACTTTCAACGATAACATACCGCCGGTCCGTTGATTGTGTGCCAGAACGCTGTTCAGCTGTGTCTGTAGAGTTTGGATAGTCTGGTATTGTTGCCCCACCCTTCTGTGCAAGTTTACTTGCATGACTTCCCGAAACCGAACGACCTTGTCCTCGATGTTTTTCTTTATTGTGTACTCTTCCAAACTTGTTCCAAATCTTGCAGGCAGAGCCAATACTTTGAAAGCGCGCTCTGGAAACCCGAGATTTGCAATTTTGTTCTTTGATGCTAATGGGGTGTGAATGCCAAAGGCCGACTTATCAATCCACTGCAGCATTCCCTCTACACCATCAAGAATGCCTTGTAAAGATTCTCCGCGGCATTCCAGATTTCCGCATCCTCGTCGTACATATCGACGTAATTTTCTGTTCGCTCTACGATCTCAGGCAAACTGTCGAGGCAATTCATGATCCTCGTTCTCACTTCATCAAGTCTTATGGCCGCCCATGAAATCGGTTAGAGTATTCTTCGATAACTTCAAGAGACATCCAATCCAGGAGACTCAGTGAAAACATGAATGCCAATGCCCCACAGAGAATACCAACGAGACCATCATTGGGTAGAAAGCTCAGGAGAACCTCCGGGTTGGATGCGCTTCGCTGAAGTGATCGTCCTGAGGCCCTAATGGATTCTTTCGCCATCTCGTCTTCTCTGCTTCCGACGCCATGATCTTTACATCATCCCATCGATGCCGACCGTCCATGCGGAATATCTTGAGGACCTCAAGCTTTGTGTGGTCCTGGAATGCAGTAACGACGCTCTAGCATGAGTTTGTTCGCTCACGAACTCTGGTGCTTACAATTAGTCACAACTATCATGTTTGAAGCATGGCGAAATCGACCTATCAGTGATCTCTTTGATGCTTGTTTTTTGCCTTCGCTTCTTGTCAAACTTATTTGTGGCTGAGATTTTCCAACTCGAATCTATTCTGGGAACCTTCCTCGTCATGAAGGTGTCTACAAATTCTGTCATGATTTCGAGAGGACCGATGACGAGGTGGTAGTTGTGTCCTTGTTGGTTATTTCGTTGGGTTTGGAGGACGGTCTAGCCTATGCAAGAGCCATCGGCGATGCAGCGGCGCATGCAGCTGATGACGATGGATTGATGAGGCTGTATGTGCTGCTGATGAGCAATTGACATCGGGAGAACGAGATGTATTGCATAATATATGCAGATTGCTAGGAAGACTAGGCAGGGTGGTAAACAAAATTTGATGTTACCTGCAGCCTGCAGCCATCTATCTGCCTGCTTCGTTGGCTCATATTGGCCATCGTGTCACCCCTGCAGCAAGCAGAGACTGTCGCGCTTGCAGCTGAACTGGCACTATGTTCAAGAGTTCCAAGGAACTGGGGGAAGTGCTTGTCTGGTGTCTTTACTTAGCTGGGGGCGTGAAAGGTTTGCAGGATATCAGACTTACGGTGGCCCCAGGTCATAATGGCCGGAGGCCTCATTAAACCATACGTAGGACGCCATGTGGTCGGCGGCACCTGTAACTATTTCGTCCCATCACCCGAGTATTTCGTCGGTTGGCGAGGACTGGTATGCTAATATCTGGAACGTCACAAGGGAGACTGCCCATACACAAAACAGGCAGAATTGTTTGACAAACGTGGCTCGACATGTCATTCGCCTCTGCCATCGATGCTGATTCTTTGGAATCACAAGCGAGCGCTACCCGAGCTGAAGACTTGAAGTGTTCCTTGCGTGGAGAAACCATTTCCCGCAACGACGCCTCTGGAGGGCCAGAGCACAAGGCTAAGATACCACTCCGTCTTCCCGTAAGATGGTTATTCTAAATGAAAGTCCATCGCACGTCCTAGTCATACTGATCATTGAGATAATAGAACTTTTCTGGCCCAAATGAGCCCAATACCTATGAACATTCGAACGATACCGATCAAAATCTGCCGATCATGCAGGCTACCGGCTGCGAGGATGACAAGAGCGTCCTTTCGGAAGACACAGAATACCATATTAAACAGAGGCTTCGATACGTTGCACGAAATTGGAGTAACACGAAGGCGAATACTTTGCCCTCCATACCGAGTGCAGCGATGTCAAGGACCAATCCCGATAAGTTGAATATGAAAGCCTTGCAAGATCACTTGAGCATGATGGAATGGATTTCCGGACTTTTGCAAGAAGTTCCGTCTGAATCCTCTTCTGTTGTCAGTGATGATGAGGAGGAAAGATGCAAGTACATCCCACAGCTGTACGAAGCGACCAGGCGCCAGTGGTCTACACCAGCACCACCGCCTAACTCAGAGACAGCCCTGCCCCATCATTCCGACCATGCCATCTCATTTACCATGGAAGAGTTCGTTTCATTCCAGCCTTGGTCAGGGTGGCATGGAGCAGAGAGCGGGATCCCTTCTGCCACTAGCAACCGACAACTTCGCTATGGAGGGTTCAAATATTTCCCGCCACAAATCCAAATCAACTCTCTAGCTGTGAGAAGAATTCTATCTGATGTTGCCGATTCGAGGATACAAGTTGGTGCAACAAAAGGGTCCGTGATGCTTTTTCGGCCTTACAAAGTACTTGTGTATCTTGATAACAGGATTCGGAGGCGCTTTGTTGAATTAAGTGAGCTTTGCACCGATGCTGCCGAGCGAAGGTGGTTTTCGGACACTACCCAGGCGGAACCTGAGCCATCGACAGAGGACGGACGAATAGACCTCAACGAGGTTTATGGCAACCTCGAAGCCGAAAATCTTGAGGCCGAAAACCTTCACACTGAATGCAGCAGTTGTTGCAGCAGCATGTCCAGCGGTTCATTGAAACTCAAATCACTTTTCTGGCCCAAAAACTGGAAACGTCATACACACGAGGAGCTCAAAGAAGCCCGTTCTGATCTTTCCACGTTGGTGGAATTCATGGATGCATACATCTTTCCGCTGCGAAGGGCTTTGGACAACATGGATGAGGTTCGCATTTGCTTCAACGAACTTTGGCATGTCTATGCCCCCGGAAGCTTAGTCTATGTTAGAGACCCTGGTGTACCTCAAAAGCTTTGGCGAGTCATTCAAGGGACCGGGGGAGACTTTTCTCCAGCAAGACCAATCACCACAGACTCGAAGTTAAGTCATTTGAAGCTTGGGGGAATGGCCAGCGGCTATAAAGTCCCCCCATTCACCCTGGATTGCTATTACATTGACTTCGATGGTACTTTCTTTGTTCGTGTGCTCAAGACCTTTCAGATTGAGCAGTTCAAAGATCTGATCAGTATCGAAAGTCTTCCAATTCTGCCTCTCAATCTTGCCGATCTTAAGGGCTTCGTGAACATCGAACAGACCAGGCAGATGGTCGAAGACTTTTTGTCTTATACTGTGCCCTCATACTGCTACTTCAATGGCTACAGTCTTGCACAGGACCCGGAGGGCAATGTGTTGAGGTTACCAAAGGCCACTACCATAGGCTCTGTAGGTGTGGTGTCGGAAGGCATTGAGAGCCCTGTGGTTGTGGACTTTGATCGCTGCCTACAGGCGATGCCGGAGTGGAAACCTTGCAGATTTGCCCAAGAGCTTTCCGCGCCCTACAAAGAGCATGCTCTCTCTAATCCGGCTTTTGATGATGATCGAATGTGGGATCTCAGAATGGCTGAAGATGTGCTTGACTTCAAGAGTCAAGGTCAGACTGTCGAATGGCGCAGCCGTTCGCCTCCAACAGGAGATGAGACCCTTCTGCTTCCTAACAGAGTGTTTGCTTTTGTTCTCCGCACACGTAAATGGGGTAAGAAGTTCGAATCTCACGCCACTCAGGATATCTGACTGATTTTGTGTCGTCCAGCATGCTTGCCAATCGTGGCAGACACAACTGAGACGCAAGGTGAGCGTCTCAAACGGATGGAGTCAGACCCTTCAGCATGGAAATATCTCCAGATAGATGAAAACCATAAGTCAGTCATCAAATCTATGATGGAGACACATTTCAGGAAGACGAATTTGGAGAGACGGCAGTTCGATATTATTCAAGACAAAGGAAAGGGGCTGATCATTTTGTTACATGGCGTGCCGGGAGTTGGAAAAACATCTACTGCAGGTGAGATTGCTTCTTGTTCCAAACCCTTGCCGACTACAAATATTCGGGACACTTCGGAGAATAACTGTCAAGTAAAGAGACCGTTGCTCAATAATATAATAAGCCACTTCTACCGGTCACTTGCGGCAAGTACTCAATCTTCAGAAATGTATTGAACAATCTAGCTGGGCGTTAGGTGATCTCGGGATGACCCCTACTGAGGTTGAAGCCAACCTACAGTTGTCGCTTCAGTTAGCCCAAGCCTGGGAGTGTATACTCCTCCTTGATGAGGCAGATTTGTTCTTGTCCGAGAGGGGGCAGGATAATATTCAAAGAAATGCCCTCGTCACCGGTACGTGCACAGAAAACAAGAAGAGGTTTCATTATTCAAATACGACTTTCTCCGTCTTATACCATGGTGGCTGACTACCATAATTAGTTTTCCTTCGCGATATGGAGTGCTGTGAGGGCATACTCTTTCTCACAACGAGCAGAGTCGGCACTTTTGATGAGGCTTTCAAGTCCCGCATGTCACTAGCTCTGTACTATCCAGCGTTCAACCAGTCTCAGACTGAAAAGATCTGGATAGGCCAGATGGAGCGTATCGAGGAGTTGTCTGTCAAGACCGCACCGGACGACGCGTCTAGGCATGTCAAATTCTTTACCGATGATATAATAGTACTCTCCAGGGAGATTTGGTTTTTGCAGCATTCCCAGCCTAGCTTTCAACCAGTTTGGAATGGGCGACAAATTCGCAATGCCTTTCAGACCGCTGTAGCGCTGGCAGAGTCCCAACAGCGCAGGGAACGCAAATCGGGACCGATTTATGTCATGAAAGAGCATTTTACCAAAGTCGCCGACGTTTCAAATCAGTTCAACGCCTACCTCTACACGGTCAAGCATGGACGCACAGATGAGATCCTGAGCCTCAGAAACCAGTATCGAGCAGATCAGTTCGATCGGTCGTCCCAGACCTCTTGGGGCGGTCTAGGATTCGCACCGCAGCAGCAGTACTCGCAGTTTCAGCAGCAGCAGCAAGGACTTGGCGGATGGGGTAATCTGCAAAACCCCAATGTCATGGGCGGCGGTGGCCAGGCGGGAATGACAATGGGGGCCCAGGGCCTCGGAAACAATAATTTCCAGGCCCAAACCGGCTTCGGAAATCCTTTGCAGCCAGGCTTCGGGGGTATGGGAAACTAAGTTCCTCCAGGTGCGGGAATAGCCAGAGGAGGTTTGAACAACACAGGCTTGGGCAACTCTGGTATGAACAGCTACACCATTGGAGGCCAGGGTGTTAGTAATCCAGCCATGGGCGATCAAGGCATGGGCACCCAAGGTGTGAGCAATCAGGCGATGGGAACCCAAGGTGTGGGAAACCAAAGCATGGGTTCTGGGATGCAGGCTGGTTCTATTAATCTCCAAGGCATGTCTGGTCAGAACATTCCTCGGCAGATGATGGGCCTACAGCAGTAACTCGAGTCTCTGAGAGGTTTACAAGACCTTCCAGTTTGGTGAAAAAAGAATGCTGAATGGAAACTTGGAAAATTGCACCACAGAAACGAATCAACGCAGGATGTAGCTATTTCTTTTGACAAGACACAACACATAAACGATCAAAGGCAAAGCTCAAAGCTCTCGAGTAAATGAGGTGATTGTTTGTGTGATTGATTCGGCGCAACCTCCTAGACATTAGAGGCTTACTGGAATGGCCGACGAAACCTCAATCTACCACACCATGGTAGAAATGGCATCACTACATGGTGTCATCCCGAAATTAGAATCAAGCAGTAGAATCAAGTCATTTGGGATGATTATGTATCATGATGGAGTGTTCTCATTACTTAAAAATTCGTAAACCTAGTTGACAAGGGCAAAGCTTGCCCCTTCTCAGTCCCCCAAACGCCATCCCTTTTCGTTCATCAGGCCGTAATCCATGTTCTTTATAATCCATCGCTAGCAATGATTCAGGGTATCAGAGAATCTACTGCCGAAAGCGCACTCAGGGGTTCAGCTCAGCCCAGAGCTCGCTGCACTCTCTCCAACCTGCACCTCTTCCTCAGGGACGCCAACAGCAACGCTGCTTGCAACACTCATGGTTGTCAGAGACCTCTCCCTCTCACCACCAGGACGCTCGCGACGAGCGACCACGGCCGCGCCGCTGGGGGCCGGCAAGCCCACGCCAGCTCCTCCCGTGGTCAGACTGCTGACACTCTCACTCCTCTCTCGGCTGACGCTGGCGCTCTTCTCCCTGACCAACTTCTCCAACTCGCGAATACGCTGCTTCAATCCCTCATTCTCCTTCTTGGCAACCTCCAACTCCTGTCGGTGGAGTGCAGTCTCCTCATATCTCGAAGTAGCCGGCATCATACCCGGTGACAGCTGTGACTCGCTCCCAGGGGTAGCAGCTATGGAAGTGCTCCCAGTTGCCTGGTGAGGCAAACGCTGCTGTTGGAAGTACGTCATGCCGCTGGCGTGGGGATCCAGATGCTGCTGCGAGTGGGCTGGCGAGGAAGACAAGCTGTGGCGCGAGGCAATGCTATCCTGGCGCACGGGGTTCGAGGGGCGTGGGATCGGGATGGAGGTCGTGGAAACGGAGGCCGAGCCGGCGATCGCCGTCTGGCTGCGCGTACTAGCGTTTGAGGCGGTGCGATGGTGCCGGCGGGAGCTGTTAGATGGTACCGCGGGGGTGGAGAAGGCAGCACCGGAGAGGAGGTGGGTGTCGGCGGGTGCTTCGGTAGTGTTGGATGCAGATGTTGAGGATGCGTTGGAGACGACAGAGGCGTTCTGTGCGGTGCGGAGGAGTTGGAGTTCGCGGGTCAAGCGGTTTACCTAATGGTCTGTTAGGTGGAAGCGGTGATGGGGTATGTAGCCCGACGTACCACTGCCTCTTGCTCCTTCTCGAGCTGCATATGAAGATCGGAGGCGGTCATGGGACGCGGATGACGGATGGGGCCCGGCCCGGAGACGCTAGGTTCCGGCGCGACCGGCGGAGACGTCGCTGCCGGGGCCATCGTCGGCGATGGGAGAGAGGGGTTCGAGGTATTCGGGTTGTTGACCGTGTTCTGGTTCGAAGGAAGGATGTTGAGGGAAGGCGACTCTGACGATGCGGGCACAGGAGGAGGCGGCATCTGCTGAGATATCTGGTTCGATGAAGAGCGCCGGGAGGTATTGGCGGGATGTGGTGAAGCGGGGACGGTGTTGAGATCGGGCATTGTGGATGTTGAAAGCGGCTGCGGTGATGTCGTTGATGTTTGCTTGGTTCCCGAAGTTGAGGCAACGACGAAGGTTTTGTTTGGGTGCTGTGTTGTCTGATGTTGTTGACAATGTCGCCAGACGCGTGGTTGTTTGTTTGGCTGCGATTAACACACCATAAATCGTCCAATCTGAGTTTGACGGGGTTGTTTGCCTGTAGGGTTGCTTGGTCTAGAGCTCCGTCATGCTTCATGCTTCATGCGTCGTTCCCCCACTTGAGCACGGGAGATAAGGCCAGCCACAACCCCGCTTCTGCTTCCGCCACAGACGCCACGGCTCTGTGTTATCTTATCATACTGGGTCTTATCGATAATGGGATGCGGGGCTTAGGATTATCCGCCACCGACCTAGTGATTAGGTAAGGCATTCCCGCGGGACGGGATGGCATTTCTCCTTCCCTGCACGTGCCGCAGGTTCCATTGCTCCCTGTTGCACGCATCTAACACAACCGCCCCCGATCTCGACCACGCCCTCGATCCGACGTTGTATTGCCGTGGTGCAAAGTTTATGCTAGCAGGTGTCACAAATCCCATCTCCGCGAAAGCGCTAGCCCTACCGACATGCTTTTCCAAAGTCTGGATTCCCGTGCGAGTACGACGCAGCACCCCAGACACCTAGGTGTTCCTTTGAGCTTGTCCCGACGACAGCGAGGCCATCGCCGACAAATGTTCCGCATTCCTGCGACAGCTTCGACGGCCTTCCACCATTCGCAAACATTGACGACAGACTGACAGACAGCTGCCAACTCCACTCCTCTTCGTTGCCTGCCGGTGGTGCCGGTGCGGAACGCTCGACAAGCAAGCAGGCCAGCAGCAGCCCACCATCACAAAAATAAACGGCATAATCCTGTCATTATTTGTGGGCGAAACACGGATACACGTCGATAACGGAGCCACTCCACCGTTTCGGCTGCAGATCACCCACCGTTTCACCGAACGTGGCTGCTTCCCTAGCGTCGGCGCCACACGGTTCCCCGCCGCTCTCCCCGCTCTTGACGTCGCATGGACCAGCAGCCCCTGGCTCTTCTGTCTGGCCTCCGGGCAGCGACAATCCCAAAGAACAATCCCGACCGTCTTGCCTGCCCGCGGCGGCGCTTTTGCTCCGAACAGACGTCTCGGGGCCCCTGTCCACGCGGCCCCCTGTCCTTCAGACGCCTCCATTGCAATCTCTTCCCGCCGCTCATTGCCCTTTGAGCCAACCGGTTGGACATAGCTCCTGCAATGATCTCGATTCGGCTCGCCTACGGTCTCGCTTGCGGTCACGGTCGTCGCTCGCAATTCCTGTGAGACGGAGCACGGCACACTCGCACACACAAGGCCAGATAAACGTCCAACCGTCGCACAATCCCATTGTTCTGGCACGGTGCTCTTGTCCGCTAGACGTCGTTCGAACAGAGTGAGAGCCTAAACTGCATCCACCCGACTACCATCGTTTTCACTGGGGGAGACGCTTTGTCCAGCGTTTGCTTGGCCTCGATATCACCCCCAAATATGATCGATCGCGGGTACGACGCGGCGGCGGCGAAAAGCGGTACGGAACACGACTCAAAAAAATGGAGCAGAGCTGTCTAGAATCGGGCGGTGGGTCGTCCATTGACTTTTTCCCGCTATTACGGATACCGTGGCTGTTTTTCTTCCCCTGGGGTGGCCTGCGATCGCCCGCTGTCAACATCACGAGGGAACACCAAAAAACAGGTTTTATCCCCTGCAACCGCTGCCGTGTGGTGGGCACCCGATGAGGCTGAAATGTTTCATCATTGGACCTCGACCGCATTGGCACTTCACTCTGACTGCATTGTGATGCTGCACTCGGCCGATTCTCGCGGATCACGCACTGGGATGGATGGGCAGCCGCGAATACCTGACAATGACGATGCTCTTGGGCAGAAGTCCACGAGAACTGATGCCGCACCAGCCACACCTTCACCTCTGCGGAAGGCCGATGCGCGGCAACGTACCTTGGCCAAGTCTCGTTAGGTATCATACGAACTCGCCAAAATGCAGCTCGCCGGATACAGCTCCCGGACTTGTCTTCGCTACGCTGACCGTTGTACAACAAGCCAAACGGTCGGAGAACATTCCCAAAGGGGATCCGACCGCATCTGTTTCCAGCAATGCCTACCGTCAAATCTACGGAGTTGAGCTGTAGTTTGCGCATTGGAACCGGTTTTACGGTTAGCCCAAATTCTGGAGACTTGGTTGTCACTGCCAAGCCACTTGAATTCATTCAGAGGATTGATCATTTGTGTAGGCGCCTAAAAATACACTGGGCAAGATCTGATCCGCCGCTACATCTGACAAGTCCGATCGCTGTGGGAACGACCACAATTCTCCATACCCATCCGTATCAAACACCGTCTTGCCGAACTGCCTGAAAAAGGTCTTTAATGAAGCCATGGTACAACAAAAGAAACTCGTCACTAATGCGCATTACACGCTGTGGATTTTTCGCCGATATGCCGTTGGGGGAATAATCATGATGCCGAACAATGTCTTGCTGAGAAAGAGAAAGTCTGACGAAAATTCGGCGATAGCAGCCCGCAGGTCAGAGACCCGTTTTCACATCATATCACTAATCCATGTCGCTGTGCAGTTAGCAATCTGAACAATTTTCTCGAGTCTCTATTCCGCACGACAACGAAGCAAGGAAAATGCCCGGATCAAGAACAGGGAAAAAGGCATGTCGTCACTCTGACATCGAGTCGAGCAGAATTTCGACAGCCCGAAACACACGGCTCCCGAACGCTGGCTCGGGTCTGAAATGAGGCGCCGCGCAAACACGGTCGCGAACTCTCGCGGGCCAGGGTCTGCCGGCCATTTCTTCACCGTTCGCGTGGTGGGCTCCATAACTCCGTAACTGAGTTGTCGCTGTGGAGAAGACGGAAGCAGGGAACGAGCCTTCAGAATGCTCGAAAGCTTTTTTCTTGCAGCGCAGTTCCTGACTCGATTTCAACCGCCGATATTGCGCACCGCCCGGATCCCGGAGATCGCATTTGCATGACAGAGTTCTGCGGGAAGGACGAAGCGCACTGGGCAGCACAGGCAAAAAATCCGAGTCGCGTTCGCGCCCTCCAGCCGAAACGTCCGGAAAAGCATCGTATTCGACACGGACCAAACAATCCGAAAACGCAAAAGGAGCAAACGCAACAGACTTTCCAGCCTGGAGAAACAGGGGGTATCGCGAAAAGAAACAAGGGAATATCCGAAAAACTTACAGCAGAGCCAGAGTAAGATCACCGTGGATCTTTGCCTTCAACGTGATCTCGATATCGAGGTTGAGATCGAGCCTCAACTTCAGCGGGTTCTTACCGCCAGCGTCGCCGCCGCCTTGCATTTGCTGTTGTTGCTGTTGCATTTGCTGCTGCTGCTGTTGCTGCATCTGCTGCTGGCGGTACATGTCTTCGCCGCCCTGTTGGCGACCGCCGTTGCGCTGCATCATCTGGTTGTTGCGACCGTACGGGTCGTTGTTCTGCGAATATCCGCGCCGCGGTTGTTGTTTCGTGGTGGTGTAGTTGTCCGCCTGGTCGGACCCCTCACCCTCCTCCTCCTCGTAGTCGTCTTCGTCGTCGTAGTCCTCGTCCTGGTCATCGCCAGAGTAGTAGTCGTCATCGTAGACCTCACCATCTTCACCCTCCTCATCGTCATAGTACTCGCCCTCACCGTCTTCGTCGTCGTAGTACTCGCCCTCCTCATCATCCTGCAGCTCCGTGGGCTCCTCGGCGTCAGCTTCACGCTCAGTGTACCCTGATTCACGCGAACGCACCTTGGCGGGCTCCTGCTCCTTGCCCTTGGCCTCGGGCTTCTTGTCGTTGTCGACGTTGGCACCTTCCTCGGGCTCGTCGTCGACCTGCGCCTGCTGCGCCTTCTGGTTGGGCTTTCTGGTCTCGGGCTTCTGCTCCTCCTCGGGCTTCTTCTCTTCCGTGGAGGCCTTCTTCTCATCGGGCTTGCCCTCGTCGGGCTTCTTGTCGTCTTCTGTTGATGAGGGCGGCTGGTCGAATGTCGACTTCTGCTCCTGTGATTGAGGCTCCTCAGGCTTGGACTCCTCGGTGCTGCCGGGCGCGTTCTCCTCGGCCTTCTTCTCGTTGTTGTTGTCGCCCGCGTTCTCTGCGGGGTTGCCGAACTCGCCGACGGGCGTGGTGCCCTCGGGCTTCGTCTCCTCGGGCTTCGAGCCCTCTCCGCCAGGTGATTGTTGGGCGGCTTGGCCCTTCTACCCACATCTCATCAACATGTGAATCTTGCGACATCAGTGAATAGCAGAGGCATACCTTGTTCTTGTTCTTGGCCATTGTGTCGTCCATAAATGTGATCTTCCCCTTACAACAAGCTAAATTATTTTCGCAAACGACACCTGCTCACTCAATGGTATCGTTTCCGAAATGGGGGACGAGGAGGTATCTTTCTCGTGATAGTACGTTGGGGCTGTGGTGGGTGAGGTATGGTGAGTTGCAAGACGTGTTTGATCAAAAGTGGTAAACCTTGGGAACCAAAAGTAGTAAAAGCTACTAACGGGAAAACTACACGAAGGCACACGAACACTTAAATCAGATCCGCGCACGATGAGTTGAAGGATATCTTGTTTTCAGCGACAATTACCTCACAACCCTAGGGGGAGTGATACCCAGTGATGTAATAGGTGTGGGAAACCGGGGTGGGAGAGCTGAACGGGGACCCGGCTTATGCAGGTAAGGGAAGGGGGAATGGACTAATTCCTAAACGTGGTGGACTTACACGCCGGCAAGGCATAAGGGAGACACGCACAGAGAGACAGGAATCGTGGGGACCGTGAACCAGCCAGCGGCCAACACAAACCCCGTCGGTGTGATATCACTTGATACCATATTCGGTGGAGGGGGGGAACGTGTGTGATTCTCGAGAACAGGATTCCTCTCCTATCCGAACGCCCTCGATCGACAGGGTCCTGAGGTGTTGACAAGGTGAGCAAGAGAAAAGGGATCAAAGAGGTGACGTCGATGAGCATGAAGCTCTCTGCCTTCCTCTGATTCTCGCCGAGCGACGAATCATCAATGCGAATGGGGGAGTCTGCGGCCTTACTTCCGGGCGGGAAGAGCTGATACGGCGGCCCAGCAGAGCATATCCTTGTTCGAGGAGTTGGGAGGACACGCCGAGAGGTGTGCAAGTTCACTGGCAGTAGCCGAACCAACAGCACCAAAAAGGCACCAAAGGTGAGGTTTGAAGCTCGAAGGAGTCGAACCGAGAAAATGACGTAGGACAGGGTGTGCAATTAAACCGCCAACCTAATCCACCACGCACGCGCAGTGACAAAATGTGACAAGTAAATCAGACGGTGACCCAGTGATACGCGCAAAACAGAACGGTCTGGACACTCATCTCGGTGGAGACCGTTGCGCATGCGTGGGTATCCTCCTGGCGTGCTGGCCGGTACCGATTCTGAGGTGGTGGGTGGGTGTGGGCTGACCCCAGACATGGATGGAGAAGGGGGGAGGGGGGGTGTTCCCGAAACGGGCATCTCGATCCCAGGAGAGCAGTCCCGGCGAATCGAAACACCAGACGGACGACAAGAAAAAACAGAGATACTGGTATATGCATGCTTGGGAGGCAGATGATGACCACACACGAACCCCTCCATAGAAGCCACGCGGAATTTCTGCCTGTCGCAGGCCGCCCCGCGCTTCTTTTTTCCCATGGGATATTCGCTAAAACCTGTTTCTTCAAATCTCGAACAGCTCTTTCCGTCGTCCGCGCGCAAATCTGCCGTCTTGTTGAGGAAGCTCGGCAGCGAGCGTAAATCAGAAAAAAACTTGTCTTTCCACAAGTCGATAGTCGATCAGTTCGAAATCCCGGTCGAAGTCCCCCCCTGCCTCGCCTCCCCGCGGTTCACACGGTTTTGACACGTCCGAGTCCCGAGAGAGAGGGAGAGTCAGTCCCAAGGTGCCTGGACAGACAGTCTGGACAGTCCACTTCTCCCGCGCGGAACCAATCCCCCTCCTTCTCTTCTCGCCTCTCTTGTTTCCTTCAGGCCCTCCTCTCTGCGCAGAGGAAAAGATTTCGAAACATGGTCATCGGCTTACTCACCATCGCCGCCATCCCCACAGTCATCGGCACTGGGCAGGCCGTCAGCGCGCAGAAGAAGCAGAATGCCGCTGCCAAAGAGCAGGCCAAGTTCAGCCTCACGGCGACCATGACCATCGACGGCAAGCGGGAAGAAGCGCCCTGCGTCCTCGTCGACAACAAGGCAAGTTTGTCCTCGCTTTTTGCAACCCTCTTGCGTGTCATCTCGTCAATCATCTGCAAGGTGCACTTGCAACTTGCTTTTTTGTCTCTTTTCCCACCGTTGGGAATGGGGGAGGGGCAGCGTCTCCGGCCACACCCACCCACCCACACACCAGCCTTTGCTCGACTTACACACTAGTCGCACACATCCACCATCGCACATCCCATCCACAACAGCAAACTAACATGCAGTCTTTCTTTACCCCAGCTCTGGATAAACCACAGCATGGCTCCAGCACCGGGACACAAGTTTTCAGGGTACTACTTCAATTATCCCTCCGAAGAGAACTACCGCGGGCTGGTATCAACCATCTCGGATGATCCGCCGATGCTGAACTGGATCTACGTCGACGCCGATACCCGAGCCGTCCGGCACGGAGGTCGTAAAGACACAATCGGCCACGTCATAGGACCCTGGGGCTGGACTGAAGATGAGAGGCATCTGATGCTGAGAGGCAGTGGGATGGGATTTGTGGCTGCCCTCGAGGACGACGGCAGATGGGCGGTGTATTGGGATCCGGACGGGAGGCTACGGCAAGGGTACGAGCCGGATGAGTGTATAGAGATTGTCCTGCGGCGGCAGATGGCGCTAGGCATTGAGAGCGCATATGTTCGAGATTGAATAATAGCTAGGCCTCTTTTTCCGGATGGTGGTGAGCACCGCAGAAGCCAGGAAAGGGGAGGGGTGTGTGTTGAAAGAAGGCGCGGGGAGAAACCAGAAACCTGGAGGAGCCTTCTGGCAGCATGTGCGAATAGACCACCAACGATGCACAGCACGGCTCCTTCGAGGTTTCTGCACAGCTTGCATGGATTTGGCATAGTTGGTATCTGTAACCCGTGAACCCGTACTCCGTCAGTGCGAAAAACCACAATGCCTGTTAAGCCTAGCTTGCGAGGCATCGAAGGAGGCGCAAAACTGACTTGCGAGAAGCTTGTTTGATGGCAGAGAATAGAGTAATGGTGCGTCATGCCTGCATTGGCAATGTGATGACCCTCGAGCCCGTGGTGTGAGCATGATTGGGCTGTAGCCTGCAGTAAGGCTTTGCGATGCAAATCCGAGAGAAAAGCGACAGGGATGCTCGACACCCTCTTCCAATCAAAGGTTTCTGGGATGAGTGACTGACTGTGTGGTGGAGAGTAGAATGGACTCGGCGCCAGAGCAGATCGGGACCGCTCATCGAGAGCATGAGACAGGTCCAACCGCCCCAGCAGCCCCATTGATTCCGCCCCCCCCTCCGCATGCCGCTTGGCCCTTCTTCAACGTCATTTCGGTCCAGAACACCTCGAGACTCGAGTGGTGTGACGCAAAAAGTCGAAGGGGTGAAAACATCTACCGTGGAAATCCTGGGTCCCCCAGGGTCCAACATGATCTCATCGGCCGAAGAGGGTGTAAGCTTTACATCCTGTTTTGACTGCTTCCGGATACTGTCCGGAATCAGTTATATGTTGCACCCTCATCCGCGACTCATCGACCGAGAGGAACTTTGAAGAAACACTCACAAACCTTCGCATATAATCCAGAGCCCTTAATTCCTCAGTTTCCCATCCCACACCGACGGGAAGGAGAGAGACCATTAGCCCATTTTCGAACTTCAACCAACAAGCCATCTAGACCGTCAACATGTCTTCCCCCCGTGAGAAGAACAACACCAAGTACGCCTCCGACGAGGAGACCTCCGAGGACACCCAGCAGCAAGAGCAGCCTCAGCGCCGCCAGCGCCGCCAGGGCAACAGGCAAATGCAGCGCCGTCAACAGGGCGGCCCTCTCGGCGGCCTTGGAGGAGGTAACCCTACCGAGGCTGTCCAGGGCGTCACCGGTGGTGTCCAGAACACACTAGGCAATGTCGCCGGCGGTGCTCTGCAACAAGGCGGCGGCGGTGGTGACAAGAGCGACACCCTGAGGTTGCGTCTCGATCTCAACCTCGATATCGAAATCACGCTGAAGGCGCGCATTCACGGTGACCTTGAGCTTGCCCTCTTGTAAGTACTGACCTTTTTTCCTCATCCCTCAAGTTGCGGCCCCCTTTATCGTCAGACTATCCCATTCCGTCCTATTTTCTTACCGAGAGACAAGGACGGGCTAGTTAGGCCAAGTTCATAATGGGCTAATGGGCTTTTCCTCGTCTTTTAATCAGGAACTGAGAGGCGTTTTCTCCAGGGACAAATCTTAAAACGGCAATCAACATCTTATCGGTTTTTAAACGGAGTCGCGGGAATACAGTGGGCGAATTTTCGACACAATTTGCTGGAAAGTGTGGGTTTTATTTTGTCGACCCTGTCTGCCCAACCGTGAGAGAAAACGGTTGGCCCGCAGACAGGGGGGAGTTGGTGGACGGATGGTTTATTGGTATCCATCTACCGCGTGTATTATGAAAGAATTGTGCATCACCACCATCATGATGAGATATGGACACTATTTCGGGAAGTTTTTATGGGTATCTCATTCGACGTTAGCCAAAGCATTCTAAACACTTTCAACGAATGGTATTTGATCAAATTACTGTCACACGCGCCATATCACACCGTGAGCAGCCGTGATTGACCACCTGCATGCCCAATTCGTCACCCCAAGTTGATGCTGGCCCTCCTCTATGCAGGCCATGTCAGCGTGTGTAGTTGGTTTCAGCACACCATCTGTGCTCTCAGCCACCCGCTAGTTACACAAGTTCGTGCGGAGAAGGCAAGCCAAACCATGTGTGTTGACAACCGCCGTCAAGCACGCGAAATGGCGGAATTGGCGGAGACGGTTGCCAGTAAACCGTTCGTAGCGCCAATCTCTCTACCGCCTAGCCACTCTGCGTTTCACGCTCTTTTGGTGCCGTTGATCTTATGAATGGGGCGAATCTCCAATATGACTTTGGGGTCGAGTCCACCCACCACCAGCACAATATTATTGTCCAATCCTCCCCAGGGCTAGTGCTATCGGGAGGCATTAACGGAGGGGGCTGAAGAGCGACTAGCCACACGTTGCGAAATCGACGGTGCTTGAGGCTACTGCGGGTGCTTCCCTCTGTGCCTTGCTTTCGGTGCGCTTTTGCTCCTGACCCTAGCGTTAGTGTTGTCTGCCCAAGACGACAACTAAACAAGATTGAAGTCTCTTGACAGGATCATGCCCGCATCTCAGCTTCAGCCTCTCTAACCGAAGCACTCACCGGAAAACTCAGGAGCAGAAAAGCAAAAAAAACTCTGTAGGTAAAGGTCCGGAAACTCGCAAGCAAACTCTCCAGCCACACCGGCTTCGGCCTTCCTAGACCGTCCATGTTCCTAGACCGTCCAATGTCGACGCGTCGTCGCCGCCACATGATGCGATGTAACTTGGTCAGTGTGCAGAGTGTGCGTGCCTGCCCGCCGCCCAATGTAACGGTGGAACGGCCCCCCTGTTCCCTCGTTCCCCACCGCCCATTGCCAATGCAACCCAAGAAGGACCGCATCCGCAGTACCGTCTCGACCATCAGCGGCGGGGAACGGAACGGTTGAAACGCTGGTGGTCGTGCAGGGAAACCGTAGCTGAACGGGAAATTCTTGCATCGCATCCCGGCACACCGGATGAGGCCATCAGCCACTCACATCGGCTTCCGTCCGTTCGCGTGGTGTGTCTCTTAAGCGACTGCCAACCAGTCTCAACCGTCAAGCCACCTGCCGAGGACGTTTTGCGCCGATCGTTCGCTCCCGTCTCATTTCCTTTGTTCTGGGCTCTCGTCGACTCTTTGCCTCTTTGCCATTCATTGCCTCGTCGGGAACACCATCGAGATCAGCACAATAGCCGTCATCCGTTAAGACGCATTCCCCGGTTCGGACACCGTCTGGACAAACTCGAGACGTATCTGAAGGCCTGGTGAAGCTCTCCCGGGCATGAACGCCATACCGAACTTGTGATGAAGCTGATCACCTGCTGAGCCACATCTGAAGTTTACTCGGTTGCCGCCGGTCTGTAGATGTCTGTGGTCGTCTCCAAGCCCTTCTTCAGAGTCTGTGTCGCTGGCTCGAAGCTTCTGCACCGCCAAAGGTGTCTCTAGGCTGCCATATCCCGGCCGGGATAGCGCTGCAGCCTGCACAGCTTGCGCAACTGTCCACCTAGCTCTCCGTGCTCTACTCTCCAGCATTAATTGACGGCTAGCCGTGCGTTCCGTCTGTACAGTAGTTCGAAAAGCAAAAAGCCCAACCACTGAGGAACACGGATACTCGCACAGCTGTTCTGGTTTCGACCAGAAAACAGGCTTTTGCCAGACGTGTCGGACCTTTTGCCCTCCAATCTCTGCGCTGAGCCGGCGCCTCTTTCGGAGTCTTGTCTCGTTTCCATTCTGCCATCTTCACCACCCGCCAGCGATCCCTCCCACGCTTCCTTCTTCTTGTTGTTCTCCGAAGTACCCGGTGGATACGTTTGCGTGTGTCTGGAGCCAGTGGAGACACCAGATCTCGGTTCGACAAGTACTTGATCCCATCACCCTTGCAAGACATCCTGACAAGGTGAACCGTCGCCCCGTTCGCCAGTTCTGGAACCTCAAGCTGCCCCAGCTGCCCAGCATCTGTCACGGCGGCAGCGTACCCACACTCGATTCATCGTCTTCCTGACGTCACAGCAACAAAACTGACCCCCTTCTGCCTCGCAGACCTGGCACAAGCGCTGCCCGCGTCTCGCACCTGCCAGAGCAGATAAGCCCCGTCCGCGTGAGGTAACTGCTCAAGGGGTGCACCGAGAAACGTACACATCAGCACAGTCTCTCGATCGGAGTCGAGTTCAACGCCTGATTTCCGAAGCAAGGCGATCCTCAGGTGGGTGTCCGTATTCCTTTCCTTCTCTCCGTTGGTCCTGTGCTGGCCATCCTGGCCATGCTTCCCCTCACCTTGAAAGCGAGCCCCAGCTGACGCGCAGTACGATTGCTTGCAGAGGACACATTGTGGCCATCCAATAATGACGGCATCCCCTCCTTCTCGGCCGATTCCCCCCACAGCTCATATCGAAGAACCCGAAGGCCCAGCCTCGACGCTGAACACACCGCGGACTCTGCAAAGGGCCGTCCCCGAACATCCCAAACCCTCGTCGCATACCATGCAGCGTGCCGAGCCCCGAGCTGCATCTGGCGGCGATCCAGACCATACTTCCCGACACGAGGAATATGAGGTTGTTGAAGTCGACGACGATGAAGCTGGGGTAGAAGAGGTCCCACGACGCAACGTCCGGCCACCTCTGCCTCGTCTGAATTCGTCGTCGCGCGCGCCTGGCTCGCCAGCTCCACCAGCTGAAACCACTCGTCCGCAACCTCCCCCTCGGCAAAGCAGCAACACAGGCACCCCACAGCCGCAAGGCCAGGGCGGGCCTTATCATCTACAGGGCTCGCGGGAGATACCCATCCCGGTGAGGAAGTCTTCCACGCAGGGACAGAGCGTGCCGAAAGACTCGACGCCATCGTCAGCAGATACAACAAACAGCCGCACGGATGATGGCACACAAGACTCTCAAGAGTCAAAGGACACATCAGCTGGGTCAACCAGCCCCAAGGGCAAGGAGCCGGAGGGGAAGAATGCCCCCATCCGGATTCCAAGAATCACACCTGTGGCATCTGGCCTGACTATTCCTCCTAACCTTGCTCAGCTGGCGCATGGACTGGAGGGAAAGTATGTCGATGAGTTCGGAAACATCCTCGACTGGAACGGACAGGTTCTTGGTCGTGTCGAGGGTGACTTGCCGTCGATGATCGGACGGCCTGTTTCTGTGACTGGCGAGATCCTCAGCGAGGACGGCGAAGTCGTTGGTTATGTAGCAGAGAACGACACGATTCCACCGACGCCTCCGTCGCCAAAGCCCATCGAGGGCATGGGCGATGGACTGAAGGTGGACCACATGGGCAACATACTCGATAAGAACAATAACGTCGTCGGCCACTTCGATGGCGCGCACTTGGGCAAAGGCCTCCAGAAGCCTGGGCAATCAGCAGGCAATGCTTCTGGGCAGTCAAACGGCGCGCGCCCAGCGGAGAATGCGCATAACAGCGCGCCCTCTCACGAGAATTGCAGCTGCGGTCGACCTAAACCATCGTCTGCTCCAAGTCCATCCGAGGTTTTCATGGACGTGAAGTCGACGCATGACGGCATCCAGCTCATTATCAAAATCCCAACTGTGTTTAATGGTGGCGGGGTGCCAAATATCCATATTGGAACTGGGTAATATTTGGACGGGAATTCTGCGACTGGATGGAGATGTCGATCATGGAGTTCTGGAATGGTTCCATAGATGCTGGCATGCGGCGGCGTTCAGACGGCGGCGAGGCGGGCGTGATAGGCTGGGATCGAGATGTCGTTCCAATGGAACCCGTATTTGGCAATGCAAGACCTGAATAACGTGCATCTGAGACCCCCGTTGAACCGTCCACTAGTAAGGCTGAAAGGTGGGTGAAGTCCAGAACCCCAAATTTGAGCGGGCGCATATTCGCGGCGAGGGAGCTGCTCGATTCCTGAGCGTGGCGAATGAAAGGCTGGCGCGCGTGTTTCGAAGAGCGTCATGACGTTGGTTGTGCATGGGGAAATGCTGCATGACAGTCCAGCCTTTGCGAACTTCGCAATCCTCATTTGCAAAAGAAAGTGTTGGAGGGCAGAAAGCAGCGTCTGGGGTGTAGCTGGTGGGGGATCTGACGAATGGATGATGCAGAACAGGGAGGGCCCTTGAATGCACTAGCCACACATAACTGGGAAGCTCCAAGATGGAGGCCGGGCGATCAACCCCATAAGCCAATGGCAACTCGCCCGACTGGCAGACTGTCACACCATCTCGTAAGGTGCAGTTGCTTTTCAAAAGTCAACTTGCGTCATGAGACTGGGATGCCAGAGTCTGTCAACCCCTTTCGCGTGCTCGGACGAGTGTGGCTTTGCGTCATGATGGGCGGCAGACGAGCCGACCACCTCTTCCACATGAAGTCACAGATGTGGCGCGAACAAGCCAGAGTAGGCCAGAGCTTCGAAGAGCTCCCCAAGCTTGAGCTCCCCTTGACGTAAGGTTGGGTGAGGCCATAGAGCTGGAAACTTGGTTTGGTGTGTGAGGATTTCTGGTATAAGACGTCCGACCGGCAGGTGATGGTAGTTTTTTTGACTTTCGACTCTCAATTCAAAGCATTCATCTCATGGGCTACTACATCTTTTCGTATTAGCCACATTATTCCATTTTAACCCACTTACTTACACGCGCAAAAGTTGCCCAACATTTCCGGACTACTGTACCTCAGACACCGAACCGACATCATGGCTGGCGCTGCCTCAAAATCAGGAAGCAGCATGCCTGGTGGATGGGGGAAGGGTGAAGAACAGAAGTCAAGTAAGTAATCAACTCACACGGCATTCAAAGTTTCACGACTGACGCGTTTCAGCATACTCCGTTGAGCAAGATATCCAAGACCATGGCGAGAACCTCGTTGCCGGTGTCATCGGCAAGACAGGAGAGGTCGTAGACGAGACCGGCAAGACCGTCGGCAAGGTCACAGAAGGCGAAGCTGGCGATCTCGTCGGTAACGTCGTGACAGCGTCCGGAGACATTATCGGAAAGGACGGTGGTGTCATCGGCAAGGCCCTGCCTTTGGGCGAGCTCACCGAGAGCGTTGCCGGAGGTGAGAGCAAGGAGGGCGGAAGCTTCAGCATTATGGGCGCTACCAAGGGCGTCAAGGGTATCGTCGACACCGTCGACGGTACTGTTCAGACCGTCAACAGGACATTGCCTCTCGTCGGCGACTTGACGAAGGGTATTGGTCTGGGCGAAGGTCAGGGCGGTGTCCTCGGCGGTGTTACCGGTGGCGATGGCCAGAGTGGTCTCCTCTCCGGCGTCCTCGGCGGCGGTGATGAGAAGTCACAGTCTGGCATTGTCGGCGGTACACTCGGCAGTGTCATCGGCGGCGGCAAGAGTGAGAAGGGCGAGCAATCAGGCCTTCTTGGCGGCGTTCTGGGCGGCACCCAGCCTCTGGAACGCGACGATACCGTCACCGAGAAGGATGAGAAGCTCACTCAGCTCCTGTCCAACAGACCCGACGACGCCGAGGACAAGATTTCCCTGACAGAGGACGCCAAGAAGAGCCTCTTCGAGGTCAACGACAAGACCTCCGAAGTGGCACCCGTGGACCTCCAGGATTCCGCCCCACAAGAACTGAACGGCAAGCTCACCACTGGAGACAACACCCAATCGGAGACCGAGCCATCTCAAGCTGACAAGACTGAGCTTACAGACCCTTCCACTGTTGGCGACAGGTCCCAAGATCTCGAGGAGTTGGAGCCGGAGCCACTCGAAGAAGATGACGCCACCGCGAAGCCCGAGTCCCTCAAGGACGATGCCACAGAGGCCACTGAACAGGCAACCGAGAAGGCCCCCACCCAGGCTGGCACCCAGCAAGAGGACCTTCGATCACGGGTTCCCGACGACATCGCGACCCTTGATATCCCTGTTTCCCAGATTCCCATGACTCTGAAGAGCGAGCTTCCCGACGACCTCCAGACGGCCGACATCCCCGTCTCCCAGATCCCCTTCGATGCTCAGACAAAGCTCCCCACCGATCTTGTTTCTCAGCTTCCTGACGATCTGAAGACTGTCACATACGAAGACGAAGACGACGACCTTCAGTCGAAGGTCCCGGACGACATCGCAACTCTCGACATTCCCGTCTCCCAGATCCCCATGACTCTGAAGAGCGAGCTTCCGAAGGATCTCCAGACGGCTGATATCCCTGTTTCTCAAATCCCCTTCGACGCCCAAACGAAGCTTCCCACCGATCTTGTTTCTCAGCTTCCTGATGATCTGAAGACTGTCACCCAGGAAGATGATGACCTTCAGTCAAAGGTCCCCGACGATATCGCAACCCTCGACATTCCCGTTTCCCAGATCCCCATGACCCTCAAGAGCGAGCTCCCCGAGGATCTTCAGACGGCCGACATCCCTGTTTCTCAAATCCCCTTCGACGCCCAAACGAAGCTTCCCACCGACCTTGTCTCCCAACTTCCTGAAGACCTCAAGACTGGCGGCACCAGCGTTACCGATTGGGCCAGAGGTGCTTCTGAAGCGCAATCCCAATCACAGCTTCCCACGGATGCGCATACCGGCGACATCCCTGCGTCTCAGCTTCCTGATGAACTGCAGACTGAGACTGGCGAGACCGGTGTTACCGGCGAGACTGGTGTTACCAGGACTGTCAAGGAGGATACCCGCAGTGTTCTCAGCACCATCCGCGATGCCATTCCCACCGACCAGCGCACTGTTACCGTAGCTGGCGACAAGCTGCTGCAACCTTTCGAGAAGTTCCCTGGTGCGGAAATTGACGACGAGGGCAAGGTCATCTTCAACGATGCTTCCATTGGCAGAGTTGCTGAGGGTGACCCTGCCGACCTGGCTGGTCACGTCATCGACGCCGAGGGTAACATTGTCAACGAGCGTGGCAGCATCATTGGCAAGGCCGAGCTTAACACCATTGTCGCCGAGGAGTTGCTCAAGGACACCATCGACTACGGCGTCCTCAAGGGCGCTACTGTCAACAAGGCTGGCAACTTGGTCAACGACAAGGGCGAGGCCATTGGCCGTGTTGTTTCTGGCATCCTGAAGCATCTCGTCGGACGCAAGGCCAATGAGAAGGGTGAGATCTGGAACGACTCCGGCAAGGTTATTGGCCAAGCTGAGCCCATTCCCGAGACTGAGCGTGAGGGTCTCAGCGAGCCCGCCCCCTTCGAAGATTTCCCCGGCGCTGTTGTCGAGTCTGACGGCAATGTCTACTTCAACGGCGAGATCGTCGGTCGCCTGATTGAGGGTGACCCGAAGAAGTTGAAGGGCAAGAAGGTTGATGACGAAGGTGATGTCCTTGATCGCAGCGGCAACACCATTGGTAAGGCTGAGCGCTGGGAGCCCGAGCCCGAGCCTGAGCCGGAACCGGAAGAGGAGGTCGTTATCGACAAGTCCATCCTTGCTGGCAAGCGCGTCAACAAGGCTGGCAATGTTGTCGACACCAACGGCACCATCTTCGGCCGCATTGTCGAGGGTGATGTCAAGCGTCTCGTCGGTCGCATGTGCGACAAGGACGGAAACGTCCGCAGCGAGTCTGGCGACATTATCGGCAGGGCTGAGCTTGTGCCTGAGGGTGAGCGCGAGGGTTTTAAGGAAGGTCCTTTCGCCGAGCTTCCTGGCTGCACCGTCAACAAGGAGGGTCACGTTGTTACTCCGGGAGGAGACATTGTTGGTCGCTTGATCGAAGGCAACGCCAAGGTTCTCTTTGGCCGTGCCGTCGATGAGGATGGTGACATTCTCGACCGCAACGGCAACCTTCTTGGCAAGGCCGAGAGATGGGAGCCTGAGCCGGAGCCTGAGGTCGAGAAGAAGATCGGCCCCATGGAAGGCCGCAAGGTCAACCGCAAGGGTGAGGTCGTTGACGAGGATGGCAACATCATCGGCAAGCTGACGACTGGTGAGCTGTCCATCTGCGCCGGCAAGGAGATTGACGGCGACGGTGATGTCGTCGATTCCAAGGGGCGCACTGTCGGACACTGCTCTCTCATCGAGGACATTCCCGAGCCTGAGGTCGAGGAGCCTGAGGAGGATCCCAACGAGGTTAAGGCTCGCGAGCAAGCTGAGGCCGACCGCAAGCTCGCCCAGTCTCTCGGTGCCGTCATCGAGCAGGGTCTTGACCGCATGCGTCCTATCTGCAAGATGATCACAGGAAAGATCGAGAAGGCTGAGCGCACCCCCAAGGATGAGCTTGATGAAGAGCAGCTCGTGAAGGATGTCAAGCCTCTGATTGAGGAGGGTGGCAAGATCCTCAGCGAATTGAACGGCAGTGTCCGCGCCTTGGACCCTGATGGTAGAATCCAGCGCAACGCCAAGCACAAGTCCGGCACCCGTGAGGCAACTCCCGAGGAGCATCACCTTGCTGATGTCTTGAAGGAGGTAAGTTTTCTCATAACACAACATACAGACTCATGCACATGTACTAACAAGACTTCAGTTGACTGGCGCCATCACCGAGACGGTCGAGGGAGCCAAGCGCAAGATCGAGGATATGCCCCACGCCAAGAAGGAGCTCAACCCTCTCTGGGGTCTCCTCACGGAGCCTCTTGGCCAGATTCTTGCCGCTGTCGGACTCCTCCTGGCCGGTGTTCTCAACCTGGTCGGCCGTCTGCTCGGCGGTCTTGGTCTCGGCGGTATCGTCGACGGCCTTCTGGGCACTCTGGGTCTCAACCGCGTGCTCGAAGGCCTCGGCCTCGGCAGCTTGACCACCGCCCTTCGTGGTGGCAAGAAGAAATAAGCGATTTTTCGGTTACGATGTTATGACTTGGGCGTCGCAGCGTGTTCTCGTCGAAGTTCGTTTGATTGACGCGTGTATTCTCTTTGGAGTTGTATCCGTGTACTTGGTCATTGGATTGGAATGGATTGGATTCGGGAAAAATGAATGGAATCGGTCTTTGTATGAGTAGTAGTAGTAACGATAGCCAGCGACTAATTTGTACGCCCTTTCGTATTCTGAATATGTCCGAATCGTCCATGGTGAACAAGCTTGTCGTCGTCGCCAACTTTGTTCCAACATGGTATTTTAGGCTTGTTGGTGTTTTCGTGTGTTCGTGCCTATATCGTTATCAGCAGCGGTAGCCAGTGTGTTGGGGAAAACAAAAAAGTCGTGGGCACGATGCGGTCCAAGTAAAGTTTTTCCCGAAGGGGGCAGCACCTGAACCCGCAAACAAACAAGAATCGGGCAAGTGCGACGTTGACGGGGAAGTTCAGGCAGGGACAACCAGGCAGGAGCAGTCACCATGCACAACATCGTGTGTGCCCATGTCTCTTCCTTCCACTTTCTTCCCATCATCCTGATTCACCACTGGCCCTGCGGCTTCCCGTCCTGTCATCCCAGCACCGGCCACACAGAATTCAAGGATCCAGGTCGACAACATGACACCACTTTCGTCTTGATAGGCGTTGCGCGAGACGTCGAGACTGGCAGAGACACGCCAACGGTCGCATTCTGCAATATCGGGGCGCGCCTTTCCGGAGCCAACCCCGCGATTTAAACTTTGCCCGCTATTGCATTCCTTGTCCATAGCGACGCCGAAAACAGCCAAGAACAGGCCCTGTCATCGCAAAGTTCAGGGCTGATCATGATTTTTCGAGACCCTAAAATCCAACTTTTGGCTTCAAATCACCACAACATCCCGGCCATGTGTCCAGGGCATGGCAGCCCGGAACGGCAACAGCATGTCGCGAGTGTCGGTGACCACGCGAGCGGCTCGGGTTGTAATGTAAATCCTCGACCATCACCGGCCGGTGAACCCACAACGAAAGGAGATTTATTGAACCCGCTAGCGATGCCGACCCTGCGTTAGGCATCGCGTCGCTCTCGTTAGCCCGGCACCTGTCGCAGAGAGGCCGATCGCGTTCCTTTGTTAGTGGGCGGCATGTGGCATTCTTCAGCGGACGTGTCGCCGCCGCAAGGCTGATGCACTAGAAACAGGGGACCCGCCGGCGGGCAGAATCCCGTTTCGTTGCTGCTCACCTGCCCCAAGCGCCTGCATAAACTGCCAGCGAAGCACCCTGCATCGAGATGAATGCAAGTTTGAAAGGGCATTGTGTTTATTTTTGCCGTCTTTCCTGTGTATGCGTGATAATTTATCCTAGGTTTAAATGTGTTGTAAGACTCATAGAGTTAATGAACGCAGCAACAGAGAATATAGTACAGACGGCAACGACCGCAAATTATCTCTTGAAATATCCCACGAGAAATAAAGTCATCATATCCGTGGCTCAATCCAAGATAGATTCTCCTTCTGAGACCGCATCAGTAGCTACGTCTCCAGGGAACATTACTCCGAAATATCAGAACGCGCTGATAGAATACATAACCTCAACAATGCCATGAGAAAATTTCTGGCATCTTACGGTGCAACCACCCACCAAACCAGTGCTGTGCGTCTGCCTTTGTTTTGCTTGAATAAAGCCCGGTGATATCTCGTATCGATAACACAGACAATATCTTATCGGATACGGCCTTATCGATAGAAATCAACAATCTAATCGATAAAGCTCCCCTTCATCTTATCAGCAGCAGCACCCTTACCTCACCCACCCATCGCCCTCCCGCCCTCAACAACCATACACAGGGTGACGTCAAGCCCAAGCACCCGCAACGCAATACCCGTATGACGGCATCAACAACACAATCTGATGTCAAACGCCGCAACCAGTGGCAGGCCACTCGGTGCGAGCTTTCCCACCTCTCGGGGCCTCAAACGCCCCATTGACGCAAGAGCTCCTCCTCCTGCTGTCGCTGCTGCTGCCGCATCTTACCTAAGAAAGCTCCTGCCCCTCTTCCCGACCTTCGTGATCTTGCTATATAACGTGAAAACCTCCTGTTCCAGACCTTCTCCCGTCTCCCAAGACAAACGCTTCCAAGACACAGCACACTACAACGGTCGCCTCTGCAAACTACCTCATCTTAAACAAACCCCATCTGAAATCTCATCCAAAATGCCTTCCGAAGGTCGCCAGTCTCCCCCTCCCGAGCGCCAGACCGGCGCCCAGCTCAACGACCCTCCCGCCTCTGGCAAGGGAACCGACGATGCCACCAACAAGGAGCAGGTCAACAAGGAACAGCTTGAGGTGAGCCTCCCTCCCAACATTCTCTAACGTCTTCATCTAACCATCCCCAGAACCTGTCATCCAACCCCAAGGGACCTCTTGACGATGCTGTAAAGGAGAAGTTCGCCAAGACCGAGTAGATTATTGGATACCATCATATGAAGGCGTTGGGAATGGGACATCATGAAGGCATGAGAAGCACTGAGATGAAATCACGATTGTGATGCTGTATCAATAGATGTATAAACCACGCCAATTGAAAGTGCGTTGACTAATTACGTCTTGCTTATTGCCTGTGATACTTATGTGATCCATTCCCTCTGCGAAAGCTACCATTATGGCACACACGCATATCGACTCCTGTGATTTTGTATGCATCTTACGTGCATGGCTGGACAACATGCATGCTTGGACAACCTGATGTATTTAGCCAAAATTTGTATTCATCCCACGGGCAATGTACTATGCCCATGCAAGGGACTTGTGGTAAAACGCTCTGCTGTCACGTCATCACGAATAAAAGCCTCAAATCACGCAGTCAAGTGATTGGGTGAATTTCCCGAAACCAATTATTGATGCATTCAATCGCATTGAGGTCGCAACTACCTAGAGTGCCTAATAGAACCACGTGCACCGCAGTCATCGCATTGCAGTCATAAAACGTTCGTGCCTAATGAAACCAGCCAACGCCTACCCTCATGTCCTTTTCGTGCCAATCGCTACTCTTACGCAGTCTTCTCGGAAGTGGCCTCGGTGGGCTTGGAGAGGGGGACAGCCGTCGTAGGGTCGGGCTGGGTCGGGGCCTGAGTGCCGATGGTCTCGCCAGTGGCAGGCGGCACCGCCTTCTCCTTCTCCTTACCAAGGAATCTCTCGAGACCGGAAGCCTTGTAGGCGCTGCCGCCGTGCTGCTCCTTCTTCAAGTCCGCCAAGCGGCGGGCCTCGGTGTGGATATCCTGAACCTGTCTCGAGCCGTCCTGATAGAAGGTGACGATGCGCTTGCCAGTGGGGGAGCTGGTAGCCTTCTCAAAGTACGAGCTCAAGCCGCCAAAGAGACCCTGAGCCCTCGCGGTGATGCCGTAGGACTGGTCCGTAGCCTTCGCGCGGTCGGTGGCGTGGTACTTCTGATCGAGGTTCTGGAGGGTGCCGAAGAAGCGGCTGGAGACGCCGTGCTGGGTGTCAAGCTCGATGGCGCGCTGGAGAGCGGCATCTCCAACGACGTAGCCCTGGGCGAGGTACTCGGCCAGGATGCGAGAGCGGGGCTTCTCCTCCTGAGTGATCTCATCGGTATCACGGTTCGCGTTGTCCTTGAAGTGGGAGCCGTCGTCGTTAGAGTCGCCGCTGGCGCTGGCAACGGTGATGTGGGAGGTGCCAAGCTGAGTGTTATTCAACAGGAGAGCAGTCTTAGCAGCAGTCTCCTTCTCGAAGGTGACGGCGGCATCCTTGGTCTCGCCGGCGGGAGTGACCTGAATGTCTGTGATCTTGCCGCTGCACTCAGTTAGCTTCTGTCCGAAGAAAGGATGCGGAAAGCGTCCGGGTAGCAGACGTCAGGCCATCTCGGTGCCTTCGCAGTGTTCGAAAGTGCGGGGAAATGTACTCACCAGAAGCTGAAGAAGTCCTTGATCTCCTTATCCTCGGTCGCCGCAGCGATGTTCTTGACGTGGACGGTGGTGTTGGACATGATGATTGTAGTTTTTTGGCCTGAAGTCGGTGTGGTGTTTGAAAACAAAGAAGTTGAAGGAGGGAGCTTTGTGGTTTGTGAGGGGTAACTGGAGACGGGAGCGGGTATCAAACAAGGGATGTATATGGGTGCTGTCTCACAGTGGATGTGTGTTGAATCAGGCGGTCAAAGGAAGAATAATTGTAGACTCGACGTTGGGAAACGCGTGAATGGATGGGCTTTTATGACGACGTGTCGAGTTCTCGAGTATGGGAAAGTTGGAGAGGAATCAAGATCAGACGAAGGGTCACAAGGACGCGCTTTACCTTTTAGCCAAGGCAAATCCCAGGAAGACAGGAGGCAGAAGGCGATGGAAGGGCAAGCCCGGGAAGGGGGCGGCCTCTCACCAGCAGTGACGATGCTTGACGCCGCAGCGCCCTGTTGAGGGAGGGGCGACCCGTCATTCTCAGTCCTCAGTGTGCCGGGGAAGGGGCAGGGGCGACCACTGCTGCTGCTGCAATGGCGGGAAAGCAAGGAGCAGGGGCCACTCAGGGTCCAATGCTGGGCAGAGCAAGCACAGCAAGACGTCCTCTGGGCGAGGGGGGGGGCGACTGCCAAACGTCATCGCCCGCGACCGTGAGGAGCTCGTGCCAGGGGTGGGGGTGGCTGTGGCGGCACATTAAGCACGGGCCAGAGTTAGCCCCGCTAACAGAGCCACACCTCAGCCACGTACATCTCCACCAATTTCAGGAGACAGAATACTTTCACATGCATTTCTTTCACATATCCCACCTACTGGAACATGCCGCAACATCAGACGCCCATTCATCTGGTCTTGGGACGATGGCCCATCGTGCCATTGCCTTCAACCCAGTCCGCGTACGGATACGACACGCTTGAATACGCCTGACACACCCGGTTTGCCGTGATTGCGACGCGACACCAGGACGACGTGGCTTGTGGCTCGTACACCGACCGGCACCCCAAACTGCACGGAAGAACTCTGCCTTCGTTTGACCATCTCTAGCTCGTCCCATCTTTCACTGCAACTACCACACATTCAAAATGACGCCGCGGCATCTTCCAATATCACCTCCGATGCCTTCTGGCTGACCATGAACGTCGCGATCAAGGGGAACGCGCCCGGAGCACGTGGAAATACGCTCGCATCCACAACCCTCAACCCCTCGACGCCGTGCACCCGAAACCGAGAATCCAGCACTGCCATGCTATCCTCCGCCGGCCCAATGGCGCAAGTCCCCGACGGATGATGACCAAATGTCTGGGCCCGGATCCATTCCTCGTCCGACGTTCCGTCTCCGTCCTCGCACCGGCCGTCGCTCCCGACTTTCGAACACGGCGGTTCAGCCGGCGCCAGCGGACCCCAAGGCCCCTCAACATCGCTCATCACCCGACGGCCCCACGCGGCAACATCTGCCAACGCTCCAAGGTCTGTCTCGGCACCCTCTTCGTACAGCTGGAAGTTGATCTCGGGTGGCTCCGTCGGGTCCGCCGACCGGAGCTTCAGGTATCCCGCCCCGTTTTGCGGGTTGATCTTGACTGTCGAGAAGCCTGAGGTGTTTGGCGTCCCAAAGAGCTCGGCCTGATTGACATCCGGCCAGAAACCTCGGAACGCGCCGCCTTGTACGCTGAACACGAAAATGTCGCGTTCGCCATTGACTGAATGATTCGACCGCATCAGAAGGACATTAGAGTTGAACCCAGGTCGCATGTACGGCCCCAGACCTTTCTTCCAGAGCTCGTAGCACGGATCATTCGGCATGCCTTTTGCGCAAGTCGGTTCGTTGGGGTTGGGTATCGCCGTGAAGTTGATCTGAGCTAGTCCGACAACCGGAAATTCTTGATTATCCTGGAGATTTCGCCCCACGCCAGGCAAGTCGGCCACAACTTTGATGCCGAGCACCTCGAGATCTTGTCGGTTGCCGATCCCGCTGAGCTGCAGGAGTTGCGGGGAATTGAAGGTGCCTCCCGAAATAATCACCTCTCGAGACGCGAAAGCTTGTTTGGTCTCGCCTGACGCTGAAGCGTTCCGCCTCGGGTCGGCGCCGTATGTTGAAAGGCCTTTAAGGTATTCAACTCCGACTGCTATCGGCTTACCGTCTTCCCCTTGCTTAAACAAGACCCTGGTGGCCAAAGAGGTTGGCGATAGTGTCAGGGGATACTTGGCTGACCCGTCCTCATTCTTCGCCGCAATTGTCTCGAAGATGTAGTCTCGCGGCGTTGACCTCTCCCACCTCGCATTTGCGTGGAACACCATGCCCCAGAAACCTTCTGTGAAGTCCCGATCATTTGCAAGATAGTTGGGGTCGCTGCCAAGCATCTCAATCACCTTCTCCGGATCCAATCCCAGTGATCTGATCTGCGCCTTGTACACCTCGACCAGACCCGGAAACGGCAGATACTGAGTGCCGTTTCCCATATTGGTCTCTAGGATACCGCCAAACCCGTGTCCTGGCGTGCCTTCGGGGAGATAATTGTTCTTCTCAACCTTCTCAAACATCCGCCTCATATTCTCGTGCCTGCATCTCGTTAGCTCCACCTCTCTACTCTCATCGCCCTATGGAAAACATTACCCCCAAGACTCATCGCCCGTGATATTCGCCACGTAATTCCAATCCGCATCGCTCGGCAACAGCGTCCCCATCGCATTCACCACCGCCGAGCCTCCGATCGTCGCACCGCGCGGGTAGTACACGCCCATCAGCTCGGCCCCAGGCGGTGCCCGCTCACCGTTGCCGACCCAGAACGTGCCGTTCGGGAACCGCCACGTGAGGTGGTTGTGGCGCAGCTCGACTTCCGGGTCGGCGTGGTGCTTCACCCAGAAGCCCCAGCTGTTGGATGCGGTGAGGGTATACCCGCCGTTCGCGAGCGCGGTGCCGATGTCGTAGCTCTCATCATCCCCCGCTTCGAGGAGCAGCGTTGAGAAGCCGGCGCGGGCGAGGTTGCTTGCGAGGGGACCGCCGCCGGGACCGCTTCCGATGACGATGTAGTCGTATGTGTTGCTTTCGGCAGAACCTCTGGCGACGACAGTGTTGGTGGTGATGGAGAGTAGGGTAGCGACACCCAGGACCAATCGTCGGGAGAACATGATGACGGTTCTGGCTCAGAGTATCCCCCGCAGCTCTTAAAAGACATGTTTCCCGTGACGATGCGATGGACCTGGACCATCTTTTGTACTGCGGTAGGAGGGCCTCTACTACGAACCCTCAGCCGAGATGAGGTGTAACTACATGTGTCCTCTTTCAGACCTTGAGTCCGAAGAGTCTTCAGACTCAATCTCGAATGATGACTGCATCAAGACCCCGGCCGATCTTTGTCCTTACAAGCTTACCTGATGCTTGGCGGGTGTAACCACGGCAGGGGGACTTCTCACCCGAGAGGGGTCGGTCATCTATCCAGAATCCTTTTTGCGTATCCGAGAATGCGACGCTGGTCGGCTGAATTGCTACTCCTCAGCGATAACCTCGAATCAAGCTTGAGCGAGAGGCCCCCATGGATCTGTGAGGTTGTAGTTGCTTGCGACACACGTTCATCCCCAACTACTTCACTGAGGGCAATTTGAATCGCAGGAATTACGAAATAGTCTCTATCCTTCTCTATCCCTCTATGAATGCGCATGCCTCAAAGGCAGCATCTATCGCAAAGACTGATCTCCTTTTCCAAGCTCTCTCTCCGAGCCTATTCAAGGCGTCCGGGTACCACTACAGAATCAATCGCCAAAACTCATGAGGAAGCCATATCCTCCTCTCTATCACAACGAGGAAACACAAGCGCACTTCTTGTCGCGGCAAACCGAGACCTCGCCAAGCCTCTGTCCGCAGCAGTTCTTCGCACACTCCTTACCCTCCTTACACTCCTCCACGTCCTCAAGCGCAATCATGCAATGCTGGCAGTGGCACTCCCCCTCCCAGCACATGACATTATTCGCGGAGGTACAACTCGCAGGGCCAAACTCGCCGGAGCAGCTGGCATGGGTATCGCATCGCCACGGCTTACACGCACACTTGCCGCTCTCGCAGACCTTGCGGTCGCTGCGCTGGTCGCAGGCAATACCAACGCACTCCTTGGACTCCTTGCACACCCCACCGGCACGCTCGGGGCGGTGGAACGGCTCGGAGACGGTGAGCTCGCACTTATTCTCGCGCGAGCACGTCTTGTACGGGTGCGTCTCGTTGTTGCGGAGGACGTAGGTGCAGTCCGCGTGCTTGGCGCAGCCGGTGTCGTCGGTGAACTTGATGGCGCACTCGCAGCTGCAGCTATTGCAGAAGCCGGACTGGACGATGTTGCACGACATGAGGCCGGTGCAGTGGGAGTCGAGCTTGCACGCGGCGCCGACCTCCCGAGGAATGGGCTCGCAGCTGCATGTGCCCTGGCGGGAGCACGAGGGGAAGTGGTGCTCGGGGCAGCGCATCTCGTTGCACTCGGACTCGACGGCGCAGGCGTCGCCGGGGACGGGCCGCATGACGCAGTAGCAGCCTTACCGGTTGCCATCGGCAGGCTTGACGCAGGCTGGATACATGTCGTCCAGGCAGGGCAGGGTGATGCAGTTCCGGGCCCAGGCGCATGTCGAGCCGGCGCCGGAGGGCTGGGGGATGACGGTGGGGATGGTCTTGGTCGGGATGGGCTCCCACTCGGAGAGGACGACGGTCGTGAAGGGCTCGGTGCCGGTCCAGGGTGTTTCTACCGTCAGGGGAAAGCTGGTTGTGGTGTTTAGGGAGGTGACGCGGGTCGACCAGGCTCTGGTACGGGCGTTGGTGAGGCTTGAGGTGATTGTGAGGTTGTCGTTCCTCTCCTTGATGACACACCGACAGTGGTCGAAGAAGCACATGGCTTGTCGGCTGTCTGGACAGCTGAGGGAGCCGCACTCGGAGTTCGAGACGCAGGACTCGGTCGGGAGTGGCAGAGCAACTGAGGTGCGCGTGAATGTCATCGAGGATGAGGGCACCAGCTTTTCTGGGACCTTGCAAGCGGGAGCGGACGCTTGTCGGCCTTCAATCATGGGATCACCTCTGGCGTCCTCGGGATCAATTGGCGGAAGAGGCGGCCAGAACAGGTCGTCGTCTGTAGGCGGCACGACTCGGTGGCCATCACCACACCACAAGTTCTCCCACACAACGTTCTTCTCCCATCGCAGCCTCAAGGCCTTGAAGCCTATCCCAAGACCCATGCTGTCGTCGTGGGGATGGTACTCCCAAGAAAAGACGCCCCACTCGGGGTGGTCTTCCCTCGACTTGCCAAGGTCGCTCTCGAAGTGCGGGCGATACGCGATATCCACCATCTCGTCGATGGACAGCCCAAAGTCGAGGAGGAGCTTCTCCTTGATCTGGACAACGACGCTGTGATGCATCATCACGTCCTCGGGGAACGGAGGGAGAGACCCGCGGGAGACAATGAAGGCCTTGACAAAGTCCATTTCCTGCACGTTGAAAGGTCCGCCAGGCTGGAAGTACTGGGCAAGCCCCGGGTTCTCATGTTCGTCTAGGGGATTCGCGGTCAGAGAACGTTTGTTACCTCTGAAGTTGCCGGTCCCGATGTGGTCGATGATGTCTTCCTTCAAGTACTGTTCCGTAGGCAGGGGGTACGCCTCCTGGAGCCACGCGTTGTTAGGCTCTGCCTCTCCTCTCGTGTGTCCGGGAACTTCCCAGAAGTGACTGGTCCAGACGGCTTTCGGGGACACGACGATGAGCATGGAGCAGCCCCAGACAGGGCCTGAGCCACCGAAGCGAGGTCTCTCAACGGGAACTTCAGTAATCTTCTCCCGGTCAAAGAAGGTGATCTCGCTGGTTGACCAAGGCCTCGGGTACTCGTCCTCTTCGTAGGGCCAGCTATCAGGAGGCCCGCCAAAACCTGGACCAAACTGGTCGATCACGTTTCGCATCGACTGTCACCACTTCAACTCGCCCTCAGGCGAGTCCTCGGGCTGGACCATCTTGTCGTCATTGGTGAGATACACTTCGTCGGGCGTTGGGACCTGTCCCGGCCAGGGGTCGCGTTTCTGAAGTTCTTCGCTGGAAGAGCCGCCGCACGAACCGCAGTTCTTCTTGAGCATGCAGAACTGAGGTACGGGGCAGGTGTCGTCTTGTCGCTTGGAAATCGAAGAAGTAGAGCGCTTGTCGACATGCATGCCGTCAGGTCCCGCGATGAGTCCATCGCCGCACCAGGTCTCGCGGTGGATGATGTCTCTCTCGAAGCGAACCACGAGCTCTCTCTTGCCACTCTCTCCCTTGGGAGTGTACATCCAGGAGAGAAGACCGTGCCAGGGCTCTGCTTCACGGAACTCAGCGGGAGGAGTCTTGCCTTCGTCGTGGTGGTGGTCCTCGCCGAGCTCCTTGCGACGCTTGTAGCCGTAGATGGTGATGTGCTTCTTGTCGATGCCAATGAGTCTTCCTGTCAGGAGATCAATGATCTCTTGGTTGGCCCGCGGGTATACCATGTTGCCGCTGACATCGATCGGGACGAAGAGGATCACCCTGTAGAACTGGGTGCTTTTGGGGTCGAGTTTGTCTCCGACCTCGACGAGGTGTCGAAGGGCGGGGTACTGCTTCTGATCGGTCCAGGCGGCAGAGCCATGTCGAAGGAAGTGGTGAACGTTCTGCCGGAAATAGTGCGCCTCATCGTAGTTCAAGGTATCAGTGTCGAAAGCCTCTCTGTCCTCGTCGGGAATCGAGAAGTTTGGAACTTCCCACATGTGATTTGTGTAGATTCCAGTGGGCGAGAAGACCGCGACCATCGCGCATCCCCAGACGGGTCCGCTGCCGCCTCCCATCGGGTACGTCTCGGAAAAGTCCTCGTATATGGCTGACGAGTCGGCGTGGATGGGGCTGCTCTGGTGATACCCGGGACCGTAGTACTTCACGATGCGACGCATATTCTCCCACCAGTCGGTCTCGCCCTTCTCCCACGTCTCGGGACCGGTCATGGTATCCTGGACGATGACATCTTCGGGGATGGTGCGTTTCTCGAGAGTCGAGCGCTTTTCGAGGCCGTCGTTGCGCTTGACCTTGCTGTCGCTGCAGGCGGGACACTTCCCGGGGCGGCAGGCACCGGTGACCTTCGGCTTCTTGGTGGTGTAGGTCGTGGTCGTGGTGGTGCGGACGCTGGTGCAGAGCTCCGTGGTCGAGCATCTGGCGGTGTCGCAGCTGGTGGTCCAGGTGTTTGTGACATGGTTGGATACCTTGGAGACGACGGAGGGAAGACGAAGAGGAAGAAGATGCCGAAGAGGTAGGCGAAGGAGATGCCGTTGGCTGTGAAGGCTCTGGGTCATCGGGGTCTTCCGGCTTGTTTCCACCGCCGCCGCCGCCAATGGGTCCTATGCCTACCAAGCGACCCCAGGTTGGGAGATTGGTTCCGAGGCGCAAGTTGTGAAGGTTCAGATCCCAACGCCAGTTGGGCAGGTTGGTTCCCAAGTTGAAAAGGACGCGGAGACGCCAGCGAATGGTCCAGCTGAATCGGCCGAAGAACCAGAGAAGGAAGTCGTCGTCGAGGTCAATGTCGATACGGATCTCGTTGAGTCTCTTGTGGATCTCTTTCTCCTCGTCGTCATCGTCATCGTCATCGTCGTCGGGATTCTTGTTGTCGTCATCATTCCCATCATCATCGTCGTCTCCGTCACCATCATCATCTCCATTTCTATCGTCATCGCCATCACCGTCTCCGTCACCGTCATCGTCGCCATTGCCATCCCCATCTCCTTCATCATCGCCACCTTTGCTACCTTTGCCAAGGCCGGGAGGGGCTTTAGGCCAGGAGAAGCCGTCGTCTTTCTCAGGCGAGGTGTAGCACTGGATCTCGGGGATCAAGCAGATCGGGTTGCAGAGGTTGAGGGAGATGCATCTCCAGACAGGGAAAACCGTAGGAATAAGCATGCCGTCTGAGGTCGTCGAGGTAGGGAGGTCGATCGAAAGCCATGTAACGTTCGCGGTCTTGCGGCTTCCATCCGGCTCGGTTGTCGTCGCGATGAGAGGCAAGACGGTGGTGTATTTTCCTGGAGGTGCATACCAAGGACCGATGGAGCCAGAAGCTGGGCGACCAGAGGGGACCGGGCGGGGGCCTGCCTCCGGGTCGTGAGGGATAGGAGATGGCTTGCCGGTGTTGACTGGCAGAGTGCTTGAGGCAGTAGGAGCGGGCAAGGGTACAACTGGATGGGAAGACGCAGAAGGGCTTGGGATGACGGGGATCGGCTGACGGCTTGTTGTTGAGTCCACGGGAGGCAGCTTCCAGGAAAACGACTTTGAAGACCCTGAGAGGCTGGGAGCGCCAGGAATACTGATGGGAGGAGGCAAGCTCAAGGATTCTGACTCTGAGAAGCTGGGAGCGCCGGGGAAACTGACGGGAGGAGGCACACTCAATGATTCCGAGGAGCTCAAAGCGGTACGATCCGTCGACTCCTTGGAAGTGAAGGTCGGGAAGGGAACAGGAGTGAAGCCAGGGACCGAGCTATCGATAGAGCCTGTTCCAGGGAGACGTAGTGAGGGAATGGTGACTGGGTCATCGGCGGGTGCGTAGATTGTAAGAACGGTGGTATAGACGAAAGGAAAGCGAGTCGTCTTGATGCAATCAAGGGCAGCTGGGTTCGCCTCAAATTCTGTGAACAACTGTAAGCTGGTCTTTGTTTCTCATTCATGGGGAGGAAAACGATACTTACGCGCGAATCCCAAGAGAAAGAACTGGGACATCAACAACGCCCAGAGGGCTGCCTCCAGCCGAGTGTGACTGATGGCAGCCATTGTGACTGAGTATTGTCGATCAGTTGGTGAACCCAGGGGAGAGGAAGATGTTGATATTGACGGATTGAGAAGGGGTTTAAGTTGTGAAGTTGTTTGTGTGAAAAGTTGTGGTAGAAGAAGAAGAGGGAGGAAAGGCGAGGGAGGACTGAGATCTGGTTTTGTGGGTGGAGTCCACCTGAAGGCGAGAGTCGAGGTGAATTTTCAAAAGCCAGAAAGGCAGGAAGTGGTCTGGGAAGAAATTTCCATAGTCCTCACCCTTCTTTGACCTTTGGCCTAGGATGAAAATCCCTCCACTTCATTCACCATGGGGAAAGGTGAGATCTGGCGCTAAGCGAGGACAGCTTATCTCATGTGTTTCCAGGTCCAATTCTGCAAGTCGTTCCTTCCTCATTGATGATAAATAGAAATTTCTATCTTAGTGATAAACGTGGACTATAAATTTGTCGTGAGTTGCTTCTTATCTCAAACTTTCTCCATGTCAACATTCACATGAGACTGAGGTAGTCACCAAATGACCTCGTTTCTGAATCCAACGTGACCAGTGCTGCTGTTGCCATTAGAGATATCCACCACCCTTGTCTCTCATATTCCTGCAACTAGGTGCATCATTTCGAGACTGAGAGCTCTGGCAAAAATGGAGACTCGCTTATGCCTCATCTTGTATCATGTAGGCGGCAACATGCCGGCGAAACATCCTACAGTAATCAAACCTGAAAGCACCTCCTTACTGCCGACTGCAGTCTGACTTTGGCCAATAGCTTCTGCCTCATAGTCAGATGACTCTTATGGTAATCAAAAATTTGCCGAAGAACATTAACTGGCGAAAGCGGTGAGTGTCACAGCAGACAAAAAAGACAGTAGTGGACAACGCCCTTGCATGGACACACTGCCCTGACCTCAAAACATCTTTTGCCACGGTTGAAAAATCATCTTGGGTCAGTCAAACTGCAGACTTTCCTAAATCATGCTCGTTCCATTTTCCAAGTAAATTTCTTGTCAATACCGATGCTCAATTCGATTCTAGAGATCCGAATCAATGCCTAAGGACCTGTGACTTGCATGCATGCGAAACTCAGATGCGGCTTCTATCTCTCGTGTCTCTCACAATGTCAAAGCCAGCCCACCCATCCAGCGCCTCGCGAATCTCTTTGGCATACTGAGGAATACCACCAGCAAAGTTGACCTGCTCAAACGCTTTGCCGGGCATCGATCCACCCATGTACGTCGACCTAGTCGTCGGGAACAAAGACGCATTGCTCAGGTCGTTGATCCTTTGTTTCCACGTCTTAGTCGCTTCGGCAGTAGGGTTGATGTACTTGATGTTCTCCCTTTCAATCTTGCGGATGCAGTGCGCGATCCATCGTCCTTGGACCTCGACCGTGGAAGGGCCGTTGCTGAGAAGAGTCGGTCCGTGGGGGCCGTACATGTGGAACATGTTGGGATACCCGCTGACTGTGGTGCCCAGGTACGTGTTCGCCGCCGCCTTCCACTCGTCTTGGAGGTATGTGTTGTTGATGCTCTTGAGACCCATGTTGGTCATGCCGCCAGTGGTGATATCCTAAATCTTTGAGTCAGCTTCGGCAATTTGGTAGCAAGGAGCTGGTCTGGACAAAGCCCGACTCTCGTGTCCCGACTGCTGCGTTCCATGAAAGGGGTAAAACCCACAAAGCCGGTAGCGATAGCAACCACGTCAAACTCGTAGTGAGACCCATCCTCCAACTTGATGCCCGTCTCGGTAAAACTCGCGATACCGTTCTTGCCGATGTCAATGACGTCCACATTCGGCTTGTTGAACTGCTCATAGTAGTTCTGCTCCAAGCAAGGCCTCTTCACACCAAAGAAGTGCGGCATCTTGTCAACGGTGGGAGCCAGGATATCCCTCTTTCTGGCATCACCAATCCTGAGACGGACATTCTTCGACCAGAAGTGGTACGCCTGCTTGTTTGCCTCCGCGTCGAACAGCATGTCCTTGTAGTTGCCCAGCCAGTATCTGAAGCCACCGTGGTCCCAGAGAGCCCTGTAGAAGGCCTCGCGCTCCTCGGGTGAGTCGTCAAAGGTGTTGCGCTCATGCATGCCGTAGAAGAATCCGCCGAAACATTTCTCGCGGAGCTGGAAAAGGCGTGGGTACCACCCCTTCGCGACGTCTTGCTCGGCTGGTGTAAGAGGGCGCTTGCCCATCGGCACGGCTAGATTCGGCGTTCGTTGGAAGACTTTCAGTTCTCCATCTTCTCCTACGAGTTGTCCCCACTCTTGAGAGATTTGGACACCCGAGGCGCCAGTACCAATGACGGCACATCGCTTACCGCGGACGTTTACATCTTCTTCAGGCCAGAAGGAAGAGTGGTGGACGACACCTTTGAACTTTTCGACGCCGGGCCAGTTGGGAATGTATCGCTTGGATGCCTACAAAACGGATAAGCATTAGCTGACGGGATGAAAGGAGTGTGACATTGAGATTCACTTACAAAGCCAGCTGCAACAATAAAGTACTTGGCCTTTGCCAAGCGACCGTCGGCAGTCTTGACGTGCCACTTTCCTTCGGCGGGTTGGAATTGAGCGCCCACTACGACTGTCTCAAAGGAGCAGTCCTTTGAGAGGTTCAAGACCTGCAGGCATTCATACTAGTAACCAAACGAATATCAAATAGGCAGAGGGACTGCCAATTACGACGAACTTACTTTGTCGACGTGGTCGAAGTAAGCCCGCAGCTCCTGGAAGTTGGGGTAGTTGGTGGACCATGTCCAACCCTCAAAGACCTCGGGCCAAGAGAACTCGTACTCGGGGACCTCAGAATCCACACGCGCTCCCGGGTACCGGTTCCATCGCCAAGTGCCTCCAAATGAGGTGCCGGCCTCGTAGATGACACACCGTAGTCCCATCTCACGGAGGGTCTTCAGCATAAACACGCCCCCTTCGAGATTGTCAGCCGTGCCACAGTCGTACAGAATCGGGTACACTTGGAGGGTGACTTACCGAATCCTCCACCAACAATCAGGACATCCACATCGAGGTTGTCAGCATACGGTCCCGTAGTCTGACGCCGTGAGGAGTAGTCTGACAGCTCCGTCGCGAATTTCTTGCCGCTTGTTGCCGCCATGGTTGAAATGCTGTTTCTGGAAAGTGTTTCTTGAAGTCTCGCTTGAATGTACACAATGGTCGATGTCGCAGATTGGGGCCAGACTATGAGAGCTTGACAGCTGTCTTATAACCACCTTCATCGCAACGAATTTACCGTTCGGTTTCGTTTGAAGTGATGCTTTACCATGACATCAGATGATACCTGGCATCCTCAAAGCTTCATCCCCGTTTCGACGAATGCTCCGCAGCTCCAATGCCTGCGGAAGCGGCCAACGAACCTGAGCCGCAGTTGCATCGATCGCCACGCGGAGACATTTCAATAGCACCGCACCTATGTAAGCCCCTGCGGATACGCATGCATGTATTCGATAATCCGGCTGCAATAAAGAATCGGGTTTCCAGCCAATAGCCACAGTTCCGCGACCAACCACGCGTAACAAGCTGCCTCGAAGCTCCCGGACCGCATCATGAGGTTTCACCCCTCTCACAAACGTCAGCCGCGGAACAGTTACGCTGCGGATCCGCAGGCTAGTTGTGCCCGGGTTGGCGTGCGGGAAGGATGTCGCATGCAAGTGCGGAGAGCCGACCGTCACTCGGGCGCGGATCCGCATGTGCCGTTGCTACCGCAGCGTCTGCGGGGAAAACGAAAACCTTCGTGTCGCCATCGTGGAGGGCTGCCCCCTGTCGTTGACGAATCACGCAGCCCCAGCAATGAGACATCTAACTAACTTTCCCTTCATCCTTGGCAGAGTTCATGGTGTGTGCTGGCCTGCCAATTTGGCATTTACTCGCTGCAGACCGAGGTTCTGCGCAGCGTGGGATTGGTTCTTTTGATTTTCTGCCCTTCGTCTATGGATACCGAAGTGCGTTCATTTTGCCATATTGAGCGGAACCTGCGCTACCACTATCAGCAGTATGCGAGCATGTCCAGAACTAGCGGTTACATGCCAAGAATAGCCGCAGGTTGAAAAGCCGCATTGTTACCTCGGGTTTACACACCCGCTTGTCCTTTTCTTCAGCAGAGACAACGTGCTGAATCGTCATCGTTCATCCCATTGAATCATTCACACGCGGCAAGCCATCATTGTAATTGAGTCTCAGCCCTACTACCGCCTAATTATGTCTCTCTCTGCTCAGACGGTTAATGAGCTGAAAAGCCTCGTTGACAATGCTACCAGCAACTCTCACAGCATCCCGGGCACGACGGTTGTGGTGGTAGACCGCAGTGGGGCGGAACAATTCGCTCACTCGTCAGGAAAGCGCGGAATCTCATCGAGCGAGGAGATGAGTCTTGAAAATGTCTTCTGGATTGCCTCCTGCACAAAGATGGTCACGGGCATCGCGTGCATGCAGTTGGTTGAGAAGGGGGTTCTCAAGCTGGATGACTCTGGCCATCTCGAGAAGCTGTGCCCGGAGCTCGCGGAGATCAAGGTTCTGAACTCGGAGGGAAAACTGGAGGAAAAGAAGAGAGGTATCACGCTTCGCATGCTTCTTACGCACACTGCTGGCTTCGGATACACCTTCTTCGACCCCCGGCTCCGAGACTTCAGTTACCCAGCTGGCATCGATGAGTTTTCTGGTAGTATCCGGGACATGATGCAACCGCTCGTCTTCCAACCTGGAGAGAACTGGGAGTATGGCGTAAGAAATTCAATGCGTCTGATTGCTGAAAGTTTTGGTTCTAACTTGCCTTCAGATCGGGATTGACTGGGCTGGCATCGCTCTCGAGCGTGCGACAAACATGAGTCTCAATGACTACATCCAGAAGAACGTTTGTCAACCACTGGAGTTGAAGAACGTCAATATGATACCCACGCCTTCGATGAAAGCACAGCTTGCATACATGCACTACAAGAACCCCGAAGGCAAGGTTACCGTTAGAGACCACCCTCTTCACCGGTCCCTCATTGCCCAGTCCCCTGAGGAAATCGCGAATACCTTCAACAGTGGTGGAGCTGGGTTGTTTGCAAAGCCTTCAGAATACGCACGTAGGTTTTCCTTAGATCATTCCCTCGATAAAGAAAATTGCGGCTAAGCAACATCAGGCATCCTCACCGTCTTCCTGAACGACGGAACCTGCCCCGTTACCAAAGCGCAGATCTTGAAGAAGGAGACCGTAGACGAGATGTTCAAGAACCAGATCCCCGAGTTCCCCAACTTTGGCAGGTCAGGCATCCCGCCCGCAAAGCCGGAGCTCACAAACCCCATCCCTGAGATTTACCCGGTCCCCTGGAACCCGCCCCAAGGGTGGGGACTGACGTTCATGATCACCGGTGGGCCGACCGGGCGGTCTGACGGGACCGCGTGGTGGGCAGGGCTGCCGAACTTGTTTTGGTGGTGCGACAGAGAGAACGGAGTTGCTGGCATCGTGTGCTCTCAAATCTTGCCGTTCTGTGATGCGTCGGTCATGGGATTATGGGGTCAGCTCGAGATGGGTGTGTACAAGGGGCTCGGCATCCTGAAGGGTTGAGACTTGACGAAGTTGATCCGATCCATTCGTTTTGCATGCTTCTATGAATTTTTCGATGAAGTCTCGTGGGTGGAATAATTTCGTAGGCAGTGATTGGACGTCACGTCCGAGCTGCCCAAGTACTTTTTATCACTTAAGCACAATGAAACTATGATAGCCCTCGGAGCACGCACAACGTGGTTGGCTCAGCCCAGCCGATATACGTAGCAAGTCTATGTTCACCGACATCTCGGTCCTTTAGAACAAGCATCAGCTACAGATATACTGCCACCCAAGCTGACCCCAGCAATTTGGACGAAGTGCCAACCTGGCCTGCCGCTACCAATCTCTGGGGACGCACAGGGTCGGCGAGGAGACAAGCCGTATGCACCCCGCTCCCATATGCAGCTCAAACGCGGGGTTGACATGGTCATCCCTGGGTGCGCGTCGTTTCGGATGGCCGGGCGCTTTAAAAGGTCACGGGGAACCAGCGGGGAGAACGTTGGGGGAAAGCTGTGGGCACTTCGGGCTGACTTTGCTTGCGTCAACTCACGTCCCTCGCGTCCGAATGTCAACGTCGAACGAAAAATCCACAGTTTACCAGAAATCAAGCCAACCGCAGATATGAGAAGACAGAATAGCAGCTGCGACCAGTGCAGGAAGGGGAAACGGGCATGCGATGCCGGTGCCGTCAAGGATCTCCAGCTTTGCCTCGACAATGAGATGCAATGGAACATTGGCAAGTTTCTCGAAGCCTCGTCTGCCTTCTCCCAGCTAACGTCATCGCAAGATTGGCAAGATTTGACGGGACCGTGCTCAAACTGCCAGAAGACCAGAAAGAGTTGCACTTACGACTGGGCTCGCTCGCAGCAGCATCAAATCCGCGAGAGACGACAATCATCAGTCTCCGATAAGCTTCCTTTACCAAGTCGCAAACGGGTCAAGTCCGTTCATGATGCCGTGGTACCGGCAACATCGCAAGGAACAGTCGACGGCTTCCAAGATGTCTTCCCAGGATTGGGCTACAATGAACCAGGTCTCTATTATGAAGCGAGTCAGCCATTGTTCCCCGAACCCATGTTCGGGCCAGGCTCTGAGAACTTTTCGTTGTCACCGACCAACGACACAGCCAGCAACGCCTCCCTAGCCGACGATCTATCACTGGTCTTTCCGGCCTCTTCAGCGACATCGATGCCAAGTTGTATTTCTGATGAGCTACCCGGATTGGACGGGGTTGATGGCATCTCTGTGCACAACCCCTCAATAATTGAGTTCGCTCCCAAAGCGCTGGCTGGAGCCCGAGCGACAGCACGGAAGAGACCATGGCAAGGCAGAAAGTACCCAGACTTCTCACTAGGCGGGGTGTCGGAGTTCTCACCAACTCAGCAAATGATGGTACGCACTAATAACGGGCTAATGACGGAAAACCTCATGAAGCTCTACCACGATGTCTTGGAGGGAGCACTTTCATGCTGGCTAACGGAGCAAAATTGTCCGTATTTACTGCCTGCGAAATCAACGGAGAACCTCAACTTTCAAGTGGGGGAGTCAGTTTCGAATCTTCCAAACAGGATTTACCGAAGAGTCCTCAATCTTGACAAGTCCCTAGACTCTCTCGGAATCAGGCCGCTTACTCCATATGAGGACAGACAAGCCACTAGGGCACTTCACTTCTCAATCATGGCATTCACAGCTCAATGGGCCCAGGGCAGTTGGAGGAGCCAATCACGATACAGGCCATCAAATATTGAGGACGCAGGACTTTGTCTTTCTGGTTTAGGGGAAGACTTTGACACAACGATTCAGCAATCGTTCTGGAATCAAGCACGTAGACACCTTGATGACTGTTCCAGGATCAACTCATTCAAGGTTGCGTTCGCGGAAATAGTGTTTGGACTCACACAACAGCACATGTCTGAGTCAGATGATTTCACGTTTGAAGACTTTGATATAGGCCCGATGGCTTCGTCTTGTGGCGGCAGTGTACCAGAACGGATCAAAATGGTGTTTGAAAAGGATGGAAGTAATATGTATACGGAGAGAGCAGCTCGACGGCTTCACGTGCTCAGAAGACAAGTCGAGACATTCGACCGAAAAGCCACCAAAGAACAACTTTCGAGGCGGATTTCCTGCAAAAGAGCAGACTCTGAGGAGCGCAAGACGATGGAACTGATATTCTGGTTGGCAGTCATGTTCGACACCCTATCCGCAGCCATGACGGAAAGGCCGGTGACTGTGTCAGACGAAGAAAGCAAAGACAATGATGAGATAAGGGACGAACCCGAGGCTGGGCAGCAAAGGAGAGGGACGTCTACCACCGACTGGAACGACCGGTTCATCATCAAGCGACACCAGAAACTCGCACCTTTGAGATGGCCGTGTTCCGAGCAGGCAGTCTCCAGGGAACTTCGAGATGCGGCGCCCGTCAAAGTTCTTCTATTTCGGAAGATTACTCGGCTGCAGACTTTGTCATCCAGAGGTGCGAAGGAAGAAGCAGTTGAAAGCGCGATCCAGGATGCTCTCTCCGTATATCGACACTGGAACATGACATATGGTCCACTGTTCCAGGATTGCGTCCAGTACCATGACTCGCTTCCCTCGACGGTCCAGAGCTGGTATGTGTGTCTGCTAGGCCACTGGCTCTTAGCGGTAATGATTTTGGCCGACACAATCAGTTTGATGGATGAACAAGGCATGAGCATGCCATCCCGCGCGAGACAAAGAGCGGAGACGAACATGGTCGGCAATCTACGAACAACAAGCATCCGAATGGTTTCTGATCTTGCGAGGGCCTCAACACCTCGCGATGACGATCTAGGAAAGCTGCCGGAGTATCACCATGCCGCGAAAGAGGGCGCTTTGCTAACGGAACCTTGGACAATGGTTCTGATGCGGTCTTTCACGATGGCGGGGTTGTCTCTACTCGACGAAGCTTCAAACGGAGGACTACAGAATGATGTCGCTGTTGAAGACTCGCAGAGACGCTGCGATGATTGTGTCAAAGCGCTTTGGTACTTGGGGCGCAAGTCAAGCCTGTCTCTCAAAGTAGCCGCAATCCTAGGTGATGGGCTGGAAAAGTCGAAGCTTCGAGGCCTCAGGTCACACACAGAATTCGCTGGTGCTAGCGAGCAGAGCACAATTAGTCAGGTAGAAGTTTTCTGAGCGCAATCTGGAGGGCAAGATATCCTATTCATTATTGCGAATTTTCTGCATGTAACAAGTTGTCGGGATAGTTGAACATAGGTGATAAGACGGTCAGCGTGCCCGATTGGCTGATCAAAACTTCTAATTGTCATATTCGGACCGGAACTTAGCCAATGATATGCAGCGCATGTCTCATTACAAGCTTGTGATCGCCGTCATTATCGTTCTTTGTGTTCCTTGACCTTCCGCCAAAGAGTCGTCAGCCTCTGGGACGACAAGAGTCCGAGATCCCATCTAAGACTCGTCCACGTGTGAACGTCTTTCTTCCTACGGGGAATAAGACAATTTCCGCGGGATAGACACGGAAACTTCCTGTTTCCCTTTGGGGCTGGCCTTGCGTTGGGGTCGCATGGAAGATCTATTTCCGCTGTCGTCAGGTTTTACCGCATCCGGAAGGGAGGCTGAATCAAATAGGCGAGGGTTCCGGACAAGCTTCACATGCGAATCTGGTTTCTTTGAGTGCATACTCGGATCCGGTCCTGCCAATGCAATGAAGGGTCTCAGGACCATGTTCGACCAGTTTGAAGCAAGTTTGGAAGTTGAAACCTTTAATTTGATGTCGTGATATCTGCAGACTGCAGACTATTCTGAAATTATAATACGTAAAAATACCCCGATTGTACAAGAAGAAAAGGGAGATAATACAATCATGATACCGTAGAACCCATCTCGAAAAAACAATTCGTCAAGTCGTTATTGAGCCCAATCAAACACCCCTTTACCCAACCTTGGTGACCTCGGTCGTGGTTTTACCCTGCATGTATGCCCCGAATATCCTTGTTTCCGGCACCTCAAACAGCTTGTCCGTGTCCGCCGTCGGCGAAGGCTGCGAGTACGAGAAGCTCGTGCCCGGGCAATGCGCCAGTTCCAGATCGAGGTCGTCGTCGCGGGGATATTCTTCGGTCGTGACCTCGACCTTGACTTCATGCGTGACAAAAATTTGCCCGATACCGCTCCTGAGAACGGGCCAGAAGACGGGAAGAGAGGCGCAGATCGCGGCGACATCGATCTCGAGAATGGCGAGGACCATGGGCACCGGGGCGTACCACGTCGGGTCGAGAGTGGGGTAGGTTCCTGCGCGGGAGCGGACGAGGGAGACGAGGCGCCAGGCAGAGAGCATGAGGACGCTTTGAAAAATGTGTCAGCCTTCAAGGATTGTAGACGATGAGAGAATTAGAGCTGTGAAAGAGACTTACACGCTGCCGAGAAGGAAGAGACCGAGAACACCCTTGCGCGACCTCTTATTGGCTTCCTTGTTGAAGTACAGCGGTAGCGGGATAGCGAAAATGATGAAGTCGAGGAGCATGTTGCTCGTCGCGTGGGCCTCATATGTCTTGATCAGATCCTCCGCCACCTGTGTCCCAAAACCCCAGCGCCCTATCGTCGGCTGGCTCCAGTCCCAGTACCCGCGGACCGGGATGCAGGGGACCCAGGCAAGGAACATGAATGCGATGCCCCACATGGACGTGAGGACGATCATGACGATGGTCAGGGTGTAGGACTTGGAACCCTTTTCAAAAGTTCGGAGATATTGGAGGAGGATGGCGATTTTGATGAACGTTGTTGACATTGGAAGGGTTCCATTGCAGATGTAGAAGATCTGGATATGTCATTAACAATAAGCAAGACATGGTAATCGATGGGAGGCGCACCTTGAGGAAGACACTCAAGTCTATTTGCAATTCGGGGAATTTCAACAAATGCTCTCCTAAGCCATGGTCGGTTGCGACGCAGGTGCCGATACTGCCTATTGATATTGATATCTGATGAAGAAGTTAGCGGGTGCTGCGGCCCACTTCATGGTTTGTGAAGCTCACCATCACTAATACCACGAAGAAGTCGTCCCATCCTGCTGCCTTGACAATGAAGATGCGAGTAAACAATCTCATCAGCGCGCATAGCAAAGTGAAGATCTGTGTAAGGAAGCTGTCAGCCACCAGTAATCCCCTAGACATTGAACGCCCGCATCAATCGCGACCTACCAAGAACGATATCACGATGCCAAGCATCACACTTCGATTATTAATTGCAGGCTTCGCATCATGAAGATTGTCGGCTTTCCCAATCAACTCGATAAAAGACGTCATATCGTCGATGCCCCGGTCGAGGGGGAAGAAGCGCGACAAGGAGGGAAATGGCTAATACCACTATTGATGCATATCAAATATCCTCAAGTCCGCTCTTGTTGTTCCTCAGTCGAATCGAATGTCAATCGGTATCGTTGAAAAGGGGGCGGATGAAGTCTTGTAATTGGAATCCAAGACAAGAAACAACAAAAGAAGGAGCACAAGAATAAGTGAACTGCCAGAGAAGAGGGTGTGCGAAGGCCCCGGGCCTTATGGCATCCTGGATCATGGCAACATCCGGACATGGCTAAACAGAACGCAGATCAAGACGTGCCAGCAGACTCCCGGGATTAGCAAAATGATGAAAGCGCGGCCGCCCGGAGGCGTTGGGCTTGGTCGTACAAGCGTCCAGCGAAACGTTTCTCGGCTGGCAAGAAATGATCCACGCCAGGATGGCATTAGCCCTCCAAGGCGTTTGTCTCTCTTCGCTGTCTCTCTTCTGCCCCCCTGGCTCGCTTCTGAGCCTTTGCGCCCCACCAATTTCCCGAATGAGATGGGCAAATTCTCCGGGCTGCAGCAGCGTTTGCATGTATGTCGTATTACAGCGCGTGCAAACAAAACATTGAATTGTTATGAAGTGCCATTGAAGAAACTGGGGAGATTGCTATCAATAGTAATGCCATTCGGCTATCCCGCAATGAAAGGTCCTTCAATTACGAGGCGGGAACGACATGTCCACCACTCTGATGAGTCTCCCTCATATGTCTATCTAGAAACTGCCGCATGGCGAACGGGCGTTCCATTCACGCCGCGGACGCACACGCCATACGAGCTTGCACATCCCGCGTAGAACCCGGAGAGCCGGTTCCCATCCGCTTGCCCCCTGTCCCCTGTTGCCGGGAATGCTGCAAGACCCCTGCTCCATTCTGGCCCTGTGGTTAAAAAAGCGTGGCTTGCCCCAAGACTTTGGTCCGTTGCCCAGAGCTGGAATATCCACTCGACGCATGCGGGGATGGGAATGTGGCGGATGGGCAAAATACGCCGTGTTGGGATTAGGGCAATGGGAGAAAATGCCGTGGTCCTTTGCAAGACGTCCAGTAGAGGGGTCTTGTCTGTCTCCCTCTTCTCTCTTTCTTCGGGCAAAGCGAGCCCCCCACATTACCGAATGAGACATGTTTTCTTGTTCTTCAGCAGCAGCGGTTAGTAGTGCTGAGCTCGCGTTCTGGAAGCTTGCGGGTTGTGGGGTGCTGGTGAAGCTGCTGATCCGGACGCATTCGGACGGCAAGCAGTTGTCGCAAAGGTCTAATGTTGCGAAATTGTGGCTGATATGGAAGGAGATGCTCAGTTCCAGACGAGCAATCTTGACGCATGCGATGGGCCTGGTGCACCTGTTGGCTAGATATGGACCTCGAACGTCATTGTTCGACCTCCCATCATCTCTGGGCAAGCTAACTAACGACCAACTCTTTGCCTGCCCTATCGTCCTTTCCAGACTTTTGCCTTGCCAACCGTTTCGATTGTTTTGCAGCTTTTCTGCCCGCCCGCCCTATTTCTTTGGCCGTACCTCTTTCATATCCCCCTTGCGAGCTTTCCTCTGAAATCCACGCAGCCCATTCCGAAATGCGGCGTTGAATGTGGCGCGAGCATTTCTACATAACTGCGGCCCGCGGCTCCAGAATGATGGCAGGTGTGCTCGCTCGGTGTGTCTAGCACCCTCGCTTACACGCCGGCGGCAGTGATGGACTGCCACGAATACCGGTTGCCATACCGTGACACCCAAGCTTGACGTCTACTTAACCCAGTTCACCCAGGTTCTCGAAACGGACGGTGACAAGACCATGCGGTCGGGTGGCAAGCCACTGTCGTCTGGAACGCAACACCTCAACGCCACGTTATTTCCCTAGGGGCGCGGTTTACGGTCTAACTGCGCGGTAGTCGCATTTGATGTGAGTTGCGAGTTGCGGCATGTAAACATGCCAGGAGACAGCCCAGGCGCTCGGTAAGTGCTTGGGAAACACGTGGCTTGTCAATCATTTTCAGACGATCTCGATCGTGAGGCACTCGTGTCTTGGCTTTGACATGATTTCTTCATTCATAATTTGATCGCGGTCTCGTCTATTCATGCTCATTCCCTTCCCCTTTAACCCAACTGCCGGCCCAAAAACAACGTGCGCGCGTCTATCGTAATTCCCACGCCGTTTGCCATGCCCCTGATTCCGATGCCATTCCAAGCGTCCAAATCAGGAAATCCGCGGAGGCTATCCTCGCGGTTCCTGCCCCTCGCCCAATGAGACAGGAGACTACCGTCTGTGACCGTTCAAAACAACAACAACAAGCTACCCCACCTGCTTGCTTTCCATCTAGCTGGACGCACCGAGCTCCTCCTCAAGCTTGTTCAGCTCGCTCATCAGGCTGTGCACGGCCTTCTTCTGATCCTCGCTGGCGGGGAGGTACGGCCTGCGGGGGTCGAAGAGCTTCTCCTGGCCCGCGAGGCCGGCGCGCGGCGCCGTGAACACGGAGGCGGCGTACTTGATGGTGGCGATGCCGGCCTTGGTGGCCTGCTCCGCGAGCGCGGCCTTCTGGTGCAGCGCCAGCGCCTCGGCGGTCTTGCCCTCGCCGTGCAGCTTGTAGATGTGCGTCGTGACGCGGGGGAAGACGTTGGCGAAGGCGGCGATGCAGCCCGCGCTGCCGACGGTGAGGCCGCCGAGGAGGAAGTCGGACTGGCCGCCGTAGGTGGCGAACTTCTCCGGGGCGAGCTCGGCGGACAGGCGCACGATCTTGGCGACGGCGCCGCAGGTGAGCTTGACGCCGACGATGCTGTCGTACTTCTTGGCGTACTTTGCGATGGTGGCGCTGTCGAGGTCGATGCCGTTGCAGACGATGGGGAAGTTGTAGATGACGATGGGGATGGGCGACTTGGTGGCGACCTCGTCGAAGAAGCGGTCGATGACGGCGGGCGTGGTCTGCTTGCCGAAGTAGGCCGGGGGCAGGACGAGAGCGGAGTTGGCGCCGGCCTCGGCGGCGTCGGAGAGCAGCTCGAGGACCTGCTTGGTGGAGTGCGCGCCGCAGCCGGCCATGATGGGGAAGTCGGGGCCGGTGGCCTTGCGGGCGGTGGCGATGAGCGCCTTGCGCTCTTCGCGGGTGAGGAGGAAGGCCTCTGCGTTGGTGCCGAGGATGACGAGGCCGGCCAGGCCCGTCTTGGAGAGGTAGGAGTAGTACTTGGTCTGCGCCTCGAGGTCGAGCTCGTCCGTCTCGGGGTTGAAGAGGGTCACGGCCGGGGCCCAGACACCGTTGGGAGGCACCTTGGAGGGAGACATTGTGGTGATTTGGGGTTTTGGTTCTTCAATGAGGGGTATCTAGAGGGGCTGTGAAATAAGATGCAGTGTTGCTGACTGACTGACACCTTGAGAGCTGTGAAAATGCCTAAGTATGTTGTGAAAACTGATTGATGCTTGTGATGAGTGAGTGATCAGGAGTCTTTATTATGAACGATTCGGGTTCGATGACCGAGGTTGTGCTCTCCCCAGAATCGGGATCGTATCCGTTGGATGACAAGAGTCAGATAACAGAGGGGTTACTATCGGATATCCGCACCGGGACCAGATCCGACTCCCCCGCCTTTGAGGCCGGTCTCGGCCGTGCATGGACAGGGGTATATCCGGCCGACGCCCGATGCTTTTTCCACGGATATTATTAACACGGGCGGCCCCCGCCCGTAGCGCACCACTCTCATTCGCAACAGCACACACTGAGACGCTGTCACAATGTCACTTGCATGTCTGAAGAAAGTTTCGGGTTCTACAGCGCACTTTCCAGCAATCATGTAACGCATGTAACCCCGAAATTCCCCCGCTAACGGATTTCTGCAACCAACACAGACAGCCCACGCACACCCCAAAAAGTCGACGATAGCTTCAAAAATGAATGCTGGGCCCTGGCCAGGGATCGAACCTGGGACCTCTTCCAAATTAACTGTTGAACGATCAACCCTAAGGAAGAATCATACCGCTAGACCACCAGGGCTGGTGATATCCGCTTGCCGATGATGGCTCGCTTGGATGGCGGGGCGAGAGTGGTGCCGCCATGAACCGATGGGGGGCTCGATGGGTCTGTTTGATGAGGTTGAGCAAGACCATCACGACGCTTCATGAGGCTCTCCCAAGTGGGCGTTTGGATCTTGTCCGACCCCGTGATGAGCCGCTAGAATCGTCAACCGCCGGCCATGAGTTTGCTTGCGAGGCACGAGCTCCTCCTCCCTGTCTCTCACTCCTCCAATGACTCAAGCAGAACGTGTTATACGCGCATATGGCAGGAACAATTCTGAGATGAAGCATGGCATCAGAAACATACTATCCTTCCGGTATCGAACGCTCAGCTGAAATAAGTGCGGCAATAGATGAGAGCAACCTGCTGACAAACATAGGCTCGAACCATACATGCATGACATGAATCAGACCAAAACCGTGTTAGAGCTTCGCGCTCATTTCTATCAGATCCTCAGCTCTCGAAAATCGAATACGGAATGCTGGCAGAAACCGCAAAGTTCGGCATATCGACAATTTCGGCGATTTTCAAGTCCGCTGCGATGCTGCAGAGCATGTAGGCCTCTTCTCTGGTCAAATCTGTCGTTGCAGTGAGGTGCGCGATGAGAGACCTCAACGCCTTCTTACTCGCTTCCAACAGGTCGGAGTCAATACCTAGCACAGCATAAACCGCCGGATCACTCTCGACCTTGCCATGCACCGAGCAGCGAGTGTCGTAGTGCGGACTCGTGACATACGGCATATCCCTTCGGACGTTGAACCGTAGCGTGGCCTTCATCGGTGTCTCAATCGCCGTCCCGCAAACTTCGCCGTCGCCTTGGGCTGCATGGCCATCCCCACAGCTGAACAGAGCCCCGGGAACCTTGACCGGGAGATACAGCTTCGTTCCTTGGGTGATGTGTTTACAGTCGATGTTCCCGCCGGTGTCTAGCGGCGGTATAGTCGAGAACTCGCCGTCTTCCGCTGGCGCGATACCCGCGACGCCCAGGAACGGTCGGAGCGGGATCTTGATGCCCGGCTTGAAAGTGATGAACTTGTCGGAGTTCGACCAGTGGTAGTGCTTCAGCATGAGCGTGTCCGGGAAGTCCGCGGCCAACAGACCAAAGTTGGGCATGATGCCTGTGAAGCCCCAGCCCGCTGTCTCGAGTGAGACGACCTCGACCTCGAGTACATCTCCCGGGTTTGCGCCTTCGATGTATACCGGTCCGAAGATTGGGTCAAACGTCGAGATTGGAATTTCTGAGAGATCTGAAGCTTTTGAGGTGGCTGTCACTTGGGCGCCGGACGAGTCAAGAAGATCGAAAGACACGACCTCGCCGGGGGCCACAGTCAAGGCCGGCGGTGTTGCGTTGGACCATTTCAGGCGGGAGGTCGAGGGACCGATATGGTGTTTTCGCGTCATCTTTCCTCGCAGAACTATGAGGGGAAATGAGAGGTAGGTGAGAAGGCGCACAGAGAAGACGCGATTTTGAATGACTCCGATCAGTTTGAGACGCTGGTAATGAGACCGTCTCGCGGGCGCAGGAGTCCGAAGATGTCGCTTATCGCCCCTAGCGATGCGGGGTATCGCGGTCGTGACGTATCGTCAGTCCAGGACAGGCCCCTGGGTACGTTGCGTCAAAAGTGCCGGTTTGCCGTATTTTTGCCAGTAGGAACAACGGCTCAGATAAAGATAAGAGCGAATTGTTCCTCATGGGCAGTTGAGCAATTAGGTTGTTCCATTTAGCTCAAACCTTTGCCGTCCAAGTCCCTGCACAGCGTTATTCTCCGCATTGGATCGAGCGAACACCGAGCTTATTCCCGTCAGTGTGGTTATGCTTTTGATCTGCCCTCTGTTCGGACAACTCATGCAGGAATGAAGTTTGTAGTCGCATTGATCTAAGATTGGCTTCAATCCTGATAAGATCTTAGTAAATCGATGTTTTGCAGGTTCGTTGCCATGAGACGAGTAAGCCCCAAACTGTGGCTTGTTCAGCCTGTCATGATGTGACTTGAGGGTTTTCATTTGTTGGAGATAGCGGATGCATTTTTGAAAGCCTGTAAGATGCGTGCCCCATTCAACCACAACATGACTGCACCTGTGCACCAATTCCATTTTTATAATAACCTACTTACTTACTAAGATGCACCGAAGGATTGTGTGTGAACATGTTGGCCAGGCCAATCAATCAGGCTCCCGCCCGGCGGAACGGCGCGCAGGCTGAGCACAGGAACAGCTGAAAAGACTGCCCGAATCAACGTGGTTCTAATTTTGGTTCCCTGTAAGAGCCCACTTAGCTGGATGATGTCGCTCTGCAGGACAGAATGCGACGTTCATCTTCGGAAGCCTGGAGCCTTGTCTCACCCAATTGCTTGCTTACTTCTCATGGTCTACCAAGAGCTCATTTTGACACCTACATCAACGCCTTCATCAATCGCTCATTTGATCAATTTCGTAAGTTTGTATCGCCTGCTTGAAGATTATCTTACTGACCATCCTCAATCCAAGGGTCCATGACCGGTCCGATACCTGGCAGCAATGTGGCTCATTGACACTAACACCCTCCGTCTCGTTGGGGTCCAAGGGGATCCACAGGAGGACTACGCGATTCTTTCTCACACCTGGGGCGCGGACGAAGTCACCTTCTCCGCCTATCAAGCCTTGAACGCGGCGACTCAGAATGGATCATTTCCTGCGCTCGAAGACATCGGTGGCCAAATCGGCGTCACAATCACAGCCGGCTACCGCAAGATCAAAAATTCGGCAGACTTGGCCAGGAAGCAGAAACTGAAGTACATATGGGTCGACACCTGCTGCATCGACAAAACAAGCAGCGCTGAGCTCTCGGAGTCCATCAACTCCATGTACCGATGGTACCAGAAGGCCAAAGTCTGCTACGCCTTTCTCGAAGACGTTAAACCAGTGAGCCTGGGCGATCCTTTCGGCAAGAACTCGAGCTTCAGAAAGAGCCGCTGGTTTACCCGTGGTTGGACCCTACAAGAGCTGATAGCTCCTGCGACCGTCCAATTTTACGCCCAGGACTGGTCCTTCATCAACGCGAAGCAAGCCGGAGACGATGCTTTTCGTGGGCTCTTGACCCAAATCACGGGCATCAACGAGTCGCTGCTTGCCGGGAAGACATTGCTCTCGGATGTGAGTGTGGCGAACAGGATGCAATGGGCGGCTCTCAGACAAACAACAAGAATCGAGGACATGGCGTATTGCCTTCTTGGTCTGTTCAACGTCAATATGCCGCTGCTCTACGGCGAGGGCATGCGGGCCTTCACCCGCCTCCAAGAAGAGATTCTGAAAGAAACAGACGACCAGTCAGTCTTCCTTTGGGGCATTCCACCGGACGAGACGTTAGAGGGCGATGCGCTCTACGGACTGCTGGCACCGTCACCTCATGCGTTCTGTCAGCTGGACCTCGATCGGGTCCGCCCTCTCCCGCCATCTGAGGTACAAGAGAGCACGCCCGCGACCGTTACCAGCCAAGGACTTCGAACAAGTCTGCTCCTCTTTCCTGTTGAACCCGAGTCGGACGACTACTACGCGATGCTTGATTGTGTCGCCTCGAAGGCTGATGGGGTGGCTGTTGACTGGAATCCAGGGATTATGGTCAGGAGATTATGGGGCGATCAATTTGCTCGAATCACATCTCTCAAAGGCTCCGTCGTATTGTTTCCCGAGGACAGCTTCGACGAAAAGAAGGGGAAATTCGAAAACGTCTACGTCAGACAGAATCCTTTTTACGCCCTGCCTGAGGTGACGATCAAGTCACGAAGCCGGCGCGGCGTCAATCTGACGCCAGGATATCTAGGTTTCAAGGTGTCCGAGGCATATCCGCCAGATCGATGGGACTCAAGCCTGTCAGTCATCAGACCCAAGGAACCACAATCAGGACGCCCATTCGTTGTACTCCGATTCGCTGCAGATGACCGGAGTCCAATTCCCACGGTTGACGTTGCCATTGGACTCCGTCGCATCCAAAAAAGATGGGAACTTTGCTACGAGAAGCATCCATCTGGCGGCGATCAACTCCAACGGGTATACCAGAAACTTGTCGGAAAGGAAATCGCCACAGACTCGTCAGCATCGAGCTCTCGCGGACTCGGATTTGTCAACATCGCCGTCAAAGCGACGCAACGCAGAGGTCGGCGCTTCATCCAGCTAGAGCTCTGCGGCGCGGTACAACTCGACTCCAAATCCATCCAAAACGCCACCGTCTCAAGAGAGATAAGACGCACCCTCTCGGATGAGATGTCGGAAATCACACGAACATGCTGCGTCCCCCAGAAGGTCGCATACATCCTGCCAAAAGAGACCCGGATGATTGAGGCCGTCAGGACCAAGTCGCCGGACATGAAGCCCTCGCCGGGGTACTACGGTTTGGGCAACATGATCAACGACGTCGAGGTCGACGAGAACAAGCCGTACGCCAACATGATCCGCGCCGTGCGTGCCAAGCGAGAGATGAAGATCAAGTCCCTGGTTTCCAAAGACCGCAGTCTCCTCGAGTGCGAAACGGAGGAGTTTGACCGCTTCAGACCGATACACTGGGCAGCGGGCATTGGCTCGCAATCTGTGATGAAGACGCTGATCAAGCTTGGCGTCGACCAGACCAGTCTGACTGGAAGCGGGCTGATGGCGATTCACGTGGCTGTTTTGAATGGCCATTTCAATCTGGTGGCCTATCTGTTGGAAGAAGAAGCATGCCTCCAGCCGCGAACGACGCCGGATTGTCTGCACAGATTTTTGACCGACAGGCAAGAATCTGTGATGCATGTTCTCGTTTCGCCCGTGTCCCTCGGACTTCACATGCAGCGGATACAGAAGATCATCGAAAACATAAAGGAGGAGATGGGAGGAACACATGCTTTCGCCCATAGAAATTGGCTGGGTGAAACTCCCCTCCATCTGGCTGCCGCAACAGGGGAAGAGTTCCCTCTCAAGCACTTGATGGACATTGCAGGACACCCTGACGCCCACCAAAGAGTAGACAGATTCGGGCGCTCAGTCCTGTTCCACGCAGCATGCGGCGGCAACCGGAATGTGATCAAGTACCTCGCAGAACGTGGAGCGTCCGTCAACCTCAGCGACGATCTCGGCCGAAGCCCCCTCCACGCCGCTGTCACGGTCAATAACCACGACTCCGTCAGTGCTCTCCTAAACTTTCACGCAAACCCAACAAGCATAACCCACAAGTTTGGACTCACGCCGCTGCACTTCGCCTGCCTGTATGGACATTCCGGGGTGATTCGCCGGCTATCGGGCTCAACCATGGACCGCTGGTCAGCCGGCGGTCTGGCCTTCCAGCCTCTCCACCTGGCTGTCGCTAACGGGCACGAGAGCTGCGTCAGTCATCTGCTCGATGCCGGGTGCCAGACTGATAGCTATTGCAACAGCTATCTGAAGCTCGTGCGGTCGAAGAATGGCGTTCAATGGGAAGGGAAGCTAGTCATGTTGGAGACTCCGCTGAAACCGGCCGATCTCGCATTCAACCTCGGCTTCAAAAATCTTGTTTCTATGCTGAAGGGCAAAGAGGTCAAAACCAACGGGGTGAACGGAGATGGGACAAGGCATACAACTTCATCGGTCGAAGTCAACGGAACAGGAAAGTCGAACGTGACTACGGGCCCGCTGTGGGGTCTGCTTGGCCTGGAAATGCTCGACGATTAGGCGTATTGAGGAGTTGGGTTGAGAGTCATCCGGAGAAGGGAGACGGAAGAAAATAATAAGACTGTATAATTTATAGATAGGGTGTATCATCGCGTATGTGTAGCGTTTAATATCTGAATTTGAAGCCTTTGTCGCGATAAAAGCCAACTGAAAGATAACTGAAAAATGGTTGCTTTCATCATTTCATGGTTTCGCCTCAACTGAGAGACAGTCCGCGTATGAGCTGTCAAGTTTTGGAATTCAAATAAGACAAACATCACTCTGTTGATCCTGAGAACCTTTAAATGCGTTTGAACAGCCTAAATTCAATTAACCCAATTAAACTCCTCTAAATGCTTCCATGCAGGTATCATCCCATCCTCACGCCTCGACCGCGCCCCAGGCACCACCGCCAGGCGACTGGATAATCACCCTCTCCCCAGCCCTCAACTTCGTCGTCGCCTTCGCCCCAAGATTAACCACCCTCTCCTCCCCATTTTTCATATCATCCCTCACAATAACCAAATTCACACCCGCCTCTCCATCTCCACCGCCCTCCATTCCATACGGCCGCCTGCTCCGGCGCTCGCTGAGAATGGAGCACTGCACCGGCACCCGGAACTCAATCTCCCTCACCGTGCCGTCGCCGCCGCGGTTGCGGCCCACGCCGCCCGACCCCGCGCGCAGCTGGAACCGCCGCAGCACGCACGGGTACCGCTTCTCAAACACCTCGGGGTCCGTAATGCGCGTGTTCGTCATGTGCGTGTGCACGCCGCTCTGGCCCGCCCACGTCGGCCCCGCGCCCGCGCCGCCGGCGATCGTCTCGTAGTACCCGAACCCGTCCTTGTGCTCGCCCGTGACGGGGTCCTTGCCGCCCGTGCCGAAGGTGAGGTTGTTGCAGCAGCCCTGGGAGGCGGCGGACGCGCGGAACGCCTTTAGGACCACGTCGGTGATGCGCTGCGAGGTGAGCACGTTGCCGCCGACGACGGCGAGCCCCGCGCCCGGGTTGAGGATGCTGCCGTCCGGGATGACGATGTGGATCGGCGCGAGGCAGCCCTGGTTGAGCGGGATCTGCGACGAGATGAGCCCGCGCAGGCAGTAGATGATGGCGGAGTGGGTGATTGCGATCGGGGCGTTGGTGTTGCCGAGGACCTGCGGGCCGGTGCCGGTGAAGTCGAAGGTGGCGGAGCCGTCGGGGGAGACGGTGATCTTGAGGGAGATGGGGGTGCCGTCGTCCATGTAGTCGACGGCGACAAGGGGCTCGGGGCCGAACTTGGCGAGGGTGGACTGCATGAGCTCGCGCACGGCGTGCTCGGCCGTGTGCTGGATGGCGTACATGTAGCGGTGGACGGTAGCGAGACCGTTCTCTGCGATGAGGGCCTTGATGAGGGCGATGCCCTTGGCGTTGGCGGCGATCTGGGCCTTGAGATCCGAGAGGTTGTCTTGCAATCTGCGGGTGCCGGAGCAGCCGTCGTACTGGGCGGGCTCCTCGAGCAGCAGGCGGCGGACTTCGTCTTCGTTGAAGCGGCCCTCGCTGACCAGCTTCGTCGACTCAATGGCGGCGCCCTCTTGCCAGAGAGCGGATGACGTCGGCGGCATGGAGCCGGGGAGGATGCCGCCGATGTCCGCGTGGTGGCCGCGAGAGGCGACGTAGAAGGCAATCTCCTCGCCGTCGAAAACGGGCGTGATGACGGTGATGTCGGGCAGATGGGTTCCTCCGCAGGACGGGTGGTTGGAAACGAGGACGTCACCGTCCTTCAGCTTGCCGTTCCACAGGTTGTGCTGGTAGCGCACGGCGAATTGCATGGAGCCGAGATGCACGGGGACGTGGGGAGCATTGGCGACGAGGCCACCGTCGGGGCTGAAGATGGCGCAAGAGAAATCGAGACGCTCCTTGATATTGGTGGACACGGCCGTCTTTTGCAAGGTGCGACCCATCTGTTCGGCAATGGACATGAAACGATGGCCGAAGACGGTCAGTTGAACGGGGCTGAATTCCTCCTGCTCGCCGTTGGTCTTGGCGACGACCTCCTTGGGCGCGCGGTCGATGACAACGTAGCTGTCGAGGACAGTGGCAGTCGACGCAGGCGTAACGAGAATGGTCTGCGTATTGTCGATAATCAAAGCCGGGCCGGTGATGCGCGCGCCAACAGGAATAGTCTGGAGCTCATAGATCGCAGTGTCGAGGTGGCCGTAGCCCTCGAAGTAGACCTTGTTCGTGCCGCTGGGAGAGGGAGAGGGAGTAGCCGCAGTCGAGCCCTCAACAGCCTTCATCTGCGTAAAGGGGCTCTTCTCAACCTTGGCGCGCGCGGCGCCCGTCGCGCGGATGCGGATATCGTCGACGATGATGGCCTTCTCGGGGAAGTGGAACCCGAAGCCGCGACGGTGCGCGTCCTCGAACTCCGTCTTAAAGTTCCAGTTGGCACCCTTGAGGATCATCAGGGAGCTGCTCGAACCGGCGTATCGCATGTTGAGGTAGGCGTCGTGGGTGATGCGGTCCTCGGCGAAGCCCTGCTTGACGAGCTCGAGGGTCGCTTGGGAGGAGAGGTCCTCGAGTTGCTGCTGGATGCTGGCGGCGGTCTCGTCGGAGTAGGTGATGGCGGAGGGGCGCTGGATCTCGTGCACGACGTCGGCCAAGGACATCCCGTAGGCTGATAGGATGGAGGAGTACTTATGGATGATGATGCGGGAGATTCCCAGAACAGTCGCGACGGAGCACGCATGCTGGCCACCCGCACCACCGAAGCACGCAAGGTGGTGAACACCAGCCTCGTAACCGCGGGCTTCGGTGAGAGCGCGGATAGGACTGGCCATGCCCTCATCGGCAACCTTCAAGAAGCCCAGAGCAACCTCCTCGGGGGAGAGCAGAGACAGGCCAGAGGCCTCGCGATCCTTGTTGATCTGGCTGGTGAGCTCGAGGAACTTGGAAGCAGTGACTTCGCGGTTCAGGGGCTCGTTCTCCTTGGGGCCGAAGACCTTGGGGAAGTACTCGGGCAGGAGTCTGCCGAGGAACAGGTTTGCGTCCGTCACGGTGAGCGGGCCGCCCTTGCGGTAACAGGCCGGGCCGGGGTGAGCAGAAGCGGACTCGGGCCCGACGTTGAAGAGGCCGTTCTTCCATGTCAGAATCGAACCACCTCCGGCAGCCACCGTGTGAATATCGAGCTGCGGCGACTGAATAGCAATGCCGGCCGTCGTCGTCTCGAACACGTGGTCGTAGACACCAGCGTACCGAGAAACATCGGTGGAGGTACCACCCATATCGAAACCAATCACCGGACGGCGCTCCTCATCGTCCCAGGAGGTCTGCGCGTAGCCGACGACACCACCGGCAGGACCAGACAGGATGGCCTTCAGACCGCTGAACTTGCGGTAGTCCACGAGGCCGCCGTCCGACTGCATGAACTCGATACGAGTAGCAGCAGCCGCAAACCCGCCCTTGAAGTTGGCCGAGATCGAGTCGATGTACTGGCGGATGACGGGTGTGAGGTAGGCGTCGGCCACGGCGGACATACCGCGGGGCACAACGTTGATCATGGGCTGGACCTCGGACGACAGCGTCACGGAGAAGCCCATCTCGGCCGCGACGCGGCCCACCAGCAGCTCGTGGTCCGGATACGCGTACGAGTGAATGAAGACGACAGCGATGGAGCGGAAACCCTGCTCGCGGACCTTCTCCAGCTGCGTCTTGATCTCGGCCAGGTCTGGCCTCTTGAGGACTCGGATGGTCTCGCCGGTGATGGCGGTCACCAGCTCATTGTCGTCGGGTGTGGGGGTGGTCTTAACGGAGGCCGGGTCCTCGGTGTAGTCCTCCATGGTGATGCGCTCGTCGACTTCGACGACTTCGTCAAAGAGGACCTCTGGCCTCGTCACCGAGAGATCGAAGATGTTGGGTCTGGACTGGTTTCCGATGGCCAGCAGGTCGCGGAAGCCCTTGGTTGTGATGAGGGCCACGCGCTCTCCTTTCCTCTCGAGAAGGGCGTTTGTGGCTACTGTGGTGCCCATGCGGATGGACTCGACGTGGAAGAGGTCCAGGAGCTGGCCTCTGGGTAGCGTCTCCCCGGTGACCATCTCGAGGATTCTGCGGATGCCCTCGGTGGGAGCATCTTGGTAGTTGGCCGGGTCGACGGAGAGAAGCTTGAGGATGATGTCGTCTCTGCCGGGGATGGCGGCGTGCACATCAGTAAAGGTGCCGCCTCTGTCGATGGAAATGCGGATGCGATGTGACTTGACGGTCATGATGAAGGTCTGGGTTCGACTTTTGTGTAAAGTCGAAAGGGTAGTGATATTGAAGAGAAAAAGGAAATGTGGCAGGGGTATCACGAGCAGTTGAGCCACAGCAACACGAATGAAGATGAGATATGTCAACAACAGAAAAATGATAACTGTTGAGGGTTTATACTTCAAATGGTTCTCACTGTGAGTTTGTCACGATGTGTGAAAGCGCAGCTTAATAATTTGCCGCTGGGATCGGTAAAATGGGGCGTCGGAAGACATCTGCGATCGAGGAGAGGATTGTCCCTGAAACCGGCCTCTCGCGTTGCGCCATCGAGTCTCCCAGACGATTCATGATCGGGAATTCACGCTTCAAAGGCATAGGCACAGCTGCTGGGCTGCCTTCACTCGGCCACAACGGCTTCAAGGCGCCATCGGCCTTTGCACCGGAGGTCGTCGGCGGGGGAAAGACGGCCAAGCTGAGAGTTTGGCTGCAGCGTCTGGCGGAGTGGGTCCCCGATCAGAGAATCTGCGAATGAGAACGGAGGTATTGGCCGATACTTGATAAGGCATGATGGCGAATGATGAAGTGGGATTGCGAGACATGAATTCGAGCGCGAGACAGGCAAACGCCCGACTGTACCCGTCGGAGTGGGTCCCCGACGATATCGGTCTATCGACGGCACCTGATTGGATTTCCGCCAGTGTATGCCTCGGATCATCCCCGGGCCGGACAGCTCCACCGCGGGCAGGGGTCCGGCTGCCGGCTGGTCTGTGCATCGGCAAAAAGACCGACTCCGCGATTGGAGGCGCTTTGGTCATGAAAACATGTCACTCGCTGCCCATCGCCGTCGCATTTCACCGTGCTTTCGGTGTCGTCCTTTGGAGGCAGTGGAGCAATACCCCATAAAGCCCGATCCTCCAGGCTCCATGCTCTCACGAAAGCCATGAAAATGTGCATATCCGTCTGTTCGACGTCTCTCCAACCAAATCCAACCATCATCCGTGGCCCCCAAGTCCGTGATTCCCCCGCGTTGAACCCCAGCCCGTGAAGCATTTCTGTGTGTCAACGACTCCATCTTCAAGAGGCAGCACAGACCCGCCCGCCTGCCTGCATCCAGCATCGCACATGGGGATGCTTCATCCCCACAACTGATATGCCCGAGTGAGAGATCAGACATCACCAATACACACATCGAAATGTCGTCGGCGACCTCTGCATCTCCTTCGCAGGCGGGCGAGAGTAATAACACAAGACCAGTAGCGTAAGCGCTATTCATGTTGCTTCATGTTGCCAAGACGTTTCCCTGATGCGTGTGGTCTAGTTGTCTCAATTGCCGTCAACGACGGTCTTATTGCTCCAAGGAGAAGCCAACTTGTTCACGATGCCGCGATAGCAATCTAATTTGCAGCTATGAAGAGACGCGGAAGATTACTGTCACCGAGGCGTAAGCTTTTCTGTGCCCGAGCCTTTGGACTTATCACTAATTTGCTACAAGGCACTTGAGGGAGCTCGAGTGGAAGGCAAAAGCTTATGATGGTACGTCCAACTCGTAGCGTCCGTGACTGCCACAGAGACTGACGTTTCCGTGCAGAGCTACTTACACGCCAATCACAGAATACTCAAGGCCAAACTATCCCTGGTGCAAAACTCAAAGGCGTCTCGACCGAGGAGAATGACGAGGAATTTGAGGACGCGCATCCTTTGCTAGAGCCTTTCAACCAGTTGAGTGTTCATAAACCATCAACAAGTAATGACAAACCCTACACAACATTCGTTTGACGGTGCTGATGTCCCCCAGGTTTCAAAGGCCCAGGGTCTTCGGACAATTTCCTACGAAGCGTCAGGAAGCTCTCTGGCTTCCATGGTGATGACGGCAGCTTGGACGTAAACCCCAACTTCTACGAGCCGAGCGCGCTACCATCACGGCGGGAGACAGCGAGGACGCGAGTAAGACTACCACCAATCGACATTGCCCGAAGGCTCTTCGCCGCGCAATACACGTACATTGGCACCATCTTCTCATTCACAGACCCAAAAGAGAAGTTTGACCAGCTATTGACCGAAGCATACCGTGGTCCTCCAGACCCGTCGGACAAAGAAGCATGTCTGTCGTACGCCAAAGTCCTCATCATCCTGGCCTTTGGACAGCTTTACTCTGTCAACCAGTGGGTAGATTTCAGGGGGCCACCGGGGTTTGAATACTTCACCCATGCTTTGAACCTCCTCCCGGACACCCATGAGGAGGGCTCCATTCTCTGTGTTGAGACCTTGGCGCTCATTGGCTACTTCATGCAAAACATGAACCGCCGTGATGCTGCGTTTCTGTATATCGGCATGGCCCTCCGCATGGCCATCTCGCTTGGGCTGCATCATGAAGTCGGCTACAGCCCGACGCCCACTACCCTGCAAGGCCAAGATGCGAATCCAGAATCGATCGATCACGACACGAGGGAGCACAGGCGGCGAGTGTGGTGGTCGGTCTACAGCCTAGACCGTATCCTGTCAGTCAAATCCGGCAATCCCATCACCATCCAGGACGAAGACATCGGGGTGGATCTCCCCTCCCGGTTATCCAGGGAAGCAGAATACTGCCCGGCGGTGGTCTTGCGGCACTACACCGAGCTCTCCAGAATCCTCGGCGAGATCCACAACACCATCTACCGCAGGACAAGCAAGACGGCGCCGAAGTCCGGACAACGGCTCATGGCGTCGGTGCAAGGCATCATCCTCGGCCTGTCCAAGTGGAACCAGGACCTGCCAGACGATCTGCGCTTCGACCCGGCCCGCCTCAGCATCAGCCGCGAAAGCGTCAGCACGTTTGCCCATTACTACCAGTGCATCAACATGACTGCGCGGCCGCTGCTATTTCACGTCGTGCAAAAGCGTTTGAAGAGAATCCGGAGCAGCAACGATCCCGGCGAAAAGGAGAGGGACTGGAAGGAGGGCTTGTCGCAGACAACCGTGCGAGTCATCGACATGTGCATCGGGGCCGCCCAGGACACCATCAACATGATGACCGTCGCGGCGCAGAGGGATCTTGTGGGTAAGTAAAGTAACCCCCTTCGACGATGCAGCATGCATGCGGGATAGCGGGCTAACGGAGTAAACATGCAGCAACGTACGGCTACATGGACGGCGAACACGTATTCTCAGCCTCCATCGTCCTCGTCATGGTCTGCGTCGTATTCCCCACCAACGCGTCCAACATGCTCGCCATGAACGCCGGGCTGGACCTCCTCCGCGGCATGGGCGAGCGCGGCAACAGCTACATGGGCGCCCGCTACGAGCTGCTCGCCAACCTGCGCTCGGCGGTCATGTCCGAAGCCAACACCCACCTCGAGCAGCAGCCGCTGGGCGCGTTCCCGACGACCTTCTCGCCCACGGAGTCCCTCATGCCGGCAGGCGTCATCCCGCCGAACGTCGCGATGCTGCCGGTCAACAGCATGAGCGGCGACGGCAACCTCCTGGCGATGCGGTACTCGCTGGGCGGCGGGCAGAACATGGTCGTCGGCGCCGAGCGGGTCACGTTCCCCGTGGTGGACAACAGCGCGCTCGGGGAGCCGTTCTACGACGAGAGCGTGAGCACGGTGATGGACTTTGGGCTCTGGGAGGAGGGCTTCGCGGATCCCGCGATGGCGATGGACGCGAGCTTCGACTTCTCGCAGTGGACGCAGACGGCCGCCGCTGGCATGACTCAGGCAGATGATAGGATGGATGTATGACAAGCAACTCTTATTTTGCAAACTGCTGTCGCTCACCAGGAAAGTTTCGCCTTATCGATGTTATCGCCATGGGTGACCACAAAAGTCTGGCCACTTTTTTTCTGTTTCTGGTGATCGGCATAAGCTGAAGAAAAGCCTGAGGCGGTGACTAGCAAGAAAGGAGTCGAAGCCCGAGACTTCGGACGTCGTGTCCGGGGTGGCTTTTGTTATCCTGACATCATGCCGGGTGGCTGGGATGAGCTTCCTTGATACCGCGCCTAACACCCAAAGAGCTAAGACAAGGAACGCCAACGCTGTGGTTTTCCGCGGCGTACTATGGTATATGTTCCCCCAACGAACCTATGAAGGCAACTCCCAGCGCTCTTTTGAACCCAAATTACTCGCCAATGCAACGGCCACACGAAGGATGATAGGGGAGCCACCCCGAAGGCGGGCGGGTGGAGAAGGCGCTATCAGCGCTATCATTCACTGGTGGGGATGATCTCCCCGCACCGTCAGGGGTGTCGGTGAGGTCCTCCGATCATGGCCTGCTTTCTGGTTCGCAGACGACAGCCTGCCTTGCGTTGCGGCGCGGTTCTGTTCGTCGTCGTTAGGGGAAAGCCAAGAAATGCGGAGAGTAGTTACTAGTTGCCCCCTCACGATGTCACCGTTCGATACCAAGGATCCGTCTACCCGTGCCATGTGGGTTCGGCAACGAGACACATCCCGACGAACTGAAAGCGTTATCCGTCAAGGAGAGAGAGACAGATGCAGGTGTCCCCCGGGAGGGGTGCCGGCATTGGGATAGATAAAGTCGAGTGATGCCCCCGTCACATCGTCCTGCAGCAGGAGATCCAAGAATAAGGAACAAACTTTAATTCGACTCACGTCTTGACGGGCTCACCAACCAACCAGCAAGACCCTGAAGTGAGATCCAACAGTTTCCATTTCCTCGCCATGACGACCATCTCCACGGCCGTCGATGCCTCCGGCGGCATCACGGACTCTACGGAAAAGGGCCTCGGAAGCGACATTGACCGCGTCGACTCCAACAACGGCACCACGGCCATGGAGTCCATCGACCCAGCGGCTGAGCAGAAGCTTCTCCTCAAGCTCGATGCCTTTTTCGTGCCCATCATCATGTAAGATTGCTGTCAAACTCACGAACACAATGACCATTGACTAACAATGGATGAAAAACAGGCTGGTCTACTTGACCTGCTTCCTCGACCGAACCAACATCGGCAACGTCAAAGTCGCCGGCATGCCCGAAGACATCGGCGCCTCAACACAAGAATTCTCCACCGCCATCTCCATCTTCTACGCGACCTACGTCGTCTTCGAGTCCCCTTGGACCATCCTGATGAAGCGCCTCACCCCCCGCGTCCTGCTCACCGGCCTCTGCGTCGTCTGGTCCATCACCACCATCTTCTCGGGCTTCATCACCGGCATCGCGGGGCTGTACGTCGTGCGCCTCATCCTCGGCGCCTGCGAGGCCGGCCTCTTCCCCACGCTGAACCTCTACCTCACCATGGTGTACAAGCGCGAGGAGCAGGCCAAGCGCGTGTCGTACTTGTTCGTCTGCACCGCCATCGCCGGCGCCTTCGGAGGCCTGCTCGCGTACTCGATTCTGAAGATGGACGGCATCGCGGGCCGCGCCGGGTGGAGATGGGTCTTCATTATCGAGGGCATCTTCAGCATCATCATCGCGCCCATCATCTGGTTCGGTCTGCCGAATGATCCTGGCAACGCGTACTTTCTCACCGCTGAGGAGAAGCGCATGATGAAGGTCCGCGCGGCGCAGCGCGTGCAGTACATGGGCAGCGAGGAGTTCAGCTGGGACGAGGTCAAGATTGCCTTGAAGGACCCGAAGCTGTACATCAGGTATGTCCACTGCACACATTCCCATCTCCCCTCACCGCATCATATCATGGCGCAATGCTAACACCATCTACCACAAACAGCGGCCTCATCCAATTCTGCCAAGACATTCTCCTCTACGGCTTCAGTACCTTCCTCCCCTCCATCATCGTCAGCATGGGCTACACCAGCATCGAGGCCCAGTACCTCAGCATCCCCGTCTACATCTTCGGCGGCATCGCCTTCCTCTGCTTCGCCTTCGTCTCCGACCGCCTGTGCCTGCGCGGGCCCCTCGTCCTGCTGGCCAACGTCCCCGGCATCCTCGGCTACATCCTCATCATCTGCCCGACCCCCAACGGCGTCAAGTTCTTCGGCACCTTCCTGTGCGCCGTGGCTGTCTACAACGGTCCTGGGCTGAACCTGACGTGGCTCAACGTCAACATCGCGCCGCACTACCGCAGGGCCACGGCGATCGGCATGCAGCAGTCCATCGGCAACACGGCGGGCATCGTCGCGGGACAGATCTACCGTACCTCGCCGTATTTGCTGGGTAACGCGTTCTCTGTCGGTGCGTTGGGTGTTTCGCAGCTGTTGATCATTGCGAAGTGGCTGTATATCAGGCGGTGCAATGAGATGAAGAGGAAGATTGCGAGTGGTGAAATGGAGGATACGAGGAAGGTTAAGACTGGCGATTGGGAGCTGGATTTCCGGTATCATTTGTGAAGGGGTTTTGATATACCAGGAATGGTTTCGTACACTACAAGATACGGAGCAACTTGATGTAAGGCTTCGTGCTTTCTAATCAGCAAAATGAAATCGTTTGACTTGACACGTGCGCTATGATTCGGAACAATTGATGATGCTGAGCTCGTTCACCTTGAAGTTGGGGTTAAACCCCAAATTCGAAGAGTCGAGATGCAAGTCTTTCTTGGGTCACCTCGCCCAAGTCCATCAGGATTTAGGAAACACTGTGGATCACGACCTCAGTCTGAGTATATTGCTAGACGGAACACATTGAGATAAATAAGCTCAAGTAAATCACAAACAGGAATCTCATTTACACATTTATACCGTCTGGAGCGTAGTCTACTCGACCACCGGTGGCTGTTCCAGTGGCTTCCTCCCATAAACGCCATAGCTAAGAGAAATTAGTAATAGTCAGAGAGACCTCACCAACATTACAGGTAGTAGTAACTCACACGTTCCAGTAGGCATGGATGTTACGATTCTTGAAGTCATTCCTGACCCCAGCACAGAACGCGAGCACCTCCTCGCGCGTCCACCCGAGCACGCGGGTGTACAGAGCCAAGCACGAAGGCTCTATCCCCGCCATGCACGCCTCCCTCACCCACTCTCCCCGGTGGTACAGCTTTCTGTCCTTGGTCCACGGGGAAACCGGCCACACCTCCTTCACCTCGACCACGTCAACAAACCCCGCGTCCTGCAGCATTCGCTTGAACTGAGAGGGCGCTTCGATAGACCGACCCATCTTCTGAACCGCTTCGATCAGGAGAGAAGACCACTCGGACATTGATGTGCCTTTCAAAGTGTCGTCGTCGCTGAGGATGGGGAATGCGTTATCCTGCAGCTCAATGTAACCGCCGGGTTCGAGTTTGCTTATGTCTCAATCAGTACTTGTCCACACTGCGTTAAACCAAGCATCAGCCACGCACTCGTAAGCCTTTCGAAGGAGCTTCTCCCAGCTCTCGAAGCATGAGTTGCCGTGTCGGATGAAGATGAAATCAAACGGCTGCGACCACGTCCAGTCCTTGTCTACGTCGTCGACCTCAAACCGGCAATTGGGGGGCGTACTGTTCGAGCCTGTCATTTTTGGCTCATTCAAACTAAGTCTTTGGCCGACTTACCTCGAAGGTTGGATGGGACTCAGATCAACGCCAATGACCTAGAGCGGTAATGCTATTCAACGCCTCTTTCATGGCATCAAATATGTGAAAGATTTGACCTACCTCAGCTTCGGGGTGCTCGTCCGCTGCGTGGTTGTTAGCCTGTATGTGAACTTGGAGGTAAGTCCCGATGAATCCACTTACCGTACTCAAGAGCCCAGATACCGGTTCCGGTTCCTACATCCAGAACCCGTTTGGCACCTTTTGACTTGGGGGACAGGCAGAATTGGCCATCCCAGGTCACCATCCACAGGTGGTGCTGCAAATCTAGATCAGGTCAATATAGGCGAGTAGCAAAGTCGACACAATTGAGATTACCCAAGCGATCTTGCTCCGCCTACGGGTTGTCAGAATGGTCAGGCCACATGCCGATAGATGTATCGGGGTTGGAGAAGTACCTCGTCGTTCGGAAGAACGTATGCTATGTATTTTTCAGTCAAGAACAATCCAAGTCGGAAGTCGTAGGGGACTCACTCCCGTCACTCATGCTGTGATATGTGCGTCCATTTTCCTCTCGGTACTGCAGGATGCTGGATCTCAGAGAAGCAGTCGAGGATGTGCCGTCCGACTGCGTCGAACACGTTAGAATCTCTACAAGAGATACAGCATAGTAGCATTGCCAACCACGGCTAGAACGGACGATCCATCGGAAAACTGGTCATCGTCGCCAAGAGCCTCAAGCGCTTGCGGAGCCGCCTGCGTCGGCTCCGGCTCCGGCTCGTGAGCTGGAGTTTCAGTCGTGTCAGGCTGCGCGTTCGACTGGGTGGCGTTCTGGCTGTGTGCGCCTGCGGCTTCTTCGGGCTGGACAGCCTGCCGACTTGTCAGTTCATCATCGCGCCTTGAGCTGTTCTGCCCCATAGTCGGTGATACTTACAGCGCTGGTCGTCAACAAATCACGGACGTCCATGTTGCTTGCCGTTTCAATCAAAGTAAATCTTCGCGACAGTCGAGATGGTAAAGGCGGAGAGGTGTCCTGATGCTTCAATCTGAGCTCGCGTTCCCCCTCTCGCCATACATTCATTCCCCCGCTCCAACAGCCCCCTCGGTTGGTTTGTGGGATTGGCTGTTTATCACCCAACGCCGCATCTGGTTGGACTGCGCCGCATACACGCAGATGCAGTGTCTCGGCGCTCCCGATCATCCCTATTGGAGGATTGGCTGATAAGAATACATCGGTTCAAACCGGCTGAAAGCCGTTGGACTAACCCATGGTCGAGTAGACTACGACGGCCCCGAGAGAACCAACCACTGATCCTTGACCTTATGTTCGTTTTACTTGGCCATTTTGTTCTTGCTGTTCTGCTACAGTTGATCACATATTAATATTTTCTACCGCACCCAGCCGAGACAAACACGGCTAATATTGGTTCGAGTTGAGGGCTCGCGACCGCAGATCAGGCGCGCGGCGCGCAGAATCTCCAAGCCACATCTCTCTGCTGTAATAAGATACTAGTCCAACTAATCGCGCAGTGCATCCTGTTTACAGGGTAAACTTGATGTCATCTGCTTCAGGTCTGCATCAAAAAGTCGAAATCCGAAATCACTCTGTGGGCCGCTCGATTGCTAGGGTCGTTGAACTCAGTTGACGTCAAAGGTCCGAAACACTTCTAAGCACAGTATCAATCAAGTTCAATTCATCAGTCGTATTCGACAGTCAACGTGGAAAGTGAAGGTTTGAAGCACGCGTTGCACAAAATTGTCTTCAGGGAGGACCTTGATTCTGACTATCATTGCCGCCAATAGCACCTCGAGCAAGGGCCCTAAGTTTGTCTTCTTTTCTTGTGCAATGTTTATATGTCGCCATTTGCGGGCCCCCGCGGTCACTTCATACTCGTGCTTCATTATCTCAAATCCACTCGAGGAGGATGCTGTCCCAGAGGAAACCTCTCCACTGGGTATACCGCGTGGCGCTGAACCCAACCGTGTTCTTTCCCGCCTTCAGAACGTCAGTATCGATCTTATACTGGAAGAACCTCCACTCTCCGCTGATCTTTCCAGAGCGGTACAGCGCAGGATCACTCGTCAGGACATCCTTGCTCAACGAGCCGTAGACCTGCCCATTAACATCGATATCAAGCGCCGCGCTCTGCGAGTAGCCAGCCAACGACACACTCAGAAGCGCAGTCCTGTTAGCGGCAACATCGCCGGCAGGGAGATCAAACTCGATCGTCCACTTCCCGACGGCAGACGACGCAAAGTACCAATCCGAGTCTTGGGACTGACCGACGACGAATGTCAGGTTCGCAGGGCTGTCGGCTGCCACGCCATGCTGGTACGGCACACCGCCGTTCTTGAACCCCGTCGCCTTCTTGTCGAACTCGCCGACCTGGAAGATGCGCTTGCTGCTGGGAACCTTCCACGAGAGCTGGCCGAGGTTCGCCGTCTTGTCCTTCGAGACGGTCACGGGCGCGGTGAAGTTGGTGTACACGTCGGCGAGCTTGCCGCCGTTGGACCAGGCGTAGACGGCGTACGAGCCGGTGCGGACGTTGTCGAAGGTAAAGCGGCCCTTGTCGTTGGTATACGTCGTGTAGTAGTAGTTTGTGCCTTGGATGGAGGGGCGGATCGTGGTGTCAGAGTCGCCAAGGTAGACGGCCGCGTTGGAGGCAGGGCGGCCGTCAGACAGTGTGAGAGTTCCTTCAATCCCGCCGCGGGAATGGTAGGCGGAGTCCTTGAACCACGTGTACGGGACGTGCTTGACCTCTTCCTTGTGCTTTTGCGCGGCGTCCGCAACGTCGCCGTTGTTCTTCTACTGTGTCAGCAGTGCAAGAGTTAATCCATACGTTCGGGAAGTCTCACCAGGTACCAGAGCCAAGGGCCCCAGACCTTGCCCACCGGCTGAGCGACAGTCTGTCCAACACGAAAGTGCGAAGTGTCCTGAACAACATTGAGCTGGACAGAGTCTCCAGTCTTTGACTCTCTGTGGATCTGCCGCAATGTCAGAACATACGATTTTCACACGGCAGATCGACATCGCACTCACCGTCAGAGTCTGACTCAAATGGTCGCTGTTGTAGTACTCGGTCGTCGGGTGGATGTACCACGACCCGGCCTCCGAGCCGTAGATGCCATAAAAGTCGCGATCCCTCACAGCGTTCGACCAATCGTATTTGGTGATGAAGGACCCATCAGCCAACTGCCAGGTCTCATCCTGAACCTTGGTCGCGTTTGCGTACAGCGAAAAGTCGGGCAGGGGCTCATCCTTGAGATGCGTGCGACCGCTCGGAAAGTACTCCGGCGCCAGTCTCCACAAAGTCCGGAGGATACTGATGTCGGGCAGGGCCCGGTTCACAAAGTACTGATACGCGCCGCTCAGGTCGTCGAAGATGACCCAGTGGAAGTCGCCCGCAGCGGCGGAGAAGCTGACGTCAATGTAGTTTGTGCCTCGGGATGCGATTGTGGCATTGGTGAACTGGAGATTGTTTTCGCCATCTAGCAATATGTCAGATATTAAAAGCCCCAAATTGCGATGGGTCCGGGGAGGGGAGGGGGTGATATCTAATGTTATCGGGGAGGGAAGGGAAGCCGTCAAATCGTACCGTAGCCGACGTAGTGGCCGACGGCCGAGCCCACCAGATCGGCGCCCGGGACGCCGGTCCAGTAAAGCTTGGTCGCGTACAGCGAGCCCTGCGTCAGATTCCAGAGATCATTTCCAATGACCCAGGTTGAGTCATTAATCTGCTCAAGGAAGGGCCCCTTGCCGGCGCTGACGACGGAGGCGGTCAGCGCCCAGACGGAAAGTCGTGAGAAGCGCATGTTGTTGGGCGCAGAAGACGAATTCCAGCGAGGCGCTTGAGCTTGAAGCTGTCTTGTCTACGAGGGGTGACGACGCGAAGCTTGTCCAAACTCTAAGAACACCACCATACTGAAAGCGCGAACGTCGAATTTTATATCACTGGCGTCAAACTCTGATCGAACACCGTCGATAGAAGCTTTCGCTTCTTCGGCAGGAGCCGATAGCGACGTGCGGGAGTTGTGTCGTCAATGGGGTCGCGGTGGAGAGGCGATATTGATTGGCACATTGAAGCCTGTCAGTTCGTGATAAGTCGCAATAGCCATTTCGCACTGTAATATCACATGGTAGGCATGTGTATGAACACAGTGTGAAAGCTTCTTCAGATGGAAAAGAGCTTCTGCAAACGACGTTGTCCTCCGTGGTCCCCTTGTTCGTTTCTTGGTATTAGGCTATGACGGCATTCAGCAAACAGCTGTGGTTGGTGGCGCTTCTTTTCACCGTTGTATTCTACGCCATCGATGCAGGTCTTGCACCATCGCTGTGTCCACATTTTCGGCACCCTAACCGAAAATCACTTCGTGATAATGATAACGGTGGACTGCTATGTTGATAAGACTGATATGCAGTTTTTTCCCTCTTCTGTTTCTTAATAACTTTGAGCTCGATTGCACGTTTTCATCACAGCACACCGATTCAGAATGCTTTCTATCTCATATGTATGCTCGCACCCTGAGAAGAATGCAAGGGCTGGTCAATTGCAACGAATGGTCGTTCTGAGTCATTTTGGTTCGGCTTGTGATGCAAGGTTTAGATGTCTCATTAGGCGTAAGTGTTGACGGCTTCAATCCAATGATGCTGGCGTCTTACATATGAGCTGAGCTGAAACTTCTGCCACATTTTGTCGGCGCATGTGTTCCATGTAGAAGTGAGCACGGCGACTAGCCGAAGTTTTCTCTCCTGTCCTTCCGGTGAGGCGTTTAGGAAACATTTCCGGGCCCGGCCTCGGGATGTGGAGGTGGATCGTGGCTGATTGTCCGGAGGCCGCAACGCTAGGATTGCCCCGGGATATCCGCAAGAGCGAGGCGGTTCGGCTTTTCAAGATTCTCGAAACTGCGCTACTGAGAGAGCTTGCGATGTTCAATAATTTGGCGTGACTGGGCGCAAGCCGTGTGGGACGCATGCTTTCAAAGTACTGGCATTTCAACATAGCCTATGGATTCCTAGTTGTACATTTGGTCGTCGCATCAGTGCATAGATCTGGCTATCGAACCAGAAGGCCAAGAAGCAAATGCAAAAAAACTTTTTGAAGTCTAGTAGTTTGCTGATTTATGGACTTTGGCTTTGAGCAGTAGAGCCTGTGCTCTTTTGACGTCGTCTCATCATCGTAGAGGTAACAAGGCTTAATAATGCTTCCCTTAATCGAAATGGAGTTAGCCTGAGTTCCTGGCCATTTCAAGTTTTGTATCAAGTTTTGTAGAAAGATTGAACATCTATACGATAATCCATATACAATTTTCAGGGGCGAAATGAAACTGAAGCCATCATGTCTTCCATGCGACGTTCGTCAAAATACCAAAGCTAGGAACAATCGTCAATTCACGGAACCCAACTTTTATCCAGCCAACCCTCATCAAACGGAACTGTAAGTGATTTCGAATTAATGGTGTCTCTGCTGCTTTTATCTAAACTGATAGAGCGACTTTATGTCTACTAGTGTTCAGCTTGCCTTGTCTACCAGTTTTTTCACCACCACCGGATTGAGGTATAACCGATTCCCTGTAAGACCCTGGGCGTTATTTCACCCGCTCTTCCTCAATCTTTTGCCACATCAAAGTACAATATTGCCTATAGATTGATCTCTTGTTAGCACATTCTCATCCAGACGTCCAATTATCGTCGCGACACACTCTCGGGGTCCCTGGACTAAGTGCTGCGTCACGCTAGTGAACAGCCTTGATGCTTCTTTCAGAAGCCAGTCAGGTGAAGCATCCAGGTTCATGGACATGAGCTAATCAGGCGTTTCGAATTTCAGCTCTTCCAATGTTTGGGATCGCGAAACAATAAAAGAGACCAGAGATCAACCCTATCCACTCGAGCAACCGCTCTGGTGATCCTTCCAGCGCGAGATTTAGGGGTTTTATTGATCAAAGAACAGATCCAGTCACAGTGTAGACAGAGCGAACACCATAGCTGCCTCTCAAGTAGCAATAGTAGTGTTCAGCGTCTTACGTCGCAGCATTTGCAGTGCTTCCCTTTGCAATATCCTCCGTATCATAGCTTCTTAGCCTTTCTCCAAGTACTCATGTCTAGACGGGATGCACAAATTCTTAGAAACATGAAGGTTTTTGTAATCTGTAATGACGACGAGATCTCAAGAGGGTACCGTGATGTCGATGACAAATCACTGTTGCGCGACAGCCTACGGAACCACCGGATAATGATGTCGATTTCGAACAGAATCCTATTCCTCACAGCGCCAGGATCTTCAATCAGGTGGATGTTTGCCACGCTATCAGTGTTTTGTGGCTTCCTCACATATGGTGTCTGAAGGACAGTAGGACGAAATCTTTCACGTATTCGTCGCACTCACAGTATAATCACCGTAAGAAATGACATGATGTTTCCTAGTCGGCCCTCAGGATTGAGGTACAGAGTTTTACAACCTACTCTCCATTCTGACCTCATTTTTGGCCACCGAAACCTGTGATAGGGGCGCCTGCAACACAACAGAGGTTTCCCGAGACCAAAGTCCAGGCCAAATTTCAAGTGAGGACAAGCATCGACGTCCAAAGACCGGAGACTCATCTCGTCGGATGAACCCGCTCACAACGGTCTGACTTTGCTTCGGACAGCTGGCCGGCAGTACCCGTACACTTGCTGAATCGTGAGTGGCGACATTGCAGAGAGTCAGAATACTCGATTCATGAACACACGAGACCTCTCACAGCACTCAAGAATGTCGGTGAAAGCTGATGAATACGACATCTAGATGACGGCCCATCTATTGAGATGGCATCGTGGGCCAAGACAAAGAGCATACTTGATTGCGAGCTCAGGCGAACACCCCTTTTATTCCATCAACCTACGCTGTTTTTAATTTGGAAACATTGCATCGCTCCAGTTATCTTTCAACGCCGCCTGCGAGTCCACCAAAAGACGCAGTGCAGCCAAACGCCATTGGGGGCCGAACCGTTCCTGCAGATGACGATCAGCATTCGTGACATGCCGTCAGCAGGCACCTTCTCCAGACTCCTGGATCCCAACCAACCCGTAACGTCCCCAGTTTTCCCGCTGCGGGCTCACCCTAATTGCTCTAATCTTATCGCGGCGCGACAGACTTTCGGCTTGCATCCGGCTCTCTAACATGCTTCGGAAAGCTGCGTCTCGAGGTCCTTACAATTTTTAAGGTGTGCTATTGTTGCAAGGTCCTGAGATATTTGGGGGACGTTACGTGGCAAGTGGGGTTCTGGGCAGAATGTTTTCCGTGATGTCCTGTAAAATCGCCATGATGGTCGGTTTTCTGCTCACCATGCGGTTTAGTTGACCGCAGTCTGGATGCATCTAAAGGCCTTCCGAGATGTCAGTTACTATCGTCGACCGAGGTCTTACGCGTCTTTACAGAAGCTAACCCAAGTTCTACCGGCTATTATTCAAAGTTGTTTGCATTAAATGGCTACTTTCTTCTTTAGCCTCAAAGACGGCTCAGCTGTCTCACGAACGAACTAGACATTGCGGTGAGCGCCTCGTTAATGCATACTCGGCCGGTGGAAGGAGTTTGAATCCGAAAGACAATATATTGGCGGGGAATGCTTTTCCGCATATTAAATGCGGGTGAGTTGAAGTGGACTGCTGCTTGCTAATGAGGGACCTGCAACCCCGAGCAAACAAAATGTGCAATATCTAAAGTTGCCAAGTCCGAGTTTTCCAGAGTCTTGGCAAATTCCATTCGAACTTTGACAGAGTTTACGGCATGAATCAAGCAATGCTCGCCTGCCACGCGGGTAATGTGACATCAGGTACACATACCGCCGGGTCTGGCCATCAATGTACAACGAGGACGACCTCCTGTAAGCTCTTCCCTCTCGTGTTGATTTTGTTCAGGGGGAAATCATGTTCCTGGTTGCATTGTTTCGGGACCCGCAGAAGCGCCACAGAAGTCTCTCTCTTCGTATCCAGTTAGGGGAAGCGAGCCAACGAAATGCGGCTGAGTGCTTATCCCGGGTCCGCCAACAATGTTGCACTCCAGCACAAAATCGCACACGTTACCGCGCCGCCGACCGCGGGTTCCTCCCTGCGTCGGTCGGGGCAAGCCGAATGGAGCGTAGCTTCAGACGAAAAAAAATCCCCACGATTCCTGACCCTTGCCTTTCGGGAGGTTTATGAATAGTGTCATGCGTGACTGTCAACTGCCGTGGTGGCGCTACCAGCTGTCTCTCTCTTTCTCCGGCCGCCCCATCGTGTGTTCTGCTTTGAGTGACGGGCATGGGGGACAGAAGGCCAGACTGGGAATCCGAAAGCCTCGCTCGCTCGGTCGCGTCGTACGTTGCCTGGACTGATTTTGATGATTTTGATTCGGGTGGTGGGGGCCTGTCTCCGCTTACGGGATGTCAGGGGTTGGGGTTTAAACACGGCTGAAATGTGACACTGGAGCCTCAAAAGAGGCATCGTGGGAAGTTTTGACGTTTCTGAGAGGCTCAGTATGCTTGCGGATGGGCCCGCGTTAAAGGAACGGGTGTTCTTGGCAGTATTAACACAACACAGCACATTCTCCGTTATTGCGTCGATCGGCTGCGGATTGATTGCGTCTGTGCCAGCAACCGCCTTGACCACCCCCTTGAGGAGCAGGGGTCCGGCATGGAACCCCAGCGATTGTTTCCTGATCGAGTAACTGTTGGCTGCTCCATTGGATTTTACGTGTGGAGCGGCGAACCCCCTCATATATCCAAATCCATGGTCGTTTACGCGCCGCTGTGAGCCAGGGGCCGGAGCTACGCGGCCACTGCAGCGCAGCAACACGGGCGACATGGGCAAACATGGGCAATTTTGGGGTCATCATGGTTGTGACTATCGAGACAATGAGGAATGATGAATGATCCCAAAATCCGAAAGACCCAGTTTTGGGCCAACGGCTCAGTGGTATAATATCTCGCGTCTTCTTGCCGCTTGCTGATCATCCTTCTTGGTCTTTCATTCTCCAGTCACTCATTTTCCATTCGTTCAGCCCTATTCAGTCTTTTTTTCCAACTACCAAGATGTTTGCCAAGTCCTTCCTTATCGCCGCTGCGGCCATCGCCCAGCAAGCCGCCGCCGTCTCTGTCTCTGGCACCCCTGAGGGTTTCGCCGCCGACGTGACCGGAGGAGGCTCTGCCACCGCCGTCACCCCCACCACCAACGACGAGCTGGTCTCGTACCTCGGCGACTCCACGGCCCGCGTCATCGTCCTCACCAAGACGTTCGACTTCACCGACGCCGACGGCACCGCCACCGAGACCGGCTGCGCCCCCTGGGGCACCGGATCCGCCTGCCAGGTCGCCATCAACAAGGACGACTGGTGCACCAACTACCAGAGCTCTGCGCCCTCCGTCTCTGTCTCCTACAACAAGGCTGGCCTGAACCCTATCAAGGTCGGCTCCAACAAGTCAATCATCGGTAGCGGTTCTTCCGGTGTTATTGTCGGCAAGGGTCTCCGCCTCGCCGGCTCCAAGAACGTCATCATCCAGAACATCAAGGTTGAGAACATCAACCCCAAGTACGTCTGGGGAGGTGACGCCATCACCCTCGACTCTACCGACCTTGTCTGGATCGACCACGTCACCGTAAGTTTGTTCTGAAGTCCGTCTCACCAAATCCAAACTAACTCTCCCCCCCTAGACCTCCAAGATCGGCCGTCAGCACCTCGTCCTCGGCACCTCCGCATCCGGCCGCGTCTCCGTCACCAACAACGAGTTCGATGGCAAGTCCGACTACTCCGCCACCTGCGACGGCCAGCACTACTGGAACGCCTACTTCGCCGGCAGCAGCGACACCATCACCCTCAAGGGCAACTACTTCCACGACTTCAGCGGCCGCGCCCCCAAGGTCAACGGCAACTCCTTCGTCCACGCCGTCAACAACGTCTTCGAGACCTCCACCGGCCACGCCTTTGAGGTCACCTCCGGCGGCTACGTCCTGCTCGAGGGTAACGTCTTCAAGAACGTCGCCGCCCCCATCGAGTCCGGCGGCGACGGCGCCAACCTCGCCATCACCTCCGACAACGCCTCCACCTGCTCCTCCAAGCTCGGCCGCTCCTGCCAGGCCAACAGCTTCTCCAGCTCCGGCTCCTACGCCGGCACCGACAGCTCCGTCCTCAACAAGTTCGGCAGCGCCGACATCCCCGACGCCGTTGCTGCTTCTTCCGTCAGCAGCTCCTCTGCCGGCTACGGCAAGCTCTAAGCTGTTTCTCTTTTCCGCAGCAGTAGCTCGCCGGCCACTCTTACTACCCGGCCGTCGCTTTCAGACGCGCCCTTCTCGAGCATTCGGGCACCCCAAGGTTGACCTTGGGTTTGGTAGTGTGGGGCGGTTCTTCTATTCCGTAAATACCTTTTTAGCTTCTTCACAACATGTATAAACAGTGTGTGTACATGTACATATAAATGCAAACAATCTTCCTGGAAACTATCATCGCGAGCCTCCTTCATCAAGTGACGTTGAATTGACTTTCCGCCCCGATCGCCGTTGATTAAAAGGTTTCTCGCGCCATGTGCCGGATTGCCGGTGTTGGTCGCTGGAACGTCAGTGCTCACCTCCCACCCGTACCGCCCACCCGCACGCACGGCATGTCTCCGAAACCCTACTTACCTTAAATCATGCATCCCATGTCGATACGCCGCAGTGGGCGGTTGTGGGCGCAATGCGACTTACACTCAGGTAGTTCAGTGGCTTGTGCGCGAATTCAATTTGACACGGCATTGCGACGCAGTTTTCCGCACTATTGCGTAGTCTGGTGTGCGTATTTTTATCCACCCGAATCACGGCAACTTGAGATCTTCACAGTATGGTGGGTACGCGCTGCAAATCCGGGTAATGTGATCGGCTTTACTCCAAGAACTGATCGCCGTTCGCAGATCGCAACTCTTTTTCTTCAAGTGGCCCACCTCACCTGAAGCTTGTCACGACTTGGCAGAAAATCTTCAACCTTCCCGCGATCTTCAGTCAATCAAGCCGTCACGACATGTGCATGCGAGTAATGACAAGGATTTCTCCACAGGTAGATTATCTACCATACTTAGTGCTTTCCTGAGGATTTTTTTGGGCAGATTTTACTGGTTTACGTTGGTCTTAGTATCGAGTGCAATTCCCACCAAGACTGACTCGATATGGTGGTACTGTGTACCAAGCAAAACAAGAGAGCCAGCAATTTATCAATTGAGAGTTTCTTTTTTTCCCCTGACACAGTGAGACGGGTATGATTCTCAGCATATCATGTAGTGAAGAGTTTGGGACGACTTCTTCAAAAGCCTTCTTATATTCTACCAAGTTGTGTTGTCTCTGCATCTCTTTAAAGCTCAAGAAAACGTCAAAGGCGTCGCCTACCAACCTATGAATATTTGCTAATTCGTCGGGATGCTGTACCGCGCGAATGTAGGGGTTTGTAAATTGTAACAGGTTGTCGGAATAAAACAGGGTTCAGCCTCAAAGCGTGACGGAAGACATCGAGCTTCCATTATCGGACCCTAAGGTTCACAGCTGCCGCAGGCTTCTCAGGCGGGCCGCGGACGAATGTGATCTGGTTTCAGTTATCTTATTGGTTCGCATAACCTCGTATTTACAAGAATTCAAAGAGCCCGTCTGTGGCGCTCGTACCCATCCAGCTAGCAGGCATGAAACCTATATCTTAGCACACCTCGCAGGTGTAGCTGATCTGATAGCAAGTGTCACCACACGTAGTGTTGAAATCTATTGAAGTACCATCTGGGACAGAGGCCGTCTGGTATGAATACTGAACAGCATAATTGTTGTTCAAGTTTTGAACACCAATACTGGCGCTAGCGCCCTTGTTCGGGGATTGGTAATAGGCCATAGTGACCAATCCTGGAAGATTTTCATAGAATTTTGTTGCAAAATGATAATTTGTACTTTGTGCTCCGAATCCACCAACGACATGTTCGAAAGTAACTTGGCGACCAGTCCCTCGAGCAGAGGGGGATATCTGGTAACATAGACCCTCTGGCCTACCGAAGTCATAAAGATCTTGCTGAAAAGTCAAAATAGATACTGCCGGGAACGAGGTCGTGGGTACTCGTACTGGATTGTAGCCAGATGGTGGGGCAGCAAAGGAGATGAAACCATTGACGGAGACATAAACAACCGTACTGTAAGAGCCGTTTATGCCGATGGAAAACGGCAGATTCACAGTGGCATATCCATCGTCAGGTGAGGTTTCAGTAAGGCGGGTAGGGTTACAAAGTCTGACCGCTTGGGTTCCTGTTGAGTTGCATGGAGCTGGAGCTTGAGTTGTGTTGCATTGAACCGTGGCAGGGCATGCGCTCGCGGTGGGCTGGGCTGATGATGAACTGCGAGACGAGCTGCTAGACGAGCTACTGGAAGAACTGCTGGAAGAACTGCTGGAAGATGTAGTGAACGTGGCTGCGACCGTGGGAGAGAATGGAGGGCTAGCCGATGACGAGCCAGATGAAGACGTCTGTGTGGCCGAACTGCTTGATGAAACCGCTGATGAAGTGGAGCTACTGCTTGTGGATATAAGTGAGGTAGAAGAAGTCGCTGTCATCTGGGTGGAAGAGGATACTGAAGATGCCGTAGATGTGAGTGTTGAAGAAGATGATGTCGATGGAATGACAGACGATGCTATTGACGTCGTAGACCGAGTCAGTGAAGGTACTGTTGATGTAGGAATAGATGAAGACAATGCTAAGGTTGAGGTCGCAGACTCTGCGGAAGATATCGTTGATGAAAGAATAGGTGATAGCGATGATGACGTCATTGTTGGCGCGGTAGCCGACAATATCACGGTTGATGTAGATGTAATTGGGACATAGAATTGAGAAGACGATGAAGCCAAGCTTGGAAACACTGATGCGGAAGTCGATGACTGAGAGACGGCCAAGTTGAAGGTTGATGAGGAAGGCCCCTGGCTTGAAATAGGGGCCAGAATGCTTGAAGAGCGACTGCTCGGAACCGTTGTCACAGGAGTATCCTGGGTTGATGTTTTGGCAAGTGAGGATTCCTGTAAGGTGATGTTGGGGAAGAATAGAGACAGCGTCCGGAAGGTCGTTGAGCTGGTCTGAGCCTCACTTGCTAGAGTCGAGCTGGTTGGTGGCAACCGGTCACTTGTGAGAACTTGCTGGGAGCTCGGCTGAGAGCTCGAGGTTGCGACTGATACCTGGCTGCTGTGAGTATTCAACTCGGTGGCGGGCGGCCTTGATGTTTGAATTACTCCCGTACTGACTGGTACCGGAGTGGACTGGCTATCAGAAGGGTTCGTTGTTGTTTGTATCTGCAGGGAGTTACTGGAGCTGGCGGATACAATCTGTCCGTTCTGACATTGCTCGGCTGTTCGGAAACGTTAGGTACATATCTAGAGATTAATTTCAACTAGTTCACATTAATGGGATAACTTGTCTCCGTAAGTGACGATATTGACAAGTACGCAGCCTGAGGGGCCAGATGTGAAAACGATGTACACTTGCCCGCTGGTGGCGTCCTGACAGAAACTTGCTTCCCCGTTAGGCAGCGCCGGATTTCGGAAGACGAGTAGGCCGTTGACGGTCGTGAAGCCTCTCGTGACTGCCCCAGCTGGGGGGCTAACTGTGCTTCGGAGCTGTCTAAAAGAATCTCCAACATCGTAGTACAGTGGAATTCCCCCTATAAACAGCTCTTGTGCGTCAGATAAGATGAAGACGCTGGCTAGGTCGCAAGTTGGAGGGTTCTCATCCAATCCAGTACTGATGAAGCCGCCGAGATCTCGTTTGCGTATGCGCTTCGTCCTCTCGGGTGGAGCTGGAGCAATGAGGAATATCACTCGATTACCAGGTATTACTGAAGTTGTGGGAACGGGTGGCGAAGTCGTGATGGCAAAAGAGCCAGATACCCCGGAGCTCGCGACCGTGGTAGAGGGTACATTTGAAAACGACGTGCCTCCAGCAGCCGTCACCGATATCGAAGCGCTGGTTTGTATGGATTCGGTTGGTATCGAAGATCCTGGGATAAGTGCGCTTGTTAATAGCGCGGATGATGTGCCCTCTGACTCGGCAGACGTCGCAAGGATCTCGGAACCTGTAGACGCGACTGTTGACGCCGATACGGTCATCGGAGCGGAGTATAATGACGACTGAGCCGGACTCGCGGTCGAGTTGCCAGGAATTATTGTGGTCCCGAAAGATACAGGCTCGAGGTACGTTGAAAGATATGTGAAGCACCATAGTCGTTCGACATCATTAGCCGGAGGAGCAGCACCCACTGTGGCGACCACACCGAGTATAGCAGCGACCCGCAATAGCCGTGCCATGTCAGTGATGTGAGGGGGTGAGGGGGGACAATTGTCAGTTGGAGGTGTTGATGCGCGTTTTGCGGTATATTGAAGGAGGCAACAGAGGAGTAAAATGCGCACACGGATGAATCGGGAGGCGCAGTGCAAATGGTTGATGTGAAGTCTCGGGCCGATGAAAAACATCGCTGCCCCTTTGGCATAGAGACATTTGCATATCTGTCTCGATCGATTTGCGTTTGGGCATGCTGGGAGATGGAAGGGCTGAAACCCAGACAGGGAGACAGGAACGCGTGTACGCTAAAATTAGAGAAACAAGTATCTTCATTCCCGTTGCACTATCACTCTTATGCAACATGTAAACAACAACGTGTCTCTCGTCTGTGAGACATTGCGAAACAGGTGAATTCCCGGATAATCTGGATGCCAGATCTCACCCGTCGTGAAGATTGTATATCATTGGGGAAGCGCCACAAATCTTTGCTTTAGCTTCCCCCTTGCCCATCATACTTGCGCTCACAAGGGGGACCATCTTCGAAAGGCATAAACCGCGTTGCTTCGCCACCATTGCACACCAGCCCAGAGACATACATACGCTGCTAGCACATCGGATTTACGTCTAGGTTATAAGCGCAACGGCCAACTCTTTCTCCGCCGTCATACAGTACGAAGCACACATCATGCAGGGACATCGTTGGATGCCCGCAGTCGCCGTCACTTCCGCCGCCGCCATCTCTGCGGCACCCGAGAAAATTACTCTGACATGGCGGACGGCCACAATCACACAATGCTTCGCCTTCACGTTCGAGACACCCTCGGTTTGCAACGGCCATTGTGTCAGACCTTTTGTACAGAAGCCAGTAGCTCAGCATGAGCCCATCACGGTACAAATACAGGCCCCAAGCTGCAACTCTTGTGGATGCGACGCCTGCGCTCATACCATAGCGTTCACGACGACGTACGATTCATTTTGCTCGACCGGTCTCTCTCGTCAAGTATACGCGGTGACAGAGACGTACAGCGGTGTTGAAGCAAAGCCTACCGTAGCTTCGTTGTCAGTGCCACTTGGCTTCACCGCCGAAGTACAGACCTGCACGACGTGCGGTGACAAGCCAGTCACGGCAACAATTACATACCCGGTGCCAGATGCTGCGTATATCACGGGTATATCGGGGCCGTTCCCTGCGCCACCTGGGGCAAAGAGCTATGAAATCAACATGAGCGGTTCGCTTGGGGCTTCCCCATTGCAAGATGGCGATGACGCTGGGGCTGGCTTTGCTTCTACTGTGGCACCTACTGCAGCACCTACCCTTGAGACCATAGCTGGGTCAAATCTCACTCCCGGTCCGAGTCCGGTTCCAAGGCCAGCGTCGGGCGATGCGAATGGATCAGGACAAAACTCTTTATTGGGTGGAGCGGAGGGGAGTGCGGTGTCCTACGGCGACTCTGGTGTCGAACCAAGCCTTTCAGCTGGACAGTACGGCACTCCGGCTTTCTCACCGACCTACGGCATCCCTGGCTTTGGTCCCACTCAAGGCTCAAGCTCAGATGTTGAAGCTAGGCCCTCATCTCGTGAGTATTCTTTACAAGACCACACGGTAAACGAGAATCGTTCTCACCAAATTACAGCTGTGGCATCGAACAGCATCGTTGTGGTGACACAGGGCTCGACAGGTTGTCCGCCCTTTTCTTCCAGGCTGGGACTTGCCGTGGGGTCATTTATTATCTTTCTTACAAACATCCTGTGAGACGTATATGTTGAAAGGGGTTACCCCTTCAGTTCTGTGTATGACCATGGTCGCTACTTTTCAACACTGAGTTTGGAGAAGTAGGACGGCTCTATGCAATACGTACATAATAGAAAAACAATACATCAACTTTCGACAAGGGAAACCGAGGACAAAATGGGAAGCCTCATATAAACTCAGAAGTACCAGTAGATAGATCGATTTGAATACACAAAGAACAGACAGCGAGAATTCACATGTTAAATGGAATACTGGAGAGAATGACACGATTAAGAATCAGAAAGCCCAAGAATGAAAATGAGAAAATATGAAACATGCAACTGCACCCGATCAGCAAAATCTTCAAAAGCTCCAGTTTCTACCCGAATGATGGGCCATCTGGTCTAGGAACGTTTCCTCTGCCACCAAGGTTACATAGTCTTCAAATAGTCGCTTGCTGACTGAACAAACGAAGTGTCCTGCTTCATCCCCAACGATATGGCTAGGCTGTTGTCGAGATGATCAGCCCAGGAATACAGCAAAGATGTTAGCTCTGGATCGTCCCTTTCTTCAACCAGTAACAGCTTATCCTTGCCACCAACCTCCTCTAGCGCGTCCAGCATGTCCTGCACCGTCACGCCGAAACCCGGCATATTTACGGCTCTCCGGTGTGGGGGCAGAGCGTCTTTCGGTAGGGTCAAAGCCACCATCAAGTTGTGGACCAGTGTCTTTGGAGAAGACATCCAATGACGCCAAGCTCGATCTTTCAAAGGGATGGTGCACCTCTGGCCATTGAGTGGCTCCCGAATTACTCCCGAAAGAAAGCTAGACACTGCTGCGCTAGGAGCACCCGGTCGGACGGAGATGGTAGGGAACCGAAGGGCAAAGCCATTGATCATGTTCCTACGGGTGTAGTCGTTGATGAGGGTTTCGCATATAACCTTCTGACAACCGTAGGACATTTCTGGACTCGGGATGTCGTCTTCCGTGACATTTTGTGCGGGGACCGGTCTGCCATACACGGCTTCACTCGATGCGTAGAGAACGCGAACGCCGGGGCATCTCTTGGCAAGAAGATTCAAAACTGAGCGTGTTGCATCAACATTGACGCGATAACCCAGTTCGAAGTTTGCCTCTGCGCCGGAACTCATGATCCCATGGAGAAGTATGGCTGCATCGAGACTCTCCGGCACCACCTTTGTCGCCTCATCGACTAGATCAGCTTTGATAAGCTTCACGTTGTTGTGGGATTTTGAGCTGGATATGGGCGGTTCGATAACATCGGTTAAGATGAGCTCATTGCTTTCGTCTTCTAATAATTTGCTGGCGACAATCTGACCGATGAATCCGGCGGCGCCGGTGATGAGTACGCGCATTTCAACGTGATGTTTGGCAAAGAACTCAAGTTTCGGCAAAATATCCTCAATGTTGGCTCATTCATGAGTTTCTATCAGGATCATTTCGAATATTTTGAATTGCCTCCATGTATAGATTCCCACGAGACTTCTTTCCCAATTCCCTCTCGGATCTAGATTTGGGTGCCGTTCCGGTCGGATAATGCTCCGCTGCTAGGTGCCGGGAATTGAGGGGTCTTAACGGGGGATCAATACCCCGGTGGCGCCGGCGACGGCAGTGACAATTCGCTCGAAGCTTACGATGTTGTCAAAATTGCTGCAATTCGCGATTAAAATCGAAGGCATTTATACGAGAAGTTGCGTGCTAGAGGTTAAATCATCTTTTGCCGAATCTGATACAACATACATCGATAACGATTGTTGGTTTCCATCGCACCGGCCCTCAAAGCGATTTCATCCACGTTTGCAACTTATTTCCATCATGGCGACCACAGCTACGAATCCCGCCTCTGTCAAGGTGGACAGCCCTTTCAAGTAAGTAGTTCCCCTCGAGAGTTTCTTTGTCTTTAAATTACGAGGCATGACTGACATTCATCAAGGATCGAGAACCCAGGTGGCGACTGGCGCGACCAGCTCGAAGCCAAGGGCTACTGCGTCGTTAAAGGGGCCATTCCACCAGAGAAGGCCCGCTATTATCAGCAGAAGGCTTTCGAATGGCTTAAGTCTTTCGACGAGTCTCTCGACATTGAAGAGCCTTCAACTTGGAAAGACGCCAAGTTTCCCGTCCAGACGGACAAGAACACCTACGAAAACTACAGCGTCGTCCATGAACGCTTCATGTGGGAGGCCCGCCAGGAGCCGGGCGTTCTCGACGCATTTGCCAAGGTCTGGGGGACTGACAAACTGATCGTCTCATTCGACTCGCTCAATATCACTCTGCCGAATCTCAAGGAGGCACGCGCCCCCTGGCCCCACGTCGATCAAGCACCGCGCAAGCGTGGGCTGCACTGCATCCAGGGAATAATCAACTTGAGCCACGCGGGTCCAGAAGACGGTTCTCTATGTGTCATGGACGGATCTGCTGCGCTTGTGGAGGAGTTCTTCGACAAAGAGACAGACCCGGCAACATGGGAGTGGAGGGACAATCGCTACTTCGACGACAAGGATATGGAATGGTTCAAGGCACGGGGGGTGCGTCCCGTCAAGGTTGAGGCTGAGCCTGGGGACCTTATTCTTTGGGACTCGAGGTGCATTCACTGGGGCGGGGAACCAACAAAGAAGAGCGATGTAGTTCGGACTGTCATCTACGCGGCGTATGCGCCTGCTGAGTTGGCATCAAAAGAGGCCCTCGAGGAGAAGAGCAAGGTTTTCCAAGTGAACGGGGCGACAACCCACTGGCCTCACGACAACATCAAACTCAGAGACATGCAGGCGCGCCTGTCTGATGGTACCGTCGACCCTCGAAACCGCTCGGAACCTTTGGAGAAGCCTATCCTGAGTGATCAACTGCTCAGACTGGCCGGTGTAAAAGCGTACTAGTAATCTGCGAAGGGGATGGAATCGGGACATTCATGTATTGAAACACCGACAACACTCACTATTATTCTTGACCTTCATGTTCAATTAGTTTGTATTTTTCATAGCTTCAACGTTCATTACCGCCACATCATGCGCAAACAATGGTTGTGACTACTCCGGGAGATGATTGCGCCGGATCGCGGGAGGGATTACCAAGGTCTAGTGGGTTACCCCGCGTGCAATGCCACATAACCGGGGGAAGGGCTTGGCTTGCGGGGAAGCATGCTCGTCAGACCTTGGTCTAATTGTGGAGATGAGGTCGGGGATGGACTACGCTTTCTGCCTCCGCTGAAGTTCGCTTCGAACATTGAAGTACGTCTGGATCTGTTTTCTCACCTCCAAAGATAGCATCACTGATCAATGATACTCCGAGATGCCTGCCCAATCAGCGAACGAGGGTGGTTCTGATAACGAGGAGGGCACTTATCGCCCTCGCAAGAGACAAGCCGTGATATCGAAAGCGTATGTATTGCAGGTTACTTCACTAGACCTTGGAAGGATTTACTTAACTGGATTCACAGATGTGAGCACTGCAAGGTCAAGAAAGCTCGATGTGACAGCTCTCGCCCTCAGTGTGGCATGTGCCAACGGAAAGGTACATCATACTCTGATTTAGTTTGACAGATTACTTTGTATCAATCATAACTGACTCGGAAGTTCGTATGCAGGTGTGGTATGCGAGTACAAGGAGAAGGGCCAGCCCGGTTTACGTCCGGGCTACGGCAAGGCAGTCGAGCAACGCCTCAGCTTATTGGAGGACAACATGGATAACATGTCTCGTACGGTACAGGAGATTCTCAGTTGCGTTCAGAATTACCAGAAAGACCCCATACAGACCCAGCCGCTGGAGGCTCAGCTCTCAGCATTGGGTACATCGCCCAATCCCGCGCCGACAACCAGTGACCGCGTACAGCAACAAACGAGCCCTTCAGATAGAGAACCACTCTGGCAACCGGTCTCTGCCTCTTTATCAACTGCTGGATCAACTGCAACGGCGACAGATCTGAATGTGTTTGCCGCATCACCGCTGATGGAAAGGATTGAACCCCGTCCTCCCCTTGAGTCGTGGGATGTAACAAACAGCCCACAAATGCCGACCGTCACAACCGCCGATTCATCACTGCCACCTGAACCGATAATTCGAGAGCTTGTTGATCTCTTTTTTGAGCACGTGTATCCCTGGGCGCCACTGCTCCATAAGCCAAGCTTTCTCTCTAAAGCATTCTCCCCAGAGCAACAAGTTGTCCTCCACGGCATCGTTGTAGTCGCCTACCGATTCTGGAGAAAAGCAACACCGCCTGCCGAAGCTCGCGGAGCGCAAGTAAAGACCTCGAGAGAACAAATTCTTCTGCAATCAATTGACGTTGCATCAGTCGCATCAACGCAAGCCCTTGCTCTTCTCGCCATTGATGCTATCGGGCAGGGCCCTGGACCAAGGACATGGAATATCATGGCTATGCTGGTAACATCGACCCGCCAGCTTCGCCTCGCCAGCACCAATAACACAGCTCTGGACCCGCGCTCATCTTCCCTCGTCGACAATGATGCTCCGGAAAAAGGCCAAGGCGGTGACGATGTGTCCATCAGCGGCAGCAGTAGTGACATTCACTCGAATGTCGAGGAAGAGCAGAAGCATCGTCTTTTCTGGACTATTTATGCCCTCGATCGCTTCTCAAGTGTGCCTCTTGGTCAACCAGGCTCTATCGACAGCAGGTTGATCAAGCTACCATACCCCGTCCGTGACGGAGAATGGGGACAGAACATGGTGCCTGAGTGGTTTCAAAGACCGTCTCCTGCGAGGCCTTACCTTGACCATCGGAAACCTTTCAATCTTTGGCATTATTATATCGACGTCTTGACATTGGTCGATCAGTCAAACCAGCTGCTGATTCAGCCAGTGAACCTCGCCCTACCAGTTAGCTGCGAGGAGTGGCAAAGTAGCTTCCGTCGATTCGATATTTCGCTCTTCACTTGGTTCGAAAATCTACCATGGGAGGTTCGCGAGCCCCCCACAACTTTTGACCCAGTCTGGACTTTGGTCCATGCTACTTTTTATCTGTAAGTGGTATTACTGCGTTTTGATCCAGCCAAGTTCCATGCCTCCTCTAGGGACTGACTCAACTGCAGAATCAACATACGCATGTATACGGTTGCAGCGTTCCCCTCGACAGCCTCACCATACCTGAAGCCCTCAACCTCGGCCCGAAGCCGCTGTCGCCAGGCGGTCCGCAGCGTTGCTAACCTCGCAGCTTCTCTGGAGTCTCATCAGATCCAACAGCTAGGACCCACGTTTCCCTTCGTGGTGTGGGTTGCCGCGCGGAGCCTGGTTATGCTCTGGACAATGGGTTATGAAACCGCGCGCGGAGCTGTGCCTGACGACTTGGAGGCTCTCCTGTATACTTTGAGACAATCAGCGATATACTGGCCATGTAGTCAACGCTACTCGGATATGGTCCAGTTGATTGTTGATACGAATAACAGTCCTTCTGGACCAGTCGGTCTGGAAATATTCAATGACACCCGTCGAACAGCTTATGGACTTCAGAACAGGCTAGGAGCTCTGGTTGACTGTCAGGCTATGGCCTTGTTCGCTGGCTCTGATGACTTTCTTGATGTCGGATTTTCGGACTTGCTCAACTTTTCTGGGCCTCAGGTTGGGCTTAGAGGAGTTGGCAGAGAGTTTGATGCAGACTGGTTGTAAGATATGACCGAGACGAGAAATGCTCTACTTTGACAATATGGGATGTTTGTGGGACCCAGTCTTTTAGTCTTACACGGCGTCTTTGAATTGTTGAGTCTATACTCTAATTTCAAGAAATTTAGACTCAATTATCGAGAAGAAACACTTTTAGGCTTCGCCTGCTCCGGAACCAATGTAACCAGCCTTCCCGTCAGAATACCCGACCGCACATTTGAAATAGTGCACTCCTCCATCTTTGTTTTGGTCTGCGATCGAAAGTCAGTGTGATTTGTTTTGATTTGTCATCGATGTTCATTCAGAGCGCCGTACCTCCACAGTCGATGTACCCATATGCGGTAGCATGCAGACATGCGGGTTTGATAGAAGGCCGGGGTGGATGTCAGGCTCGCTTTGATAGACATCGAGCCCTACGGAGAGAACTTTGCCAGAAGTCAAGGCTTTGACCAGGGCATCTTCATCCAGAACGCCGCCTCGGGCCGTGTTGACAATGACAATGCCATCCTTCATCTTCTCGAATTCTCCGGTTGAGATGATGTTTCGGGTATTGGCCTGTGATTGTCAGAGTTGCTTATACTTACGCAGAGAACAACAGCGGCTGTGATTGAACTCACATTCAGTGGTAGATTAAGGCTCAATACGTCGCTCTTTGCAAGCAACTCGTCAAAGCTGACGTACTCGGCACCGTCAGACAGAACAGAAGGTGATCTGTTATAATAGATAACATTCATCCCAAATATTTCCATCTTTTTCTTCAAATTGATGCCAATGCCGCCGAGACCCAGAATACCAAGGGTTTTGCCTTGGGGATCATGGCCAAGAGGCCCTGGAGGTATGTGGCCCGTCCAAGTTCTATTGCGTGTGGACATAATGCCGTTGTTGAAGCCTCTTAGAGCAGCCAGGATAAGAAATACAGCGGTGTCGGCCGTAGCATCGTCCACAACCTCGGGGCAGTTTGAGACGAGAATGTTTCTTGCGGTGCAAGCTACCACGTCAATGTTGTCATATCCAGCCCCTGAAGATTAAGTTCGAGTCAGAATTACTGCGCAGTGGTTGTTGGATCATCTTACTTGCCATTGTGACAGATGTATTTAACGCTTTTGGGGAGTGCCTGCACTAGCTCCTCGTCGAACTTTCCGGTGACTGCCAGACTGTAAGGTGCACGATCACATATGGCAACAACTCCATCCAGTTTCCCACTTCGAAGCTCAATGAGAAACTCTTTTCTGCTAGTTGATTGAGGCTTCACAAGTTGTGCATGCTCCGAGAGTGAATCCCAGGATGCAGTTGCGCTGGAATGATCAGTTCCATTTCAGGTTGGCGGCTAAAGTGATTTGACTTGGAAATGCTCGGTCACTTACTGGTCAATTTTGCCAAGAAGCAGTACCTTTGCATGCGCAGCCATGTTCATACCCATGGATCCCAATTGACTCGACCTGAAAACGAAAGTAAGGCCTGAGGGAGTGGTACACAACAGTCAAGTCTGAGAATGGGCCGGCGAGACTTGAGGCGGACTGTACCTTTCTATGCCTTATTGACCGATAGAAGCACTTGTACCGCGCGGGGTAAGCTGGAGTATCCTTGTCTTCGTTCGGCGGGCTAAGAGGAGACCCGCCGGCTCGTTATTGCGCCGTCAAGTGTTGGTACAATCAAACCCCGCAAACAGGCAACTTTTCCGAGAATATAGATGGCTGACGAGAATTCTGCGACCTTTGTGCCACACCTTCTAGGAGTCATACTTCAGTTCAGCAAGACGGTTTGGGATGGAAGACATTGGGGGTATCATGTGCGAGGGTCATCGTGAAAATGGTGTTTCATAGGTTTTGCGACAACTGAGTGCTTTAAGTCTACTTAATGCCTTCTATTTAAGTCTTATGCTTTACCCGTAGACATTAAGAAGTCCATGTGGTACTCCACCACATCCTGCATTGCCTTTGTCTGCTCCTCGATGACCGTCGTCAAGGGGACTTTGCCAGTCAGCTCGCCCTGCACCTTGGTCCATGCTGCAGCCACAGGACCATTCACGTTAACCTTTGCCATGCCGTACGAGATGCATTTACGCAACAGCTCCTCTTGGAAATACTTCTCGTGGGCGCCGTGGAGCACGAGGCGCACGCGGTCCCCCACAGCCTGCCGGACAGTATCGAGACGAGGGAAATCCAGCTGCGGTCCCTTGGGCCCGTAAACCCCATGAACATTGCCAAACGCAGGTGCTAGCCAGTCAATACCGCAAGCAACGAACTCCTCCGCCTGTTCAGGACCCGTGAGAATCTCCTCCATGTCGCCCGTGTCAGCAATGCCGTCTTCGCAGCCATTAATACGGCCAGGTTCCGCTTCGGTGATTATGCCGCGTTCATTACAGTACTGGACCAGTTCCTTGGTGAGCCGCAGATTTTCTTCTTTTTCGTAGTGGCTCATATCGACCATAATGCCGTCGAAGCCGCCCAGATCAGCGGCCCGCCTGATGATGTCCGGAGACTGGGCATGATCCATATGAATGCCGATAGGGACGGAAGCCTTGTCAGCCGCTTCGGCTGCCGCATGCAGAAGAAGACCGTCTGCGTACTCAATAGACCAAGGGAAGAGCTGAATAAGGGCTGGCGATCGCTTTGTTTCTGCCGCGCGAACAGTCGCGACGACAGCCTCGAGGTTGTAGCAGCATACGGCCGCAATAGCATAGCCACCCGCTGATGCCGCATCGACGATGGCCTTGGCGCGGTTGTTTCTCAGCTTGTGGGCGAACCCATTGGTCTTGGTATCGATACCATTGCTGTTGACTCCATTGATTGCCATGGCTGCGGTGTGATGATTTCAGAGATGAAGCAACGAAGTAGGGCAACACAGAAGAATGGTTGAAGGCACCAGGTCTCAAAGCTCATCGACATATGGCGCATGCAAGTTAATCCCAGCCTTCATTCTTGTAGGATGACATCGGACGTGTTGCTGGACTCATTCAATATGCGAGGGATCATTGCTCCGGTCACTGACGATCCGGTGCAATTACACGCCTCCAAAGGTGGGGAATCTCTAAGCACCATGGATGATCTCCGGCTTGATGATGTCCCGCCAAATGACGCGCCCGGGAATTCAGTTCCGTCATCGAGGAAAAGCCGCCCCACTATACAACTGGGACGGCCTGCATGTTAATGCAGCTTTTCCGGGCGTTGTTATGTTCTCGTGTCATCTACTGCTTTGCGACAGACTCTCTTTCAGTATCGAGGTCAGGTCTGATCGGCAATCGCTATCACCATGAAGGACCACTACACAATCCTCGTCGCGATGTTCGCGTGCCTGGGCACCTTTCTCTATGTGAGTTCTTAGCCTCCGTCACAGAATGCGTTCATCATGAACCACGCGGTTAGAAAGCAAGCGACTGATGAGTGATACTTCGGCTTTAGGGATTTGACACCGGCATCGCGACGACCAGTAAGATTTCTCCTCCAAAACCAATCGCGCCGACTAAGAATCGAGAGTAGTTATTGGACTGACAGATTAACAGCTATCGCTCACTTGAGCTTCGTCGAATACATGAATAACCCTTCGAACGCCATAATAGGATCTGTAAGATCACTCGATGCCTACCCGTCAACCTTTCTAACTATGCAGGTGGTGGCGACTTACATCGCAGGTGAAGCGGTTGGCGCTATCATGCAGATCCTCATCGCCGACAAACTCGGCCGTCTCCGCTTCATGCAATTGCAATGCATCATCGTCAGCCTTGGATGTGCCATTCAGACTGGTGCAGTCAACGTCGGGATGTTCCTCGGGGGTCGCATAATAGCAGGAATCGCTGTTGGGGCCCTCAGTGGCACCGTTCCTGTCTACCTCTCCGAGATCAGCCCACCGAAGATCCGTGGCCTCATTGGAGGTCTCAATGGCGTTGGGCTTGCTTTCGGCACTATGACTTCGAATTGGGTCGGTTTTGCCGGTGGTTTTGCTCCGTACGGCCAGGCGCAGTGGCGCGTGCCGCTTGGTCTGCAGATTCCATGGGGTATTGTCCTCATTACAGGTCTTGTCACGTTCATGCCGAACTCTCCGCGTCAGTTGATCCAAAGAGGTCATGTCGAGGAAGCACGACATGAATTCACAAGAATCCGGAGCGACCTCCAATCGCATGTTGTGCAAGAAGAATTTGGACTCATGAAAGCCCAGATCGAGTTCGAGATGCAGAGGGAAATCCCAACATTCAAAGAAATCTGGAAAACGTATCGACGTCGCGTTTTAGTGTGAGTTAAATAAGCCGAGATCTTGTACCTACACAGAAAAGGCTGATCTTGGACCCCTTATCCAGCTCGGTCTCAGTCCAGATATTGACAAGTGTTACGGGAGTCAACGTTGTCCAGGTACGTGAAAGCCAGCAAAATCCTTTGTCGTCTTCATGCAGACACTAACAACGAACCGAATAGTACTATCAAAGTTAGTGGATCAAAGCCGTGGAACTCTGAGTATGTTGCTAATATGCTCAGCGTCTCTGTATCGCTCTCTCGGCATCGACTCGAAGACGATACTCGCCCTCGCCGCCGTTTGGGGTACCTGCGCATTTCTCGCCACAATAGTATCTGTTCTCATCTTGCCGGATAGATGGGGTCGCCGCAAGTAAGTAAACCGGATCTTGATAACCTTCCCATTGATTATTAGACTGTTGAAATTAAACAGAGTTGAAAGCTAACCTATCACTTCACACATCAGGATGCTTCTTGCTGGAGTCGCTTGGGTCATTGTTATTGAAATCTACTGCTCTGTCATGCAACGCTCATTTCAGAACACAGACAATCGCATCGGCAAAGGCTTTGCCATTTTGGGCATCTACCTTTTTGCTGTGGGATACTGTGAGTTGATACGACCATGCAGTCGTCTTTTTCTGTAGTTACTAACATGAAAACCGCAGACAGCCTCATCAATCCTGTCACTTGGATCTATGGCGCCGAAGTCCTTCCCATTTCCATCAGAAGCAAGATCATGGGCGTCGCCGCTGCAGCACATTACATTGTGAACGTCGGGGTTACCCAAGCCGGCCCCAGCGCATTCGCCACAATCCATGAGAACTACTACTACGTTTTCGTCGGTTGCTGCAGCGTATTCTTCGTTATCATCTATCTATACTATCCGGAAACCAAGCAGAAAACGTTGGAAGAAATTGCAGCCGCATTCGGTGATCGTGTGGTTGAGATTGAAGACCATCAGGCAGCGAACATGATGGCTGGCACAGAAGTCAAAGGCGACGTCTCACTGGAACACTTGGAAATGGATGCAAAACATAAATCCAAAGTTTAGTACTATATCGTTCCGGTAGAGACTGTGATCAAAAGGTTGAGAAAATATCAGCCCATGCGGCTCATCTCGCCGACGCTACCCCTAAAGTCCAACGCCCTTGTACAGCAGATCTTTGCGCAATTCTCCTAGGTGACTGAGATCCTTGGCCCATGCTTCGCCGCAGGCCGGAGGCCCGACAGTCTGCCTGCACTTCCCGATGAAAGGCAGCAGCCAGTCACAGTTACCGGCTCTCCGTTGGCTCCAAGAAGACGCTCCAAAGGGCTCATCTCCTTCTGGCTCGATTCGGTAGGAATGGCCGTAGCCACGCTCAAAGATGCGAGGCTCTGCAGAAAGGTGTTGAACTTCATGGTGGTTTGTATGATAACTTTGTTGTAGTGTAGAAGGGGTTTGCTGTGCTGCCTTCATTCAACGTCGATCAAGTTGAGCAGATAAGAGACGCTTTTATATGCAAATCAACATCTGCTCCGCTCAGACATAATGCTCACGGCATACTTCGACCTGACTACCCAGGGAGTCTCTAGTGATGATGACGTGGTAGCCAAAAGCCTTGTGGCTAGCTGAGCTCCCCCAAACAAGCCACTTCGCCCTCCCGGCGAGTTTTATGACTTAGAGCCAGCTCGCCACTGTTGTGATCATTGAGCTTCCATAGCTCATGTGCTCGATTCAACTGCTTCTTGGCTAAGAAGCTGAGCCCTGTTTTTGAGACGTAAGTCGCAAAAAGGTAAGCCCTAGCGGTTATTTTGCTCCCTTCTCAATCAGAATCGCGGTTTCGATTGGTTCACGACCTTTTGTCGGCGTATGAGCTGATCTAAGACACAGCCTCAAGGCCCGCCGCAGGATTTATAGAAGAAAAGCTTGACGAAGGTGATGATTTAAAACAATCATGCGATGAGGTTGCGAAGCGTTGCCGTCATAAGGTTTGAAGATTCAACTAACGGCATGGACCATCGCTTCAAGAATACAGTGATAGATGAACGTAGCTCAATAACATTTTGGCTAGTATCTAAGGTTAAACCTTTTTGGCAGGCGATTAAATACATACTCGCAGCATGCGTTTGGTCTGCACTGAATTGAAGTTCAATCCGTTCTTAAGCTGCTGGAATTATTGGTCATTACGACAGCCCTCACAAGAGACAGAAATTAGCCTAGAATTAACAACGTTTCATTTCTTGCAACAAACTGGGCTTTTTCTTTCGGCTCTTGACGTCATCCTGCTTTCCCTTTCGAATCTCACCGACCACGAAAATGTTATCTGAGGCGGCTGAAGAAATATGCGATCGCTTCGGACTAATAGACCGCCTCTTGATTGAGGCTCGTAACTGACTCCTCCAACTGATCCGCAATCGCTGCCCCTGGAAACTTTGGCTCATTGCATACCGACAATCTCTCTGGCTCCGCGGGAACCAGCCCAAAATGCGGAGCAAAATAGATGAACCTACCAATCATACGTTGATGATCCTTGTTTCCAAGAGTCAAAATCCATATATAGATCATTAAGCTTGGAAGCAGACTTGCCAAAAGTTCCCCACTACCCCTCGTATTTGGCTTTAGTCCCACAATAACAACAAGCATCCGGGAGCAGTGACCTCACGCTCGACAATAATAAAATAGAGTGATTCCCCATACGCGAACGAGTTCAACTTCACCGACAACTCCTCAACTCCAGCAATACCCATCACAACTCCCAAAATGCAGTTCACATCCGTCCTTCTGGCCCTGGCCGCCACCGCCAGCGCGTCCCCCATCATGGGCAGCATCAAGATGTTCTACGATCCCAATGCCAACTGCAGCGGTGTGGCTCTTCAGACCGAGGGCGGCTCGGAAATGGCCATCGCTCCCTACGACGTCAACAAGTGCCAGCTCATTCCCATGGGCGTTGCCAACACCACCTACAAGAGATTCTCCGCCAGCGGCTTGACGCCCATCTTCAGCTGTGAGTAGACACTTTTCCCTTGGTTGCCGGAATGACCGTGTGGTTGACTCGCGTTCACTACAGTTGAGCTCTACACCGACAGGGAGTGCCAGCAGCTCGCCACTAACGCCTCGAATGTCTGCGTTTCCGACATCAAGTCGTACATTCCCCGTCGCAACGACGGCAACTAATTGCGATGATCTTATGGGATTGAAGATCGCAGCGGATGATTTAAGTTGAAGGAACCATGACTGGCAAGGGATAATGAACCAGAGAAATGCACGGCCATAATGACTCGAGAATTATGCTCGCGAAACATAGACTAAAGCACTGCCCCTGTGCTTGAAAATCAAGCGTACACAACAGATATCTTAGACAATATGTATAAAACACGGCCGCAGAGAGATATCTCAAAGAGATTCTCAACTTAATGTTCAGTCCTAAATTGAATCCACCAGTGGTTTCAATGGTGACCCTAGCTCATTATGAAGTAAAAGTCTTTTCCTCCCCTCAAGACCTTTAGTTGAGGGCTGAATTAGTGCATATTGGAAATCGCTTCTGACATTTCACATTTGTGAGCCGCTAGATATGTAAAGCTATGGGGGGTTTTAGTTGGTCGTTGTCGGTGTGCAGTACAGACCATCGTCAGCCTGCCTTCAACGGCTGAGCTGAGGCTAACGTAAGTTGTCAAAAAGGATGAATTTCAAACGTGCCTAAAGACACCCACTTCAACCCATCAATGAAGGTTAAGATTGCAGTGAAAGATCTTCTTGTTTACATGCTCGCGAACGGCCCGCACCAAAGCATGCCACCCATCCTCATGCACATGTGCATACAGCTGTGGAACGTCATAGGTAAGCATTAGAAGGGCATGCGTAGATCTTCCCCAAAGTCCCAAACCATTAGCTAATGACGGCGCTGCAAAGGAGGGTTGACACCCAGGCTAGCCTGCCACATCCCTCCCCACTTTGCCTGAGACGAGTACCAATGGCTTGATGGGCAAGTACTTGTGGGATGCCAGACAAAGCACATCATTTGATTGGGATGTAGGTTAGGGCAGAATCCCGTTAGGTTGAAACTTTCTTACCGGCGGCAACTACTCCAACGTTGCGATCTCTAGCTCTAATGTTTTATGGCGGCCGTTAAGGAAAAGGGATAACAGTGCAGATATCTGTATGGAGAAATACGGCCGGTGAAAGGTTGTAGCATATTAGGCTGTGCCTATGGATTTCATTTCATTCAGTCACTCCAGCAGCTGGGCACAAATTGTCTTCAGTCGTATTGCAAGTGAGAGCTCTTAGGAGCAGTCCTCTCGTTAGGCAGGCTATTCTTTCTATATAATTGCAATGTTTTGTTATCTTTAGAGTACCTAGCTATCTCCTCTCACACACTTCGCAAATTTGCAACAGTCATAGAGACCGCTGCAGGAGTTACAGGCTTCAAAATTCGTATGTTAGCTTTTCTAGAGATCCTCTCTTGAGGGGAATAAATCGCAGTGAAAAATAGATCATTCAACTGGGCTGTGTCTGCATGAATGTACTCCGTGGCGGGATCTCTCTGGCTAGTGACTTCTTAGCGCGGGTGCCATAACTTGGCAAAGATCCTATTGGTTGAAGCTGCGTTAATAGTCGCGGGAATATGGGCCAACAGAGCCGCTGGCCAAAGACGACCACATCATATTCAATGCCTTGGGCGGAGTTAAGATTGCAGTGAAGAAGTTGGCTGCCTGCTGTCATTCATTCATTTGGCGAACCACTTGTTTGGTCAGCAATTCGCGGCCGGCCGCGAGAGAAGCCGCCGCCCTGCATGCGTTGGCCCGAATTGGGATTGCAGTGGAGCTTTGGTTGCCTACCTACCTAGGTACCTTAACTTTTTGACGGATCACTCGGGAATCCGGGGGGCGCGCAGACTGATACCACTTGGAAACGCCCCAGCCAACTACAATGATTGTCACAAGTCGGCTAGTGTACCATCCTTCTTAACGTTGAGTGTTAAATGTAAGTAATTATGGGGTTTCGGGCGAACGGCGAGCCTTGATTGGACTCACGCCTTGGCCAAGCCTCTTGTAGGTTACTATGCTTGCTGCTTTGGGGGGTTGATCTGGGATGACAGTTACGATGTTGTCGTTGCTGCTTGATTGTCCTGGCGAATGACCCTCAAACCCACCTCTGACTCAGACGCTGAGGTCTCGAGCTTTTGGACGAGACGCGAAAGAGGAGTCCTTCATAACAGTGATTACACACACGGGGCTCATTATTAGGGGGTATCTAAGTATCATCTGCTCGTGTCTTTTGCGATCCATTCAAGTTGGCAAAGCCTGTTCTCCATCAAAATCTGCTGCCACTTGCACCGCCAGCACCCTCAGTCCTCTGAGCATTGCGCATCGCGATATTTCCTCGCGTGCCACTACCAGGCAAACCTTCTCGGTTGCTCGAACCTCCGTACTCGCTCGCATTGCTCCAAGTCATCGGCTCGCGAGGAGAAGACTCTGCACTCTCTCCCGCCGAGAAGCTGTAAGTCCTGCCGTTGTATCCGGGCGGCTGCGGCCAGATCTTTGGGATAGGGAAGAGACCGCTGCTCTGAGTCCGACGCTTCTCAGTTGGCTGGATAACAATGCGAACATTGCCCTCGCGAGAGCTTTCACCACTCGTGTTGCTGGGCAGGGGCCCGCTTGGGTCGCGTTGGTTCATGGTGGGTGGCGATGAGTCGATAATAGCGGCTGCTGCGGCGGCTGAAGTCATTTGGTAGTCGTCTTCGGGAATGTTAACATGCTGGCGACGCTTGGAGCGCTTTCGAAGGAGCCAGATAGCTAGCGCGACGAGGACGATGCCGAAGACGCTGCCTACGGCGATCCCAGCGATTTGGCCATCATCCAGTGCGGGCCTGAGCGATGATTCAGAGCCTGGAACAACAGTCGACGATGCCGTGATACTGGCAGATGTTTGCGTCGAGGTTGGGGTCGGAGTCGGGGCTACGGTTGGCCATGAGAACCCATCGGGATCATCCGTGAACCAAGTCGTGATGCCACTGGTTGCGCTAGACGAACTCGAGATACTGCTGCTGATTGGGAGAACAGAGGTACTCTTATCGCTCGATAGCAAAGTTGTGACGAGCGAAGTCTGGGTTGGCGTGGAGATAGTCATGCGAGTGGAAGCCGTTGTCGGAATGGTCGGCTCTGGGGTAATTGTAGACACTTCTTGGGTGCTTGCAATCGAGGTTGGAGCTGGAGCGCCAGCTGTGACGAACAGGGTAGTGGTTGAAGTTGGAGTTGCCGTCACAGAGACTATGACGGGGTTCACGACCGTTGCCGTCGAGACGAAGCTGCCTGTCCTAGTCAAAGTTACCGTCGTTTCGATGGTGACAATCGAGACCATGCCAATGACAGTAACCGGCGCATCCAAGACTTGGCGTCGAACGCCGTGGCGTGCGGTAACAAGTGTCGTCGGGACTGGTAGACGGGTTGAGTCTCGGAGAGAGGAGAGTGATGTCGAATCCGGTCGCGGAGGCTTGTCACGAGGAAGACCAGTGTTTGCCGACGAGGTCGAATCGCCATGGTAACTGGCTGCTGGTGAAGCAAATTTTCGTTTCGCCAAATCGCTCGGGGCTTTCGCGATCGCGACGGTGCTGGTCTTGGTGATGAAGATAGGGTCGACAACGGTCACAGTCTCGACAAGCGTGGAGACGACGACCTGCGTCTCGCTTGGTACCTCGATGAAGGATGTTCTCGTGAGTGTGACGGTAGAGAGCGACAGCGACGGCTGGCTCGAGGGTCTGCGAAAAATGGTTAGCGACTCGAATTTGGCCGCGATAGGGAGGGGGCTTCTTGCGTCGAATTCTGCCTGGCCCAGAGATGCATCATTTCCTTGCCATCGTGCCGGGAGCGCGATCCGTCCGACTCCAAACTCTTTGCTGCCACTTTCTCGCCAGTCTGAAGATGATGCGCGATCTCGATGCTCGCCTGTCGCGACGCCCGCGGTGTCTCCGCATCAATCAAGAGCGAAGAAATCGATGTTCCGAGAGCAGGAGCGCCATCGCGAACCTGAGAAGCGACGGCTGCGGCAAAAGCCAAGCAAAAGGCAAGCAAGATCCGAATTTGCAGCATGGTTACTGATTTTGTCGCAAGTTGCTAGATCCTTCCCATTTTTGGTTTTGTGAAAGTTCGAAAGGAAGGTGAAATGGATTAGAAAAGAAAGTACGCCGTTTGCCCTTGCAAAAGGCAGGAAAGAAAAGAGTGACGATGAGGCAAACGGTGGAAGCAAGCTTCCTTGGACGGGAGGACTGAGTGAAAGAATCGAGCAGCTGAAGGGCATGTCGGAAAGGGAAGGCGCATTGAGATACACGATGCTCCGAATCGAGTCGCCACCACTTGGTGCAACACGAAAAGTGGTGGTTTGAGGAAGGAAGCAGAGGTTTGCCGGTCTTCCGCAGCTGATTGAGGCAATGCATCTCCTCCAGCCGTCAATAGCTTCAGGTCAAGACAAAGTCCGGCATGGCTTGCATGGGGTCTGTATCGGAGAATTAAGTCTCAAGTTGACCGTCTGAGGTGCGCGGGAGAGCCTCCTCGTCATCCCGGGACGGCATGGGGCCGGCGACAGGCGTCCCGATTGCAAGGTGTTCATCTCAACAAACAAGTATAACAGAGTGAAGTTGCATTGATATATCTGCCGATCTAAGAAGGCGCATCAGTTACGGAACTTGTTACGGACCCATCGAACCTTGGCCAAATCGCCCCAGCATTACGAGCGCTGCACGGCACGGCACAGGACGAATGAGCCCCGCCTCAGATCGGCCGCACCTCATCACCACAGCCGGGAAGCACGAAGACGGGCGAGGAAGACAAGAAAGACGAGGAAGACGACAACGACGATGATGAAGACAGCCAAGAACTAGGAGGGCGAGGACGAGAAGGACGACAACCACGGAAGTTGGTTACGCTTTGGTGATCTCTTGCCGCGACGAGAGACATTCAGGAGGCGGAAGAAAGGAAGAAATGATGCACAGACCGTCTTATCGGGATCCATCCCGGGTACCCCATCCCTGCTCGTGTATTACGTAATATTTTATTTGCCTGTCGGCCGAGATTCATCTCCATCCATCCACCTCGCCAACCACCGACGAAACCTTGGCCACGGGCGTTGTTCGGCCGAATCACGACTACATCACGACACAACACGTTTGACGGTTTCTTAACGAAAGTGTCTTGTCATTACGTTGATCATTACGCTGGGTCGTCTGGCCGTCTCGGCCTACGAGGAGGGACCTTCTTGTCCTTCTCCCGGGGTATCTCTGTCGTCAATCTTCCGTTATACTTTTCGCCCTTGGTGCTCCCACTGTTTCTGTCAACAGTGTATGTGTCGCCACTCAAATCGGACATTGGACTCATCCGATTCGGGCTCAATGGTGCCTTCTCCGCCATGAAACCTTCTCCTCCTCCAACACCGGGCCCGAGACTCAACCTCATCTCCTTCAACACGACTCCATCACCCCTGCCAGACCTAGGAGTGTCAGGCACCTCAAACCGATCGTCCTGCGAGTATACCGAAGAGCTTCTCTTCGCCTCCCATGTCGCCTCCAACATAGGCCTACCGTCTCCAGTGAGAGGCCGGCCTCGACTCCTCGGCACCACCCCCAACACCGCAGTCCTCAGACTGAGCGTTGTCGGCGCCATGTGCGATATCGACAATACAGGCACAGGCGGTGCCGGCATCCGCAGTTTGTTCAAGTGACTGGCATAACTCGCGTTCCGGCTCCGCGCGAAAGGCGTGCTGGGCTCCGTCCATGGATAGCCGTGGTAGGTTAAGCTCGTCAAGTCAAAGCTCTCGTTCTCCGTGGCCTCAAGCGACCTTCTCTTCGCCGCACTCATCAGGCCAGGGAAAACCTTGGCCAGCAGCGGACGCAGTGTCGGGGCGCTGGCGCAAATGAGCGCCAAGTCGCACTCCAGGATCGTCATAACGAAGAACGTGAGCGTGTTGGTCACACCCGTGCTGTTGGGCAGGTAGTGCCTGTGCAGGCTGAGCTGAAGACGGACCATGCTCGCTGCAATAACGAAGATGCTCAAACTCAACACCACGGAGAGCGCAATCTTGTCCCTCCGAGGAAGGTCGAGTCTGGCAACGCAGGGGATGACCATGGCGATCAACCACGCGTCAGTTGCGGAATGAAGACTTGCGCTCGAGATCAACAGCTCTGGAAAGCCGAAGCACATCATCGGCCGCCCGAAGAACTGTCCCATCACCGGATGGCATTGGAGGAAGCTCATCAGCAGCATTGGTACGCTGTACATGAGCACAAACACAACTGTTCCCCATGCAAACAGCCGCCCTCGCGGGCGGGAGACAAAGACCCGGAGATAGAATGCCAGGATGGAGAATTTCGTCAGACAGAGGCAGAGTTGGTAGTAAATCAACCCGAGGTATGTGCGCATGATGTACGGGTTGACATCTTCCAGCAGGGACGCCTCTGATGGGGCCGCCAACAGCGAGGGCGTTGTGGCGGTGATGCCATAGACGATGCACAGGGCCGTTGAAAAGAGCCACGAGAGGAAGATGAGCGTGTCGTCCAGGAACCACTTGCGAATCACCCATAGCCGCGAGGCAATGCGAGCAAAGATGAAGAGAGTGCATACGACGTGCGGGAGCAGGATCCCAGTCATGAAAACCGGGATATTGGCATCGTCCTGTTAGAGGTCAGATACGCACAAACAGAACAAGACGAGAGACTTACGATTTCCTTCAGCACTGACGCTGGGACTCTCGGGTCTGGCGATTTCGGGTACGTGAGGTTCATGCCAATGCCCTCGGCGGAAGCCATCTTGCCGTGGTGGCTCTGCGATCGCAGAGATCGGGGAGATCGGGCGTCTTGTTCGTCTGTTCTGTCGCGCCACCTGAAGAGAACTCACGTCCTCGAACCCATGGAGAATGTGTCAATGGTCATACAACATGAAGCCTGCACGAGTCCCAAATCCGGAAGAGCAGATCATCGGTTTACATACGAAATCCCATTCCCCCAAAAAGGCAACTCCAATCATGCAAGCCACCCATACCACGCCATCCCGGCACCCGAGAGACCCCTACCCCTCCATCCCATCAGATCTCGCTCCCACGGCCACGTCTACCGCCTGCCGAACTCAACCCAGTCCGCTCCAAGCAACGGGCGCACAAGCTCCTTGCCAGGCAAGAGCGGTACCACCTGCTCGCTGCAGGCTAAACCCCCGCGATCGCGATTGGACGGGCGATGGTTTCGTCACTGATGGGACGGGACCGTCGGCGCGGCGAGCGTCGACTACTCAACTGGCACGGACGAGGGAGGATGGACTGAACTTGTGGCATTCAGCCCATCTTTTGGCACCGCTCGAGCTTCACGTTCTTGAAGCCCTGCCGTCCCTCTGTCTTTCTCAGCTTGAGGAGCAAACGAGACGACGAGCTGAAACGCCTGGGAAGGAAACGATCAACCCGTCCGCCTCGCCTCACTTCCATCGAGCTTTTTGATAAAGCCGTGGAAGCAATAATGAAACGCGCCTCACCTGTCAAAAAAAATCTTTACTTCCTTTCCCCGTATTGTTCTTCGGCGGAAGAAAAGAAATGGGAACCCCGCCATCTCCAACTGTGACAGCCAACAGCTCGACCAGTCGCAGAACCGTTCTTGGATGCGGGGTGCGGCACGCCACACACATCCGCTCCGTCGCCTCCCCTCCACCCCCACCAACCTGCCCTTCCATTGCGGATCTACTGCGCCAAACGACTCACATGGCCCCAGCTGCAGCGGAATGCCGTCCGGGAGTTGCCCGATCCGGCAGGACAAGTCTGCATCCCGGCGCCGATTGGTGGGCCATTTCTTTCTCGCAGAATGCGCGCGATATCATTGCCGACGTCTATTCGTTGTTGCGGGGCGTATTTGGATTGTCGATTCACGATTGCATTTTGTCTGGGTTGAAGGACACGGCAGACACCCACTCTTGGGTGGCGGTCGCACGCATTTGGCTGGTTGGGCTTCCTTTTACCCTTTCGCCATGAACAATGCGCCAATGCATCCTTAGGTTGGCCAGCTCAGCAAAGAACGGGGAGGAGGGGACGAGGAACCAGCACCCCCACCACAGCGCAACTGTTCGTTATTGGCAAGAACTAGTATTTCGCAAAAGGTTTCGGCCCGCCGTTCCCTTTGCCTTTCCTCGCCATACGTTTGTGCGTGGCTCGATTGCCTTTGGAAGCCCACGCCAGCGGCCGATGGCCCCCCGGAAGGCGAGATTGGCCTCCGAATGATGGACGCGCGGAGTGCTGCTGAACGGCACTGCATTGGACGAAGCTTCTCCTGCTGGCCCTCGGGATACGGGGGATCCTGGACATGTCTGGGACGAGCCGTTGATATTGGGTTCCCGGCGTTGGGCGGAGGAAGGCCCGTGGGTTGTGGTTGACGTGCGGTGCCATCTGGTGTGGTGGGATGGACGTCGTCTGTGCGACCACGCTGCCGCGTCTGTGGGGAAGGCATGATGTGATTCCTGAAGTATAGATGCGATGGATGATGAAATGCTGGATTTGTGTTTTCTATGCGAAGGTTGCCAAGAGCTTGGAGGCGGTGCTGGCTAGGTCTCTCATTTTCTGGAGAAATGACATCGTGATCGCGTTCGCGTGGTAGAGGAGCTGAGCGGCATGCTGGCTGGAGGCAACAAAGTGCGCCTCATCTTGGCATGAAGTCTGCGCGGTATCTCCTTTGGACAGGTGTTCTTGGCCTTGTGGCTTGGCCCTGAGGTAAAGTGATGCCTCGGGAAAAAGATGGCGGCATGTGCCGTGGTGGTGGCCCGATGAGAATGGTCAACATGTTTATAACTTCGGTTTCGCTTTATGTATGGCCGACCGATCATCTCCGAGGCCGACGTAAGAGGCAACAATGAAACATAAGAATCATGTCTCCAAAGTGGCCCAAAACCCTTTTCAAACACCACACGAACTTCCAATCTAGGAGTAACATAGTTCAGACGGCAAGCCGATAATGAGGACCCTGAGCCGTCAACCAGTCTTTATCCCTGCGTCGCCATACGCCCCTCCGGCTTGAGACTTTTCCGGGAGGTATCCGCGTCTTGGAGGCGTCGTCGGATATCTCAACTCTACTGGTGGGACGATGATTGGGCAGGTGAGGGCGCCCGTATTCGCAGACTCTCGCAACACCAAATTGCCCCATGGCTCACCTTCGGCATCATTAATTTATATCCATCCCTTCTACTTTGTGGTCGTATCTCCACCATGACACAACCTCAGGCTGCCTATGAGGCGAAGCTACTTCTGGTTCTCCAGGGCAAGATGTGAGTGTAACACGAAGTTGTATTGTCCAAGTCTACTTAGTTATCAAGGGGTTTGTTCCCTTCTCAAGTATACCCATGGTCAGTCGTGTTCCGTGGTTCGATACTGCCAATCGATTTGAAGTCGGGGATCGAGTTTGGCGTAGTAATCATCCGAATCGGTATTGATTTGGGTAGCGTTGAAGCTGTCCCAGCCGGTCATGACTAGGGATTCAGCTGTCGAGATGGTCGCGGAAGAATGTCCCAATACTGTGTTGTCTGCCATCTGGGCCCCCTGGTCTTCTCTCATTCGGTCGTACTTGGCCTTCGTCCGTTGCATGTAGGAGTCGATGCCCACAGTGATGTCCCCGCCTAGCTTCTCCATCGCCAAACGCCCAAGAAACTTCACCGTTACATCCAAACGAATCTCCATCGGCAATATTGCCGATGCTTGGGCCACCCGTTGCTCCATAGCTGTTATCTGTGCTTCGGTAAATGCTTGAGGTTGTGATCCCGGCCCAGGGGCTGCTTTCGACAGTTTACCTTCCATGTTGATCGCCCATACTCCGGTATAGGTCACGTTCGGGAGGCGAAATTTGTATACCTTTTGTACCAGTTCAACGATGTCAAGGATCCGTCGATCATTCCGAAACGCTTCGACGACTTCAGTCATCGCCAGCACAGTGTCTCTGAGTTCGTCGTGAGCCCTCCACAGATCTGTTGTTTGTCCACTGTCAGGCACGGCAACGGCGCGGATTGCTACCGCCCAGAGGACCGACTCTTGCACAACTCGTCCTGGTAGTTGCTGGAGCACTGCCCTTTGGATTTGTTTGTAAAACGGCGTGCGACACAACCGAAACGTACTCTTGGTAACGATGACATTTGCGGTATCAGAGAGATCTGCGAGCATTTCCCAATTGAATATTTTCAAGATGTCGGTGTAAGACGTGATCTTGTCCGTTAGAGCCTGGATCTTAGTCTGAGCTTTAAGGTTGCAGTCTTGGATCATCTCATCAGCAGTGAGCTTCTCGTTGCCCGGTTCGTTGCCTGTGAACATCTTGCCTGATCGGGATCATAAAAGTCCGGGCTCGAATGGGGTTTCAGGTTTTCAAGCGTTCAAGATCCAATGACTTTCAAGAGATGTTTGTCGCGTCGGTTCTCTATATTATGCATGCGGCGAGAAGAGTTGCAGTCGTTCTCGTTTGTTTGCGCAGAAAGGTGATGGTAGCGGAGATGTTGGAGTTGAAAAGCGAGAAGTTGGGGAGAAGCGCTCTTTTTATCTCGATGTTTGCTTTCCTTCTTGGACGCTTCAGGGAAGAGCTACCATTGAAATGGAAAGAAGTGAGTAGTATGACTGAGCTTTGGCAAGCGCGATTCACCGAGGCAGCATTTTTGCTGGAAGCAAGAGCTTCAACTGCGGAAGCCTCATCCGAGCTGCCCATCTTCGATCCTGACCCGGAACAACCTCTCAGCATTCCCATGGGCAATCATGTCCAACTCGCGCTCTCCTACCAGCCCGCTCCCCTTCAACTCCTCCATCCACTTGACCCCGTTTTCGCTCTTCTCAAAAGGGTGGTCGACACTGTACAGCACATGCTCAATAGGCGTATTCCGCAACACACAAGCGAGCGGCGCCATGCCCCAGACCCCGCTCGTGGTAAGCCAAATATTCCCCTCCCAGACCTCCTTCCACGCCCTCCTCCTGGGCCCCCATCTCACCGACAACTTGTCAACCCGCTCCATCATGAACGGCAGCATCTCCCCAAAATGCCCAATCACAATCTTCACCCCGGGGACCTCGTCAAACAGCCCCGCAGCGAAGAGTTTGAGCACAGCAAGGCCCGTCTCCTGATGCCACCCAAACCCGCTCGTCCCCAAGCTCTTCGCCGCCCCGAGCTCAAAGTTGCCGTCGTACGCCTCCTGCTGCACCTGCGATGGCCACGTCGGGTGCAGATAGATCGGCACGTCCAGCTCCGCCGCGACCCTGAAAACCTCCCAGAACTTCTCGGCGTCGTAATGCGTCCCATCGGCGTGTGCATCAACCAGCGCGCCCACAAACCCCAACTCCTTAACGCACCTCCTCAGCTCCGCCGCCGCAGCCGGGGGATCCGCCATCGGCAGCACCGCCAGGCCCACGAAGCGGTGCGGGTGCGCGCGAATGGACTCGGCGAGGGTGTCGTTGGCGAGGACGCTCATCCGCGCTGGGCGGGGGGCGAGGCCCGGCGCGTGGGAGACGGCTTGCAGCGCGATGTGGTTCTTGTCCATGTCGGCGAGGCGGAGCGGGCCGACGTCCGTGAGGCGCGCGGCGATGTCGGGGAGGTGTTTGAGTTGTTCTGCGTAAATGTCGGAGAGCTCGGGGAGAAGGGCTGGGGCGATGAAGTGCTCTTCGAGAGCGATGAGTGGGGGGATGTTTGGGGCCATGGCTGTGAGTCAATTGATATCGAGAAGTTGGCAGTGATGTGGATGAGGGTTGCCGTTGGGCATTGTCTAGATAAGTGAAAGAGAATGCGGTTGTGTTGATGATGTACTAGCTCCCCGCACTTCCCCAACGCCTCGACGCCTCTTTGGGTTTACTTTGCGGTACTACGTCCGAGACATGCATTCAGATCACGGGACTAGGCAGCAAACCGTCCAACCTTTCATCTAGAGTCTTGTTATCCGGGCGGATGCTTCGAGCTAACCGGGCGGATAACTATCATGCTAGACCTTATATCAACAATTTTGTCATCCTTGTTATCACTGTCGTCGCTATTGTCGCTATTGTCTCTATGGTCCCTGTTGTCATCGTCCCTATTACTATCGCCTCTGTTGTCTTCGTCGTCCCCGTTGCTGCTGTCTCTGTTGCTGTCGTCTCTGTCGTCCTCGTTATCGTCTGTGCCTACTTCCCGCCCGGATAGCAAACGCTTCATCTATGTATGAAGTTCGATGGGCGCAAAAACAGTTCGTCTTTCAATTGTTAATCTCCTCCCGGCTCTCTCTTTCATACACTCTACTTCCTCCCCTCAATCTCCTTCGCCTTCTCCCGCGCCTTCAGATACCCAGGCTCCTTCTTGATTCTGTCGATATACGCAGCCACCACGGGGTACGCCGCCCGCGCCGACCCACCCTCCCAGGTGCCCATCGCGTCGAACGCGCCGAGGTGGTCAGCCGTCGTCAGCCCAAAGCTGAGCAGGATGTCCGCGGCACTAAGCTCCGGGCCGCAGAGGAAGCCGTTGCCGTCGGTCACGCCCGGCGCGGTCTTGAGATACGACTCGAGCAGGGCGAGGTTCTTCTGCGCGTTGGGGAAGAGCACGAGGGCCATGACCTTGTTGACGACGAGGGAGGTGATGGGGCGGATGAAGAAGGGAACGTTATCTGATTTGAGGACTGGGCGATGTTAGTGAGACACGCGCGATGAGAGTAAAGGGGGCGTGGGAAGGGCATACTGCTGAAGAGGAGGTACTGCACCAGCGTCGGGAAGAAGGTGCCCTCGACGTAGTGCAGCAGGTACTGGAACCGCGCGTACGCCTCCGTCTCGCCGCCGACCTTGCCCTCCTGGCCGTCCTTCCACTTGCGCGGCACCAGCGACGGCTTGTTCTGGCCGAAGTGCTCGACGAGGTACTGCGTGATGTAGCCGCTCTCGGCGAGCTTGATGGGCTCGCCGCCGTTGGGTGGCGTGATTTCGAGCACGGGCGACTTGCCGAGCGGATGCACCTGCGTGAGCTCCGGCGGCGCGAGACGGTTCGGCTGGCGGAGGAAGACCTCGGTCGTGTAGCTGAGGTTGAGTTCCTCGAGGAGCCAGAGGATGTTTTGCGCGCGGGAGTCGTTTAGCCTGGGTTTGGGGTTAGTGTGGTGGACTCAATTGAGGTGAAGGCAGGACAGACCAAAAGAGCTTGATCTTGGGCTGTTCGTCGGTCGCCATTGTGAATTTTCGTTTGCTGGGCAGTGAGGGTGAGTGAGGTTTGCGTCTTGCGTCGTTGTGGATGAAGGCGAGGTTCCGTTGCGCGATGAAGAGCTTCGGGAGCTGCGATGAGGGGACGCGATGAGCTAGGGGGGTCGTTAGCCGAGCGCCACGTGCCGCTAGCACTCCAGCGTTCGCGGCGATGATCATTGTGGGTTTTGGGATACTTTGGTTGGCTGGAGGGCTTCGGCGGGTTTTTCTGGGCTCAGGGAGAGCATCATGACGTGCGCTGATTTAATAGCAGTCGGGTCATCGGCGGAGGGATTCTGACCGCCGGCAGGATCGGGGGACGGGGGCTATGTGGGCCGTGTGCGGAGCGGTTCCGCAGTGTGCCGGGCGGCCGGAATGGGTAGCCTGCGTGGGCTGACTTGGGGAGCGTAAGATGGGCTTAGACAATTCGGGCGAGGTCATGCTGCAAGGTACGATATTGTGTACTTCAAATTTCCACGTTGGAAGCGATTGGGGTGGATGAGGATGAGATGTTCATGCAGGTAAGACGGCTTTAAGATTCAGGTCCGGGGATGGAGCATCGCGACAGGGACTTCTGCTTTCCTAAATGGGTCCCGTAGGATGTCCCCGTCGGTCATTCACGGGATATTTTCGTGCCCACAAGCATGGAACGGCTCCTGGTCCCATTCTTCTTGACGAGAGTAAGATCGGTAGTCGATTGTCCCGGATCATTGTCATCTCTCCAACAACAGCCGATGTTCTAGACTCACGAGGACGAACGATCGGAGGCGTCCCCCCGAACTACAACTTCCTCTTCACCAGCCCCTTCCAAAAATCAAAACTATTCTCATCGCTCTGCAGCGCCCACATCCGGCCCGTCTCGCGCCCATCCCTATCAACCTCGACCGCCTTCAACAGGCCCCAGTCGCGCGTGATGCCCACGATCCGCGCCCGCGCGCCGGCCTCCTGCTCCAACGTCACCGTCTGCCCGGAGTGCAGCCAGTGCCTGTAGTACCGCTCCTCGAGGTCGCGCGAGAAGCCCTCGCGGCGGAATTGCGCGTAGATGGCCTCGAAGCGCGGCAGGATGCGCGCGAGAAGCGTCTCGATGTGGAAGCCGCCGGGCAGCGAGGCCGGCGCAATGGCGTTGAGCGACGTCGTCGGGCGCGTGTTGGTCGTGTTGATGCCGATGCCGACGACGCACTGGTACGAGCCCTGGAAGTAGCTGCAGGTGGAGAGGATGCCGCCAATCTTGACGTAGGAGGGGTCCGAGGGGGAGGAGGCGGGGTCGCGGCAGTCTATGGTTGTGGTCAATCAAGGGTTCTTCGAGGAAAGATAGATGCGAGGAGACTTACAGATGTCGTTGGGCCACTTGAGCTTGATTGGGATATCGCCGCATCCCACATCGTAGGTTTGCACGGCCTCGGCGATGGCGATCGCTGAGATGTACTGCAGGAACACAATCGGGTGAGAGGCGGCCAGGTGTGCGGGATGGTTGATGACCGTTGAGAAGAGCAAGCTTCCAGGCGGCGCGATCCAGACGTTTGTGCCACGGCCGCGGGCCGCCACGGAGACTGCTGCCGTCAGCGTGAAGCCGGTCGGGAGACAAGACAGGAGCTTGTTGTTTCTGCCAAAGTCAGCACGTCTTCGTATCACATACAAAGAGAAAACCTACTTATCCATGAGCGTATTCGTGCTCGTCACAACCTCACCATACAACAACGTATCGCCCCACTCCTCCGCCTCCTTCTCCTTCTCGCGGTACCCCTTCAAGCTGTTGTAATAGAGCCGGTGGTTGAAGCTCGGCGTCTCCTTGACGTCCGGCCACGCCTCTTCGTGCGGGACGATGACCTTGACCACCTTGTCGTAGTCCATGGCCCCCGACGGCAGCGCGTCCCGCAGATCCTCAACGCTGAATCGTGTGGCCTGCTTCTCGATGCGGAAGACGTCGTGCTCGCCGTGGATGTACTCCTCCCCGTCCCCGGTGCGCGTGATCGCCTCCTCCCAGGAGGCCAGGGTCTCGGCGACCTCGGTGTGGTTTGTCGAGGTCAGGTGCAGGCGGGAGAGCACCGGGGGAGCGGAAGGGTCGGCGCTGAGGTCGAGGCCGAGCTTGGTGAGACAGGTGCGGAGGAAGGAGATGCGGGCTGCGTCGGCTGCTGCGAGCGTCGCGATGAGGGTTTCGTAGGAGGGGATCTTGGGCTGGGGGTGCAGGTTTGCGGCAGCGAATCTGGGTACAGTTAGCTGAGCCATCAAAAAGGGGGCCGAGGGACATGCTCGGGATGAGGACCGGTGAGAACGACATGCCCGTTCCCAACCTTGGAGTAAATCACCGCAGCCTTCCCATCCCCGCCATCGACATCAAGTTCATCCGCATAACTCGCAAGCACCTCCACCCCCTGACACCCCTTCGCGTCAACAAACACCCCGCCCCCGTTATAATAGCTCACCACCTCCCCCTCAGCCGTACTCAGCCTCACAGCCCTCGCCCCGCTCTCACTATGGTACGCAAACCCCTTGAACGCACCGCCGCGGCACGTCCCGGGGAAGAAGCCCAGCTCGCGCGTGCCAATGACCTCGAGCGTCTTGTCGCCGACCTCGAACTCGCACTTGCGCGAGGCGTAGTACCCGCCCGCGCAGAAGCCGAGGTACGCCCCGCCCTTGCGGACGAACTCGGCGATGCGCCGGTTGCCGGCGCCGTTAAGCACGCGGCAGTAGCCCAGGTCGCCGCCGCCCGGGATCACGAGCAGCGCGCAGGTCGCCTGCCAGGGCTCCTTGAGCAGCGCGGGCTCCGGGAGCGGGATGACGGCGTAGGTGGGGGAGAGGAGGTGGCGGAGGGTGAGGAGGGCGTGGCGGACTGATTCGAGGGTCGTGCCGGTGCCTGTCGTGGGTGTCAGTTTGAGGACGTGGAGTGAGAATTGGGAGGTTGCTTGCCGCTGTAGACCAGCACGTTCAGTTTCCGAGGCGCCATGGTGTAATGTTGGCGATGGCCGGTGAGATGAGTTGTGAGGGATGAGTGAGTGAGTGAGTGAATAAGCCCCCGTCGTTGGGAGTCAAACGCCGAAAATTTAGGGGCACTGTCCTGAAGTGCTGAACCCCAACAATTCTACAATGCTAAATTTGACTCTTTTTCCCTTCCTCACATCCGACGAAGTAAAAGCAGCCTGCACTCCTCAACCAGCGCAAACTTCAACTCTCGGAGCGGAGATCGAGCAGGAGGAAACAATGTCGAAGCAAGAGAGCGACGCGGCGCAGAAGGCGGCTGCAGACGACGAGCCCGATGACTGGTGCGTATTTCCTTTTTCACCTCGACGGATCTCACTCTTCTCCGAGACAGTGGCCTTCGTGGCGTGAAATCGATGAGGAAAAAACATCTCGGAGAAAAATTGTCGACGGCCATCAAAACAAAAACGCAGGGACTGCGGCTAACGTTGCCACGCAGGGACAAGCGCATCTTCAGCACCGGCTGCGCAGGTAAACGTCCAACCGCATTCTCCGATCCAGCCACGGAACGACCGGCCGGCAATGGCTTGCGCTAACACGCTGTTCAACAGACGAGAATGCAAAGTTGACAGACTGCTATTTCGAAAAGAAGGACTGGCGACAATGCACCGCCGAGGTTCGTCCAATTCCCCCCCCCCCTCCTTGCTAACCAACGTGATGAGCGAAGCTGACGACGGGGGTCGTCCCAGATGGAGCGGTTTAAGAGCTGTTGGAAGCAGCAGGGGAACGATGCCCGGACAGACACCAAAGACGCCTGATTCTCGACTCTTCGGCATGAAAGAAGTGTACGATGCGTGTATAATTACTGTACATAACTCCCATCAACAACATCATGATGCCCTCAGAACGAAGTGGACTGACCAACTGCTCCATGACCGCAACAGTGCCGAGGCGTCGCTCACACGGTCCCCATTTAAGCGGTGGCCCAAGCTCCAATCCACGGCACGGCGTTCCTCCGCCCCGGCCAAATTTCAATCTCTCAATCACTACCCGCCCGCCGCCGCCCATTCCCGATATCACCATCGACAGCGCGCAAACACCCATTTGCGCCGCCTGCTCCGTCCAACATTCTCTACCGCTCTCTCTTTCCTGATTTATTTGCAGAAAGCATACAGATCCCATAATGATCCCCGCCATGGCTTCCCAGCAAGCCCTCCGCCCGCTCCTGCGCCTCACCCGCCCCGCCACCCAAATCGCCAGAATCACCTCCACAACACGCACAAAAGCAGCCGCCGCCGCGACAGCAACAGCACCCAAACCCGCCCCGAAGCCCGCCGTCTCCCGCGCCGCGACGCCGATAGTCAAGAAGCCATACACCAAGCCCGCGCCCAAGCCCCCATCACCCCCGCCCCCGCCACCCGCAGCAGCAGCATCAACCCCCGAAGCCGACGCTGCCATCGGCCCCTCGCTCTCCTCCTCCACCCCGCTGCCCACCGCGCCCTTCGACAACGGCACCAGTAACGGCAACGGGAGCGGAAGCGAGGACGGCAACGGCAACGGCGTCGTCGACTGGACGAGATCATACTACGGCCTCGGCACAGCGCGCTTCCCCAAGGAGGTCGTCGACATCCTGCTGCAGCCCGTCAACCCGGCCGACGTCGAGGTCAAGCCCGACGGCATCATCTACCTGCCCGAGATCAAGTACCGCCGCATCCTGAACCAGGCGTTCGGCCCCGGCGGCTGGGGCCTGGTGCCCAAGGGCGAGGTCGTCGTCGGCGAGAGGATCGTGACGAGGGAGTATGCCCTCATCGCCGAGGGACGGTACGTGAACCTAATATCTCCTCGCTTCTCGTTGTCTCTCCGGGAATGAGACAGAGCAGCAAGACTAACTTTATCACCACGCAGATTCATCTCCCAGGCACAAGGCGAAAACGGCTACTTCAACGTCGAGAACCTCCCCTCCGCCGTCGAGGGCTGCAAATCCAATGCCCTGATGCGCTGCTGCAAGGACCTGGGTATCGCCTCCGACCTGTGGGACCCCGTCTTCATCCGCGCCTTCAAGAAGGAGTACGCCCTCGAGGTGTGGTGCGAGCACGTCACCACGGGCAAGAAGAAGCTCGTCTGGACCCGCAAGGATGTGCCGATTGCGTACCCGTTCAAGAAGACGCAGTAATTAACCGAAAAACATTGAAAGAAAACAAGATGCAAGGGGTGGTGGAGTGTATAGACCCACGAGGAATAAAACAATGTACGATTGGATGGGAATCTCTCCTGTATAAATAGACCAGATCATATGGCATGGGAAACGCGCATAGACGCATAGGCATTTTACGTAGCGACAACAGCAGCTTGCCTCGATGAAAGACTTCATATCGGTTCGTGAGAAGGGACATCGACTGCTAGCGATGAGCCCCGTCTATTCAGCCCTGAACAAGAGGGGATTGAGGGGAGCGCAGTGTTTTCTGGTCCCCGAAGACGTCTTACAAGTCTGTCCATCCGATGCTCCGCCCGGCCGAATCTAGCAAAATCAGACATGGAACCCACAAAACTCCGTAGCCCAGTTCAATCAAAGAGAAGCGAGACACTACTTCTGCACGCCAGAGCTAGACCCACCGTCGGGATTCTCAGCCGTCGGCGTGGAGCCCCATCCGAACGGCATCCACGACGATCCCCCGCCCTGTCTCCGCCTCACGGTCCCTTCGCCGTCTTGGTCCTCGGCCCCGCTCTCAGCATCAATCTTTTCAAAGTCGGTCTCGCTGCGCGACTTGCTCAGCCCGCTGTGCGCGCTCATTGGCCTCTGCGTAGGCTCGTCGTCGTCTGCCCCATCCAGCTGCATGCTTCCCGCCCTGCCAGGCACCTGACCCTCGGTGACAGCAGCCTCGCGCTCCAGAACTTTGAGGAGGAATGCCAGGCGCTCGCGCTGCGCGGCGATGAAGCTCGTGCGCTCGCCGCCCTGCAGCTCCGGCGGGATGAGGTTGCCAGACTTGGAGAGGTCCTGGTGTGGATGGCCGGTCACGCCGCCACCGGTGGCAGCCGAGACGGCGCCGGCGAGGAGGTTGTAGAAGTCGGTGCCGGTGTTACCGGCGGGTGCCCAGCGCGCGGCAGGGACGCTAAACCGGGCAAGCAGCGACTGAGTGTAGGACTGAGAAGCCGGGGGCGGGGTAGCGGCGGGTTCGGGCTCGCCTGGAGGCAAGCCGAGAACGTTCGTCTTGATGAGCTCAATGGCGCGCTTTAGGTAGGCGATGCCAGCGGCCTTGAGGCGGTCGTGGGCTTCCGAGATGAACTCTTCGATTTGGGCTTCGTTGTCTTGGAGGAATGGGTGGACGTGGGTTTGGTAGATGATGCGGGCGCCTTGGGTCTGGGGGAGGACGAGGTAGAGGAGGAAGAAAAGGCGGATATAGGCGTAGAAGGGGATCCTAGTAGTGTTAGCCGACGCAATTGCAGAGGAGAGAGCAGTTGCGACATACCAGACGAGAATCCATTCAGTCCAGGACTCGACGAGGAGCGCGCAGGCGAGGACGACCCAGTACATGAGCCATGGCGTCAGCTGGGCGGGGTCGGAGGTCTTGAGGGCCTTGTAAGAGGCGAAGAGGGGGAAGAGGAAGGATGCGATGGAACTACGATGCGGTGTCGCGAAGTCAGTGAGAAGTCCGGAATCGGCGGCGGCTTCCCCCAGAGAGAAGTATGGGGGAGAGCATTGGGGAGAACGGGATCGGAGGGGCGGCAGGGTGCCCCGCGCGGGCTGTACTCACGATAAGAGATGGGCGAATATGTCGAACATGGTTGCGCTTCGGGTGGGAGTATCGATAAGGGAAGCAGCAGGTAGGGAAAAGGTCGAGAAGGTGTGTGAGAGAGAAAGAGATGTTGTATCAGCGGAGAAGAGATGGATGGCGGCAGCCTTGCACACGGATCGGTCAGCGCACGCGCAGCGGCAGCGGGAACCTGATGGAAGAAGCTCAGCAGGGCAGCACAGCCGACGTCAGGCGAGGGGTTGCGCAGACGGGATGGCCTGGCCGGACCGAGTCGAGGTGAAGGTTCAAGTAAGAGTCGGGGGCCTGCGTTCGAAGGGTTCCAGATCCCACGTCCCAGATGATCCCGTCAGGGCGCTGTGTAAGACGGAAAGTCGGTCGTAAGGTGAGGCAGGCGGAATAGCACTTGTACGACCGCGACCAGTAGAGGTGGGAGGAGGTGCAGATGCAAGCAGCCGGTGCAGGTGTAGGCGCAGTAGTAGCAGTAGTAGCAGCAGCAGGAGCAGCAACCATTGTCGGCGCTCGGAGGACGAGAGAGGTGAGGTGAGTGACAGGGTGGGGAATGGGGGTCCTGAGCACGCGGACAGAGCAGGTCACGGTGCAGGCACTTTCTCTCCAGGTCAAGTGAGCTAGCTCTCACACTCACCTTGGCGGATGCAGCGGGGCGAGCTGAAGGGACACTCGTGGCGGGGACACTGGAGGGGGGAGGGGGGCGCACCGGGGATCGTTTTGGGGGCGCACCTTACCCGCTAGAAGCCGCGCACTTGCGGTTGATCGGAGGGGCGTCGCAACGGACGTGGAGGGAGGGGCCTGGATAAGATCCTAGTGCGTGCCTGCTGCACCTGGATTGGCCGACGTCATTGAGGGGCGTCCGATAAGCCGATAAGGATCACTTAAGCAATGCTGAAACCGGACCTGGCAGGGACGACTCGACAACTCATGTTTTCATCTCATCTCGGTCCGTGGGCTGTTGCAGGGCTCACCGACGCACGATGCCGTCTTTAATACCACGAGAAACCCCTTAATGAACACCTAGTCTTTGACAAAAAAAATATATATGTGGCAACGCTAAGGTTCGTGCCTGAGTCTGCCAGAGAAACAAACATCTGTCTTTGGTTGACGGTTGCCTGGACCAGCCAGAACTGCGAGTACGCGTCCATTGACGAAGTCAAATGCCCATCTTACCCGAAAGGAACCATGTTTTACCCCCAGGTCTCCCCCGTATCCAAGCGGCATGTGATGCTGTTAGCGCCTGTCGGTCCCGCACCCTGGTCAGGGCCCCAACTTGCCCCTCCGGAATGCCCCTTTCAGACATGCCACTGAGACCGTCAAAGAAATTTTCGGGATACATGTAGCCAACGAACTGTCGAGAGGAAGGTGGAAGTTCACGCTACAGTCTGTGTAAACTCATCTTCTTTGCTAGGCAGGCAATAAAGAACACGTTGAACAGCCACGTAGCCTTACCAACAGGCAGCACATGATTCTGTAAAAAAGAACAACATGGCCCTACCAAATATGAATCGTGTCTTGAATGAGCTGAAAACTTGCCTGTCTTTTGTCAACTTCCTTCTTGTTTGCATTCCGACAATTCCAACCCTCAAGTGTAGCCCACGCTGTGTCTTATCGTACACTTGCCCTGCTGTAAAAGGCAATTCTGGAGCAACTAGAAAGAGCAGGTCAGCTGCAAGTCCCCGGCTGAAGTTGTTCTCATTCTTCTTGACATCACAGTAGGGAGTTGCATTGAGGCTGAGACTTTTACCGCCATAGGCAAAACTCAATTCTCTCTTGGCAATAAGACGCCATTCTGTATCCACGTACGGACTGCGCCATAGCCCGTGTATGTGTTGAATTAGGTTAAGTTCTGAACTCTAGTCTAAGTGTCTAATAACACCACTCTATCCGTTGAATAGAATACCTCGCAAATTGCAAAGTCCCTTCTCCTTTTACAATTTTCGTCCAATCTTCAATAGACTAATCATGCGCTTCGACGTTTTCAATGGCAGTCTTGTTCAACCCAGGCCAGTGCTTCTTACCCCAAGTGTACCAGAAGCTCACCGCACCAACAACAACGACAACATACACTGGGCCAGCATAATTCATCTCCGTACCCGTGACGGGGACGGTCTGCGGGAACGGCAGCCATATGCTCAGGTACATCGACCAAAGCAGCGCGTAAATGTTGATCGGCGTGCCCCAGCCCTTCGGCAACGACCATCCTCCGTACTGCACCTCATAATCCGGGCCGTGACCGATACGCCTCGTCATCCTGGCATGAAGCATGCAGGATATGGCGATGATGTACGAACTGTACAGACCCAGAGACGATAGTGCCGTGAACGCCGAGAAGATGGTTGCCGTGGCGTTGTTGCCAACCGTAAACAGCGAGAGCAAAGTAACGATGACACAGGGCAGCCAGACAGACCTGACCGGAACCCGGTACTTGGGATGGATCTTGGCAAAGTACCGCGGAAGCCCTCCATCTCGAGCCCATGCCCACGTAATTCTCGACACCGACGCCAGCGAAGCGGCAACCACGCAGAACGTGATAATCAACAGTCCGCACACCATCGCCGTCCCCGCCTTCGCGCCCGCCGCGTTGAACAGCAACGGGATGATGGGATAATCAGACGCCAAAACATCATCCGGCTCGCCCATCGCAAACAGAATGGCCAAGATGATCCCGTACGACATGATCCCATTCAGCACGATCGTCCACAGCATCGCCCTTGGCACAGCCTGCTTCGCCCGCCGCACCTCCTCCGACATGTGCACCACGCCGTCGAACCCGATGAACCCCCACGCCGGCACCAGCATGCCAATGTTCCACGACACGAACCCGTTCGTCCAGCCGGAGCTGACGGTGCGCTCGAAGAAGACGAAGTCGGCGCTCGCGCGCGGCGCGAGGGCGAGCAGCACGACGACGATGACGACCCAGAGCACGACGTGCAGCACGCCCGCGAGCAGCTCCATCCACGGGATCGTGCGGAAGGCGTACATGTTGATGAGCCCGCAGGCGACGAGCTGCGCGACGATGACGAGCGTCAGATGCCACGGCTGGAAGGAGTAGGACGGGTAGTTGGTGACGACGAGGCCCATGATGATGTTGGCCTCCGAGGCGGCGGAGCCGGCGAGCGCGGAGACCCAGGCGAACCAGGTGACCCAGCCTTGCATCCACTGACAGCAGTAAGAATCATGTCAGCGTTATCTTTCTGCTTTGGTTTGGACACTTGGATGAGGCTTACCGTGATGAACCTGCGGTGCTTCTCGGGAGCGAGGAAATGAGTCCAGTGATACTGTGCTCCAGCAATCGGCTGTATGGTTGCGAGTTCCGCCATCGAGAGTGCCTGGGCCATAGCTCCTACGACAACGAGAATGATGCCCCAAGCAAGCGTCTGCGGCCCGCCGTTGTAGAAAGTTGCTCCCATGTCCATCGCCATGACTTCCCATGATGACATGAAGATAAGGGCGAACGCCAAAAGTTGCCAGAATGAGAATAGTCTCTGCGTGCGATGTCAGACTCTAGAGAACCATACGTCCACTCGCGCTTCATATCGAATTGGAGTTCGTTACTTACCCTGAGCGATGAACCGACATTGTCATCGACCGGCGCATGAGCGCTGCCACTCGTCTTCTCAGAAGAGCTAGTAGTGTTCACCGCAGCGTACTCGCCCTTGGGCTGCTGCATCTCGATAAAGTCGGCTTGTGTCATATTGTCGACTCTCACGAAAATACGTCAACTTACAATCACCATGCAATGTTTGGAGTACAATGGAGGAAATTCTGTTAAGAGGGGGAAACGCTGCCTAGAAAAGTCTTCGGTAACACGACTGGGTCATAAACAATGCCAAGACGACTAGACGATCTGGCCGCTGCACCTCTATCGCGCCAATCCGCCTTGAGATGCTCGGTACGTGGTGCGATGTGCGATGCGACCCTGAGACACATCGGCCCCAGTGCCGTGCAGGGCAATGTCCAGCTTCCCATTGGGTGTGCTGGGCGGGAAAACGCGAGATAGAGAGGAACTACGAGACCCCCAGCCATCTTGATGAATTGCAATGGCCGCTAGCAGGGGAAGGGATCTGTTTTTTTCGCCACTGATCGTTGCAGAAAAAGAAAGTTCTGCTGCAAGTCCGAGGTCGCGAATTGCGTCGCTGCTTTTTATTGGGTCGCTCGCTTGAACAAGGGGGGAGACAAATTGAACATCTTGTCTTGCCGGGGGTGGACTTCCTCAACTTCATGGACGAGGCATGCTGTAGTGTAGATACCTGCGAGAAGACAATTGAGTGATGAAAATGATGCAAAAACAATTGGTGTTAAGTAGTTCCGTGCGCCCATGTTGGTCACGCTTTTGGACGTAGTTGTCTATTACACGGCTGGAGGAAATCTTGACCAGGATACTGCGCCTTTGTCAGCATTCGCTGATTGGTTACAAGTGTCGTTCTATTTCCTCAATATGTGAAATAGACTTACGGCTTGCTCTCATACTTCTTGTCTTCAAGCAGGACTGTTACAGGCACGGTTCCAGTGTCTTCCGACACACTCTCACGGGACAAGGAATGGGCTAGGCACATGGGAAGGAGCTCTCATGTCGACAAATTTAGACACCACCAGTCTGCACTCTGTCGTAGCAGCCTTTTTGCTGTTAGCCATTCAAATGGAGCTAATTTCAGTTACCTGGCATTGCTCGTTTCTTCGTAAAGAAAATGACACTTGCAAACCACACCGGCGACTTACGACGAAGTGAGCATCGCTCTCAAACCTTGTCTAAACATTAAAGCTCTTCCACAAGTGTGTTCTTAACCCAAAACTCCGCAAGAAACAGTGATGATACTACGCTGTCCACACCTTAGGATGACATTCGTCTCGCATCGAGCAATATCTAAAATTATGGAACCCAGACCATTTCTCCTGTCTTAAAGTCTTACCGGCTTTCTTGCTTTCAACTACATCGCCCGGTATTTCATCATGTGTTAAAACTCCACTTGTTCGAGCAACACAGTGACCCATTCGCCGCAGGTATTCCCTAGCTTCAACACGAGTAGCATCACTCAAAATTTCAGTATCTCCAATAGCATGATGTTCTCAACTATCTTGCCCCGCCAGCTATACAACCCACTCTGCTTCTTTCAAATGCGGATCCAAAAGCCCCTTGAAAGAAGATATATCCAAGCAGGCCTCATCGCTTGCTCCACTCCAGCAAGCCCTAGCATGATGGGCCCATTCCACTGCGGGCCCGTCAACGCTTCCAAGGAAGCACAAAAACATTCGCTCAGATCGTCTAGTTGGTTAGGATGATACGTTGTGGTCTTCTTCACACAGCGCTCCGTGTTGACGGCGGTTCGAATCCGCCTCTGAGCAATGGTTAGATCGTGAGATCTTAGCCTTTTGCTTTTGGTCGTCCTGGATTTTGAGTTTGCGGTACATTTTGTGGGGCTCGCCTGGGATTGAGGTTGAAGAAGTTGTGATTTCATCTTGGTTTGTTTCTAAAGTCTGGAACCAACTATTTCATCAAACGCTTGATAGACAGCCCATCAAGGTTGTGTACATGATAGGTCAGGGAAATGAAATAGAAGCATTCTTCCTGGGAATTGATGTTTTTTCCTTAATAATCCCGAAGCATGCGGCATTCAAGTTCACGTCACTGTTTCTGAATAACAGGAGGTTTTTCCCGTCATAGTGCTATCCCATCCTCTACCCCTGAATCAACCAGTAGAAGAGTATCTTGATCCACCAAGGTGAGTGGCTTTCTTGTACGGCAGGCAATTCACAAGGTGTGCAGCCGATGACCCGCTATACGAACTTATAGAGGATAAGTCAGATGGGGGGGAACGACACGTTACCTCTTTTTCTTCCTACTGCCTTTGTTTTCTTTCCTTCTCTCATTTTGACCTGATATGCAGACAAACCTTTAGCTGAGACGACTTCCAATGGACGAGACGACCCTAACAATCCTGGCAGACGCTGGGTATGATATTTATAGCTGGGTTTTTGACATCGACCCTTCTCGAGACTGCGATAAGCCGCTGTTTCGTTCTATCGGCGAGCGATGCTTCACGATTCAAACGACTTATCTGCAAATTCCCCCGCGTCTGGGCTTCTTTTCGCCGGGGCCCAGTCGCTTGCAAGGGATGGAAGCCTGCTTTGTTGCAAAGTTAGCCAGCTTCTATCTCATTTTCTACCCGTTTCTCGGCATGATGGGTCTTCTAGGGTTGTTGCCTTACTCTTTCATGCGGAAGGCTGCGCTCTTGCCTCCAGCAATGACTGTTATTGCCTGGATCCTGATGTGTATAGTAAGTGGCCAGGGTAGGCAATTTGTCACTGTACTCCCGCTAACATCCTAGTTTCAACAGACTCGCTACCTCGCGCCGGCTTCCTTGCGACATGATGGACCCCCTCAAGGCCGCTGACGCTTGCCGATGGTCTTCGTCAGATTTCTCCAAGACGCGAAATGGCCTGAGTGACGCTTCTCGGTGCCATTTTCTCGGGGCTGACAACTCTCAGCCGTGGCCAACGACGCATTTGTGTCCATTCCGGCCCACTTTGTCTCGCCAGAAACGGACAGGTTCATGGTCGATCGATTCCTACCTCTCAGTTGTGTCAGCAGGTGAGAACTGATTTGAGGCTACCTTATATGGGCTCTGCAGGGCTCTTTCCTACCAAGACTGACTCTCTCCAGAGTTGGAAAGTGGCGACACGCGTTGCGAGCCACGGCCTACACTAAGCAAGAGCTCTAAAGGCCAATCTTGCAGTCACGCCAAGGAGCTGGCCGCCTCTTTGGCTGGGACGTTTTCTGTCATGGAAGGGGCGCTTTTGGGGTTCATGACTTTTACTCGACCTGGCGTACTCTACTCCGCCTTCCTCTAATAAATGCAGCTATTTTAAAGGAAGGGGTTACTTCTCAAGGTCGCAGGTTGCTACGAAGGGCAGTATGACGTCCAGGTTCCTTCCACTCCGACCCCACTACGTGATGCTTGGGAAGGGCCGTCCTTCCCACCCCTGAATTCAACCACGGCCATTCTTTCCTTGAGACGTTACCAAGGCCTTGACCTGCATAAAATCTCGAGTGTCTGAATCGACGTCCGTTTTCTTCCCCCTTTCTTCTTCACCGAGAGCATCTCACACCCATCGTACTATCATCATGTTTCCTATCCCCTCTCTCCGCCATTGCATTCTCCTTTGGGTGCTCGTGCCCGCGCTAGGGTGGGCGATTGAGCGCTCGCTCCGGCACGTCGTGGAGTTGAGGAGCTTCGGCACCGACCCTCCCTTGTCGTCGCTGTATTCGTTATCAAGTGGATGACCGCTTTCATTGTTTGCTAGGTCAGCAGTGTCATCGAAATCATCTACCTTGCACCTTAGGTCCGAGGGCTGTAATGGTCCTAGGACCCTGAGTGTGAGCTCAGGCCTGTGCACCGGACGGTAATGTTTGGAACTTTTGCCTCCTTTGGCATCGTCGCTGGTCATACACACCCTTCGGGGTACCATGCGGTCGAATTTCAATCAGTGGGCCGGGGTCCTGGTGGTCGAGACAATTCAGTCTTGGCCACGCGTTCAAGAAGCTAAGTAGTCCAAAAGCTCGCCACTGCCTACGTCTTTTACTCTGCTAATGCATGCAACTCGACAGTTTTCATCCACGGCCGGCTCGAAAACCACTTTTGAAGATCTCTCGTCTTTTCCCTCGGGCATGAACGGAAGTCGAAAAAGGACAGCTGTCTGAGTATGGTTGCCCGGACAGCCTCTCCCCAGACACTTTCTCGGGCTCATCGGCTTCGGTGGCAGACGAAGCATATTGGACATGGTCAGAGGGATTCAGAAGGGAGCGATCAGTTTCTGGGATTACGTGGGAAGGGAGGCGGGGGACTGCTCTCCAATGTATCGTAAACCTGAAGTAGAAGGCTTAATGAGACGACGTACTTTTGACTTCTTCGGACAAATGCCCATGGTTATTGATTGCGTAGCAGAACTCCTCCAACACTCAACTCACCCTGCTCAACTATTGGATCTGGGTAATCCACTCATGACCAACCGGTGCACTACCAACATCCCGATTTGATACTAGTCTTACACTCACTCCAACCCCAAGACTCAATTGCACTGGTTCCCAGGCCATCAGAGTCAGCAGGCACACGCCATTGCCGTAGTAAGCAGCTAACGAATTGCGAAAGATGACGAGATTTCCGCAAAGCACCTCTCCGAGAACGCGAAGCAACACCCTCGCTATGTCAACAACCACCATGAAAGCAAATTGACCCCCGTGCCGCTCCCTTGGACCGGCATTGGAACGGACGAGCTGTCCATCATCGCACCACTCGACAAATCGCTTCCCTGTGCGATATGGACGGTCCCTCTGCCTTCTTTTTGTGCCGCCCGCCTGCGAATAATCGTTCAAGAGCGCAAAAACCAGCAAAGTTCGAATCATTGCAAACGCAGATCTGTCGGGTGTCATTGCTTCCAGCATGTTTGACATGACTTACGAGGGGAGTCATATGAAAACTCCGCAAGATGATACGGATGAAGAGGGTGTCCTTGATTCTCGGGTTGATGCAGCATGGGCAGGCAGGGAAGCTTCACGGATGAAGGATGCCCTCGACAACGTTCAAGGTTGGCATTTCTAGAGGAACGATGCATGGACAAGAAAAACGTTGATTCAGCTGGTATCTGGAAAGCGACGGTGCGAAGCGTTGCCCGGTAGAGAGACATAAGTCGGCACCATTCGGCACCATGGGAATGGAAATTGGCAAGGCCTGAAAATCAAATTTCAATCCAAAACGTATCACAGAGACTGTTGCTATATCATGGAACCGAAAATGAAGTATTACTTCTATTCTCAAGGAGGAAAAGCAAGACTACTGACTGACCGTGAAGCCTCTTCGTGCTTTGCCTGTACCCTGTCGCTTTTGTCCGCCTGGACATCACGGAACGGCTTTGGGGAAGGGAAGTGAAGGATGATCGTCACGTGGCATGCTGCGCAGAACATGTAGCCTCAATCTGTCAATGAGTAGAACACAATCTGCATTCTCTAACGACCTCTGATCGGTCCAAACCCCTCACCTTGGTGGTTGTCTTCTCTTATAGTACAGTATTAACACATGCGCAACCCTTTTTTTATCGTCTAACCATGCCAATGCAGGCGGTGCCGCGCCACAAATCCACCCTGCCCAAAACGCCATGCCATGCGGAGTCGAGTGAAGTTGTTCCAATACAGTTCCCTGATCCAGGAGGGCCCTCTCAAGTCTTATCCCAATGAGACTCTTAGCCCTCCCGTCTTCGTTCCATCGTCGATCGTCCCTCCTCAGAACCGAGGCGTGACCCCCTGGTTCAACCCCTCAACCGCTCACCGGTCCTTGTAAATCTTGGGCTTAAACCCCTCCTTCACCTCGGCCTCGGCCTCCTCCTTCTCCACCAGCGGCCCAATCTCGCTCTCCAGCCTCTCCCGCGCGCGCAGGATCTTGCTCTGCAGGTAGAAGCTGCCGCCCTTCTTCGGGTCGTTGGCGTCGAACAGCCGCTTGAAGCGCTCCATGACCTCGCCCGCGTTGTTCGCGCCCTCCTTGGGCGCGTCGACGTTGAGGATCTTGCACGCCTCGTCGAGCGTCATGCCGCCCGCGCCGCTCGCCTTGGCCGCCACGCCGCCGCCGTTGCCGTTCTTGGCCTGCGCGCGCGCGTACTCGGACGAGGCCTGCGCCTGCTTGTAGGCCGCGGCGAAGGAGCGGCCGACGATGCGGGTGCCGACGAAGAGGACTTGGGTCACGAGGCGGTAGGCCTATTTGCAAGCAAGACTTGTTAGCACATTGGTACAGCTTCTGCGATTGTTTTGGAGCGGTGGTTCTGGGGGTTCCGGCGGGTTCGGGGTGGAGGCGGAAGATGCGGTGGCGCATCGGAGGGGAGGGGGCGGCAAATGGAGACTCACCATCTTGACGTATTAGTCGCAGCAGGTTCTGCGGTGGAAATTGTAGATTGAAGAGGTTGTAGAGAATCGGAATGTCAAATCGCGCACGGTTCAGCGAGTGCGGATGTGGTGCGGTCGGACGGGGCAGTCGTCGCGAGGCAGAGCTGCTGGGCGTGGGGGTTTGACGGCGTCGCTGATGCCAGAAAAATCCATCATGACATGGAAATTGCCGACGAGAAATTCCGAGCTCTCCGGGTACGGGTTTTGCCGTTCCGGACCTTTTTTTTCTTTTTTTTTTTTTTAACTTGCCTCTGCGTCTGTGCTCGGTTCTTCACAATTCTGCACAACTGCGGCGATTCTCGCCAGCTGGCGCCAGCAGGTGCCAACGCCCTCGGCCAAGATGGGTGGCCCTGGTGGATAAACATGATTCTGTAATTTGAGTTTGCGACCATCACCAAAAAGCTCCGCTGCGCTCGTGCCCCTTTTCTACGATAACGGGCTTGATATCGCCCTGATGAGCTTATTCTCACTTCATGTCTGCTGCTGCTGTCGATACGCAATAATTCGGCCGAGAAATTTTGGCACGTAAATGAACGCATGGTCCCATGCCGGGCTCTGGGAAGTTGAACACGAATGCCAGTCTCTTGGCCACCAACTACCCATGCGCTCAGCTCAATATACGGCAAAATTCTGTGACTAAGGCTACCGGCTTTGATGGCAAACTACGATTCATGCACAGTGGCAATCGTACCACTTCAACCCAGCACTGATGCGACTGACTTTCGGAGAGTATGTACCGGTGGATTTATGTACTCTGCACAACGGCAGTCTAACTTAGTATTTACGGCAAAACAAGTATGTACAGAAGAGAATTGTTCTAAAGCATCGCGCCAGTGTTCACGGTGACCGAAGACAAGGACCTAAGACCAGGTGGTGGTAGCACCGATAGCAGCGCCGGAGGTGGGAATCAAGAAGTTGCTCGCGGCGATCTTGCCGTTCGCCTGGCGCGCGCCCTTGACGAGGCTGACGTCGACGCTCTTGAAGCTGGCGTCGGACCACGTCGCGCTGCCGTCCCAAGAGTTGCCGCTGCTGGTCGTCCCGCTGACGAGCGACGTCTGCCCGCTCTTGGCCGTCGTCTTGGAGTTGCCGCTCGCGATGTTGCTCTTGAGCGTCGACTTGGTCGTGATGGTCTGGAAGCCGACCTCGCCATTGTTCCACGCCGTGTTGCGCGAGAACTGGAAGTTGCCTGGGTTCTTGTTGTCCGTGAAGCCCTTGGCCGCGTTCTGGAAGGCGATGCAGTTGGTGATGACGTGGTCCGCGGAGCCAATATCCGCCGCGTCGCCGCCGCCCAGCTTGAAGCCGTTGCCGTCGCCCTGGAAGTCGGTGAAGCCCCAGCGGTTGACGCCGTTGCCCCAGGAGAGGGTGTCCATGATCGTGACGGGGGACTTGAATTCCCTGTCGTGCCATATTAGTCGTGCCAGGAAGGTATCAGAGGAGGCTTTGTCTTACCAGAGATCGAGACCGTCGTCGACGTTCTCCCAGAGACGAGCACCCTTGAGGATGTTGCCCGTACCGGAGCCCTCCTTGCAGGCGAAGCCGTCGGCGCTCTCGCCGTTCTTGCGGGGGTCGCGGTTGCGGTAGGAGTCGAGGTAGACAACCTGGTTGTTGCTGAGGGAGCCCTGCATCTGGAAGCCGGTCTCGTAGTTGTCGTGAGTGACGATGCGCTCAAAGTAGTTGTTGGAGCCGTCGCGGAGGTACACGCCGTACGGGCCGTTGATGATGGTCAACTTGTAGAACTTCCAGTAGTTGGCCTTCTCGATGTGCAGCACGCCGCGGTCAGCGTTGGCGAGGGAGGCGTCCAGCGCAGCGGGTGTGCCGGGAAGGGCCTCGCCGTCAAGGATCACGGCCTCGTCGTTGTACGCCGTCATGGTGTAAGGCTTGGCGGATGTACCGCTCTTGGCGATCTTGATGTTGGTCGTGGGCGAGTATGTGCCGCCGCGGAGGTAGATGGTGTCACCAGCGACGGCCTTGTCGACGGCGCTCTGGATCGACCTCAGGGGCGCCGCGAGGGTGCCGGCCGCGGAGTCGGAGCCGGTGGGCGAGACATAGATGTCCGCGGCCAACACGACCGGCAAGATGGCCAGAAGGAACTTGTAGAGACCCATGTTTGCTGTGAAAGAGACCAAAGAGGTAGGAGAAGGAGAGACTGCAGCTGTGAGTGACTATCAAGAAGGATCAGCAAACATGCCGTGTTAGCCGGCTGCCATCAAGCTTAAATACAAAGCTTCGGGAAGCCAACAGGGAGCCCCCTTCGCCTTGACAGCTCTCGGCTTGTATCTTAAACCGAGCAAGCTTCATTATCCAGAAGTCAAGGACCCAGGGCACCCAAGGGCCGTTGCCAGTCTATCTGCGGCCACCATTGAAGGACCCCCTGTCTTTGATTTGGGGTTGAAGAACAACATCTCGAGCTCCCGTTGGTGGAAACAAAACTCCACAACCGTAGGGCACCTCATTGATGGAGTGCTTGGCCGCGCAAGGAAAAAAAACACAGAAGGGCGGATCCATCGACATCTCCGTGGGAGAGAAATCCCGGCAATCGAGAGATTCGAGGAGTGCCCGGGATGGAAGGGTCCCCTGGGTTCGTAAGGCGGAAAAGTCGCGAGGCCTTTACGAAAAAAAGACCTTCAACCAGTCGGGCCGTCCCCACGAAGCACAACACGCGCAAGTATTGTACTCGCCTGCGCCTGGAGGATCTCACGTCCCCCCCATCTCGGAGAGCATCCGGACACGGACTCGATGGAACGTCGACCAGGGCTTTATTCGCGTTAAGCAGGCACGCGATTCAGCAAAGCCGCCGGGCCATGTCGGTCTTTTCGATGGAAACGTGCCCGAAGGTGTTGATTGCATCTTTTATTGCGAGGACGGAGGAGAATGACCGATTGAGGCGAGCCGGGAGACTTCTGCGCAGGAGGACCAGGTTCAGATCTCACGATGTTTGTTTGGAAAAGCCGCATTGAGCTGTGGAGACAGACTCAGTCCACTGCCGGTATTTGTGTGCAATGCCGTGGCAGACTCTCTGCTCATTGCAAGGCCCGGCGGGATGGGTAGGAAAGGGGGCCCCATATCCGAGTGCTTGGGGAAGCAGAAAACTGCCGCAGAATCTCGGGAATTGGAATTGCGGGATGCGCTGGGCGGCTCGAGTCCAGACTCCTCCCTGTAACGAGGCACTTGCCTGTTCTAGACGGCGAACCACAGGGCAGAAGGGACGCTAATTCGAACGACCCAGACTCTGGGCGCCCTCTGGTATTTCGTCTGTTGTCGGTACCAACGTTGGTGACAGGAAAACTGGATAATGTTGTATGACGTCGACCCTTTCTAGAAACAAAGAAAGGGGGAAACAAGCATCGGCTGCTGAGGTGACACGAGCAGCGTTCATGAGCAGTTCATCTCAAGGTCTCGGCGCATCAGGGGGATGCTGAAAATCGGATGTTCTTCGCGCGAACCCGATTGCTGATTAGATAGCTTTATCGATAACATCGTCCAATACCACTATCGATACGGCCCTGGGTCTGTGCCTGACTAAAGCTGCGCCATGGCCTAAAATACCAGGCACCCACTGGCTCCAGAGCTGGGCCCTGCCTGACGTGTGTTGAACCTCCAAAGAAGCTACATCTCCAGCACCGACCGCCGCCCCAAGCTCGGGTGTCAAACTGTCCTCTCCACGCAAAAACCGCCCACCACTCCGGCGCGACGAGGCTCTCGAGCCAGCCACCTTTGCGACCACTTCCAAAACCACTACAAAAACCCTTTCGAAGACGATTTCAACCTGACCCACGGGCAGGAAACCCGCACGAGAGCCTCGCGAGACGACATCGACAGGGGGTGGGAAAAGCATCATTATTCGCAACTTGACGACAACATAAAACAAAGACAATGTCAAACTACTACCAACAACCATCCTACGGCCCAGGGCCCGGACAGGGCGCCCAGAACCTCCAGTTCTACCCCTCCTCCTACTCCCCCGCCCAGGTCTCCGGCCACGCAACCCCACAACAGGCCTCCTACGGCTACGGAGCCCAGCCCTCCGGCTCGCAGTTCGGCGCTGGCGGCGCAGGCGGTTTTGGTGGTGCGGCCGCGTTCGGCGGCGCGGCGGGCGTCTCCGGGCGCATGGGAGAACAGGGCGGTCTGCGGACGGGCTGGCTCGCGGCCTTCTCAACGGAGGGATACGACGGGGAGCCGCCCCTGCTGGAAGAGCTGGGCGTGAACTTTGGGCACATCCAGGCAAAGGTTCGAAGCATTGTCCAAGCGTGCTTGCAACTCCGAAAATGCTGATGACTCTGTAGACACTCGCGGTCCTGAACCCCTTCCGCCGCATCGACCAACACCTAATGGACGACTCAGACCTCGCCGGTCCAATCCTCTTCTTCCTGTAAGTACAATTCCCTGCCACCATCCCATGCCCCTTCTCATCCGACCAAGGCAACTAACAAACCTCACCTCGCAGACTATTCGGCACCTTCCTCCTCTTCTCCGGCAAAGTCCACTTCGGCTACATCTACGGCCTCGCCCTCCTCGGCAGCACCTCCCTGCACGTAATCCTCTCCCTCATGACCCCGACCGACGTCCACCCCTCCGCAACCTCCTCCGTCCCAGGCCGCGTCGGCGCGCCCCAATACGGCGGCGCAGGCTACCCCGGCGCCGTCGACTCCCACGACCACCCGGCCGCCGCCGCGCGCACCGGCCACTTCTCCAGCACCCTTACCTTCGCCCGCTCCAGCTCCGTCCTGGGCTACTGCCTGCTGCCCATGGTCGCCACCAGCCTCGTCGGTATTGCCATGCCCATGGACACCCCGCTTGGCATCGTCCTGACCACCATGGCCATCCTGTGGAGCACCTACTCCGCCAGCGGCATGTTCTGCGCCGTCGGCAGGATGAGGGGCATGCGCGGGCTCGTGGCATACCCGCTCGCGCTCTTCTACGTCGGCTTTGGTATCATGGGCATCTTCAGCTCGAGAGGCAGCGGGGCGCTGATCAAGGCTGCTGCTGGGGTGAAGGCGTGAGTTCAGAAAGGTGTGGGAGGGATGCATATACAAACCCAAAGTTGCGGAACGAGGCGCAGATGCGGGAGCGGTGCCTTGCAACTCTAGTGGGGATGTTCAAAACGGGCGGAGGAGTCCAAAGGTGTCCAAAAGGAGTCATGGATGGATAGACAGAAGACAACAGCGTGAGGCATGTCAGCCATCAGAGGCTCAGCAGGCGAGACGCTTCATTCACGTCACTGTACAATAGCATAATCATGTTCAGACGAAGCCAGAATAAAATTTTGATAGTCCAATGCCCTGCCTCCCCCTTCCGGTGCTTGAAAATGCGTCAATGCTGAGTAGCCCTCGTGATACCTTCGACTGATAACATGATCGAAAGTGTAGAAAAAGCGGGGCCATCCTAATATTACAATGAGAGACTTTTCTTCAGCCTCGCAAACAAGAGCCAGGCAGTGAGAATTTATCTCCCGCAGACCAAACAAACGGGGCTTCGATGAACTGAGTCGCCCTTGGTATCATGAAATGACTTCCTTGAGGCCGTTCATTATGTTCCCATCCGTTCCATGCCTTGCCGGAGCCCACTGCAACTCTGATAAGAAGAAATGTCTATAAGACCGTTCGCCGGACGACCAAAAATCCAAAATATTTCATGCGTTTGCGCAAAAAAAGACGCTCTTGCCAGAGGCGAGCAACAAGATATCGGAACCCTGGAAATATGTCCATGACTTGATCCTTGCGTCAAGTCCATCTGTTTCCCCTTCTATTGACGGCCCTCAAACTCATTCATTATGCGTGATCTGTTGGATCTGCAGTCGTCATGCGCTCGTTTCGATACGTGCCCCACAGAGTGAGGTTTCCCACGCTCCAATGCTCAGAAGACGGGCCTGAAGCCTCCGGTAGCTGGCTGGCCGTTCGAGGTGAAGACCATGCCGTTGGTCTTGGGGACATCGGCGACACCGCCAAGAACGGAGTACTGGCCTCCAGCGCCGGCAAAGATAATCTTCTTGTCCTTGACAGCACTATTGTCAATCGTTGTAGGAGTCTCGATGTCATCGGTTGTACCCTGGCCAGTCTGGTAGTTGGCGGAGAAGCCCCATGAGTGAGCAATACCCTTGGAGTCAACGGCGATGTTGTTGTCAACACCAGCAGCGACGAACACGCAGTTCGCGACATCTGAGACTAGTTAGCAACATTCAACGCATGCAAATGGACCCACGTACCCTCAACGATGGTAGGCTTGGACAGGATGCGAGGGTTTTGGCTCTCATCCTTGATGACGTTCTCAGCATCAAGCTCCTCGATGGGAATGCCAACCTGGTGGCCATCAAGACGACCCCAGGTCAGGAGCTGGCCCTTCTCTGTGCAGGCCAAAGAGTGGTGCTCGCCGCCGGCAATGTGCTTAATCTTGTAGTCCTTGAGGGACTCAACAATGGTCGGGCGGAGGATGACAGCATCGTCCTCACCGGCACCGCTGGAGATACCAGTCTCGGCAAAGTTGTTCAGACCCCAGGCCCACACAACACCGTCCTTGTCCATGGCGAAGCTGTGGTAGGATCCGCAAGCAATGCGGTTGATGCGGTTCTTGGGAAGACCCATGCTCTGGGGGACCAGGGAGGCAAGCTTGTTGCGCTCAATGACGCGGCGACCGAGCTGGTTCTGCTGACCGCAACCCCATGCGAGGACGGTGCCCTTGTTGTCCAGGGCAAGAATGTGGTTGGAACCGGCAGCGAGAGCTGTGATGTTCTTAAGAGAAGGAATGAACATTGGGGTCATCTGAATGCTAATCTTCTCGGTGAAACCAAGGATACCATCGCTCGACTGCTTTCGGTTAGCATGTTCGCAGTGTTCAAGAGGAGAGGAAACTTACTCTGAAGGTACCCCAGCCATAGACTCTGCCATCCTCAGTCAGCGCAAAGGTGGCGCTGTCACTAGCAACGACCTGGGTGAACTTGGCCTCGGGAGCGAAGTGGGTAGAGTCAACAGCAGTAGGCGTGCTCTCGCGGGGGTTGACACCACTGTCCTCGTCATTCTCCTCATCTTCCTCGTCATCGACATCACGGACGCCGCCCTCCCAGGTGGTCTCGCGACCAAGAGCGCCCTGGTCGTTGACACCCCATGTCAGG